CAACAACAGTGTGGTTACTCGAAACTGTATAGGTGTTTGGACCAGAAGCTTGGTCAGGTTTCCCTACCATCGTTATTCTACTACTCTACAACTGGGCTTTCGAATCAATGCCAGCAAAAAAGCAACTTAATGCCTTCATTAAGTTGGTGTGTCCCCTTTGATAGTACAACAACCGCGATCCCCCTAAATTTTATGTTTCGGCAAAAAGCTGACACAAATATATATTTGTATATTATATATATATATATATATATACAGAGGACATTTACGAATGATATGAATCGACCGAGGAAGATCTTCAGTCGTAGTTCTGTAAGATTTATAGTATTGTAGTTAAGTTTTCACTAACATTGCAGGATGTTATTAGTAAATTATGCTTGAATCAGCTCAAAGAATGATTGGGGAGCTTAAGAGAGATAAATTCCAAGCAGATAAATTCATTTCACTTTTAATTCCTTGATAAGCGTAACAATTAGCTCAGTAGAGATGACATCTGTCATAAATTCTTTATGGAAATCTTTTCTTTTTCTAAACAACTTTCTACTCAGGAGTGACGGTAACAATACAAATGAAATAAGTTGGGTGGAATTAAGCTAATATTTAATATTGTTCATTATTCACTTTGAGGCAGATAGCATAGTGGTAGCGATGGCGGTCATTACGAGCACGGCGTTGGTTCGATTCTACTCCAGGCTCACCAAACCTTTTATCGCTCTGGGATATGGAAATTGGTACCGCACTTGTCCATGGAAAAATTCCTCTCTGCAATCCAATTTAGAACGCTCCAGCCCGGCTATCTTAGAACACCTGTGAGAATCGGCTCCACCAGCATTCCACAACACTCAAGGTGAAAGGAAAATCTTCAAGCAACAGCCGAAGCTACACGTAAAACTCTGAGGACCTTAGTGGATGATTGATGCGAAACAACGAATCGAATGTGAGAGGTGCTGGATCCGCACAGCAGACGTTAAGACGGGTCATGTAAAATAAAACATCATCATCCAATTACGTAACAGTCACAACGTCGTTGGAGATCACACGTCTGGCTGGACCAGCCAAAGAGGACAAGATAGTGGTTCAGTTCGCTCCGTCTCCAGCTGATGCCCCAAGTGCTTCGAGCGCTTTCAACTCAGTGCAACCGACAGGAAATGTGACAATCCCAATCAGTGCTACATAAATAATCAGGCCAATGGAAGATTTTCTTTTTTTTTGGAAGATTTTTTTTGGAAGATTTTTTTTTGGAAGAAGGATTTGGTTATTGCTATTAATCTTCTATGGTGAAAGTGAAAACGCACTAGTTTGTTCTGGAAGTAGTTCTGTACATCATGAAATGGCATCTTATATGACAAATTTGAAATGTTCGTGTCGATTCGTATGCCATCATTTATTTCGTTGGCGTCTCAGTCGGCTCTCGTTGTTCAATTATAGTCAATCGAAACCTTACGGTATTGAATGATGGTGACGTTGTCTGATGTTGTAAAGTAGTCTGTTATACAAATGCATATCGATCGATAGCCAAAGGTTTCTTTTTATAGCGCGCTCGGAAAGAAGGTGAGATCTAAATGACACGTTCCGCTGCGCATTTTATGACAGGTTGGCGAGAATTCTCGTGACTGTGCCATTTTATGGGCGAAACAAACTGAAAATCGGTACAGATTGTGTTCAGGGTGTCGTGGAGATGACCACATTTTCAAGAAGCCCGTAGTTGATCGGCGTTATACGCCAATATTTGGGCTACTAGTTTAAGATACGCCCCTCATTGGAATTTTTAGATGTCGAAAGAGGCCAGATCGCTTGCACTTATAAAAACTTGAATATTTTCACTCCTATATGTTTTTAGTTGTCGTTCCTTGCACATATCTACAGAATTCTGTTTAGTCCGTAGTACTCACAACGTTTGTTGTGGTACATACAGTCCTGAAAGAAAACGGAAGAAATGTGCTCTTTCGGACGAGTTCGATCCTTTCATGTAAATTGTTTTCTTTGTGTCTTGTTAGTCTTCGCATTAATATTGTTGGCTCATGAGTAACTGCTTATTTAATAAAAAAACTGGTACCGTATCTAAATCTCACTCAAAATCTTGGTGTTTGCTGGACATTCCGAAATTTTCTATAAAGCTTTTACTCGTGAGCTGCCACTATAAGGCGTATACACTCGGCGACGGCTAACCGCCGGGCGCCGCGCTCGTGTGTCGCTTGGCGTCGCGTCGCGACTCGCCGTCGCAAGTCCGGCGTGGTCAAGTCTGTGCGCGCGCAAACCCAATAGAGGAAGGAGGAGATCGCTCGTCACGCGCACGTAGACAAATGCGCCTCTTGTCGAGGGATTGTCGAGTCGACAGTATTGATTATTGATAGCTAGATATCGACAGATGACGACAAAACGAGCAAATCAATTGATCTTTTTCACATGCTCAGATGGCTTCGTCAGAAGCGCTCAGTGTCCTACATTTACAGGTACTCACGCAACGAATGAAACAACAAATCAGCTCTTCAAATGTGAAGACCATTTTTGTTAACGATAGTACCCAGGATCGACTATCTATTAACCTCGGCGTTGGGTTATGAATTCGTGGTTTTCTCTCTCACCATACGCATACGGATGCTGTTTAACAACCTCGTGATTGCTGAGAGAGAAAACGACGAATCCTGTTAACGATTTCAAGACATGGATCACTGTAAAGTAGATCGCTTAATCGATTCATTGAAACTGGAATTGAAGAGCTGGAACATAGCGGAATATCTCTGCCTTGTCCTGCCTCAGTTTGTTGAGCCGAGGATTGCCATTTGAAACCGAGTTCGGCCAACTGTCATTTCTATTTGATGTTCTGTTGATTTTCGTCTTCTTTATGATGAACTTTTCACATTTCCATGAGCATGCAAACATCAATTGCTTCGATACGAACTCATCCACAAACGGGTTTCTGTCATCCCGTTTCATGATTATTATCCAGAAATCGTAAGAAATCATTGTTCAGGATATTACAGAATCGATTCTCCAATGAGAATCATCATCTTCCATCTAAAATGAATGTATTGCTAGCCATTACTTCACGAAGGAAAACTCATATTGAAGACTATAGAAATGCTTGTTATTGTAAAAACCGCAACAAATCCAGTGAATGATGACCGCTCTACTTCACTGAAGCTTATTATGACGTTTTTAATTACATGTTCATGTGTTGCCTCATTCGAGAGATGCCCCACTGGGAAGGATCCTACTAGATACGAAGACGGAGACGCCACATCGAGACGATGAGAAACTGTGGACCATCGACTCGGATCATCGGCTCTGATGAAGAAGAAAACATCAAGACGTTATCCGAATAAAACTGACTTATCAACCTCGTGTAAGCTTAACAATTTTAATACAAATTCATATGCATTTCATCTTCAGTGAGCTTACACGAGGTTTATAAATTATTCTTATTTTCGCGTAATGTTTCGATGTCTTCGTCTTCGTCAGAGCCGATGAAACGAGTCCATGGTCCAGAGTTGTCCATCTTCTCGATGTAGCATCTTTACCCTCGTATCGAGTCGGATCCTCGTCAGTGGAGCATCTCTCCAATGAGGTACACTCATCCGGCGATACTCTTTTATACAGGATACTGGTTGCTGACAGTAGTGATTATCAGGTGATGACAGGAACAATCCATCGTTCAGAAGTCGGTATCACTATCAGCTAGCAAAAAGGGCAACAATGTGTTAAAGTTCATATTTTTGACAATAGTTACTTATCTCTTTAGTAAGATGCTTCTGCCTTTTTTGCATGATCTCTTTTATAAAGCCAGAGAATGTGGACAACGAGTTGCTGTTTATCTCGTTCTAGAAAATCTTTTGACTAATTTAGCCAATCGTTCTATCACTTATAGCATTTTTATTATTCGTTTTTACTTTATTCATTCTTCGAAGGATGTCATTTACATTACTTCGCCTTGTTTTGGCACATAACTTTTCCCATGCATTGCGTTCAATGCATGACTGGAGTCGAACTAGACAAAGTGCATTACAGTTAATGCTTTTCCTTCCAATAATTTATTTTGCTACATGGATATCTTTACCACACTTTTTGTATTCACCTTATAACTTATTTACACAACTTCTTGGATTATTAAGCTAGCACGAGTTATTAAAAAGATTAAGGTTTCGACGTTTTTGTCTACTTCAACATAGAGTCAAAAAAATACTTAAGGTAGCTGTTGTATATGGAATGGCCTGCGAAAAGCTGTTCCCATCCAAGCTGTGTTTGGTAAATTAAAAAAGACTTCCAACAAGTTAATTTCCTTTCGAGAGATCATTGCTGTAGAAAATGACCACAAATATACCACAGAGACTACTGCAGGTGAAAAAGCTTTAGAAATATGTCTACCTGAACATTGAAAATCGATGTTAGGACGTCTCTTGGCCATGACGAGATGATCTTTTCTTTTAAGTCTGATAAGTTTCTGATAAGTCTTTTCAAGAAAAAGTTGGAATCGAGACTTTGATATAACATTGGTTTCGTACATTGGACATCGGTTTCGTAATATAGAATCTAGCATTTACGCAACTCCCAGTGGTTTACCGCCTTATCGTGGGTGGGAAGTGTTCGTGGGTGTTGGGTCGGGCTGCGATATACATTGGGGATACTCATCCCCCAGGGCCTCCAAAGCTGAGGAGAAGTTCGGCGTTTCCATCAGGAAACCTAGCTAAGAGTGGACCAATACCAGGATCAACCACCATCCTGGGATCGAACTAGGCGCATGGTGGCGGATCTCTCTCTGTTCCACAAGGGCGGCTGCTCACTGTGGTGATGACGACCTGGGGCAGACTTTGGCTAGGGTGACTTCGGAACTCCAGAAAAGCACAGTGGCCAAACCAGCAATACTCATACAAGAAGACTGTGGTGATGGGTCATGGCTGCTGTACGGAATGGCTGATATGAGAATTACTGAAAAACACTGAAAAAATTCGCAGAATAGTTCCAGACACTAGCAGTAATTTGCATAAAAGCTATAATAAAATATGGTAAGTAGTGACATCTATGCCTCTAGTTCGAAAAGAAGGCAACGTTTCTTCTATACTTCTGTCATGTTCTCAACTTCTCATGTCCTCTAACAATCGAACAGTTTCGGCTTTTGTAGAGAAATCAGTTTTGAACGTTACGTGCTGTGTTTCAGTCGTTGACGAGTTGTACTACTTGAGCAGACAACATGAAATTAAACACCATATCAAGCGGCAGGCATTCAAATTTGAGTGCCTCGCGTTGTGTGTTAAACAACACAGTGTTCTTACGTAGATAGGTTTTATGGCTAGTAGCTAAGCCATTTTAGTCAGTTTTCTATCATAAATTAGCAATGAATGATTCAGTCGACTCTCCACCGTCTCTGCCGCCGCAAACTCGACCGCAACCACTATCGGCATCGGTGAACAGCGCGTCTACGGTTTGTACCGAAGTCGACTACCGCTGCAACGACGGGAAGTGTATCCGTGCCGAGTGGAGGTCTGCTCCGTTTCATATTTATCCGTTTGCTCTCAATTCTGATCTTTTGCAAGAGGCCTAGTGTCGTATATTGGTGAAAGATCAGCAATGGACTGCCATGGGTTAACAGATGCTTTGAAAACTATGCGATTTACTGAACCGTCTATTTGAGAATATCTTAGGCCGTGTATAACATTTTTGCAGAATACACTCATGCATTCCTTTGTCTTCTGTGGCTACTTACCTATTCTATTTGGTTTAGGTGTGACGGATCTGGAGACTGTTCAGAGGGCGAGGACGAGAAGGGTTGCCGTGAGTTCTTAGCGCTTATTTCGGTGTTTCAGTACATACGACATCACTAGTCTTGCATGGTCTTGGAACAAAAATCAAAAAGTTTTACATTTTACAAGCTTATAAATCTATTTATGATTGTTTTTCTATTTGTTCATAATTCTTTGCTTTCCTCTGCTTTACACACAATGACTTCACGAGTTGGGTGTTGTGTCGACCTTTCGCCTTGCTTGGTTGTATGAAATGAAAGTGAAGATGAAGTACACATGGTTGCTATGCTAAAAGGAATTGATTTATAAACTATAAACCTAGATCAAGTGTAATCTTCGGCCGTTCACCTATTCAGTTTGTTTTGAGAGTTCGTCTAAAGCTTTGGCAGGAGGCTTTTTGGTTTTCGTGATACGATTGTTATCTTTCACCTGATTCATGTCTTTCCATTGCTAGTCGATTAACTTGAGCGAAGGGTCAGATATTTGTCGCTCGTACGTGCAAAGGTAGCCCAGTGAATTGTACTCCTTCAGTGGACCTGAAAACCGTGTTTTTTCTTATATTTTCCTGAATAAGTCTGACCATTTATTCAAAACTACTTCCGCTGTGCTTAGATCCGTGGGACCCACTCGCAAACTCCTTTTACCCACCGGTTTTTGTCAAAATGCGCAGTGTCTCCGATCTTTGATCGCATACCTGACTTTGAAATCAGGATCACTTCTCCTGTTCTGTTTGAGATAAACATCGCCTAGATAGCACCTATAAAGCTGCTTGATCTTTAATCTTACCAAAGTAATGCCTAGCTTTTAGTGCGTACCATAAGGCAGGAAGACTTGTAGAGTCGAAACATGGCCCACTCGATTCAACATTATGTTGACTTCTCTTGGGCCAGATTCCGACAGCTAGGGAACTCAGAGATAATCGTTCCACTGAGAGTGAACGGAACATCACAACCAAACGCTTCTCATTGACGCGGTTTTCCTCTTCAACGGAGAATCAATTTTTCCACAAGCGTTATTGGAAATACTCACATTCGTTTCGCCTGACCATTAATCATGATTTTATAGCAGTGGCATCGTCAGCAAAGTAAAGATTGTCTAATTGCCGATCATCGACTTTTAGTCCATGTTATATCTTCTCATCCTAATTTTCGCTTGATGCTCTCGAGAGTAAAAGGAGTTTATTTCTAACTCTCAAAAGTAGTCGCAAATAATCTTGGCAAAACGACATCATCGTCTCGAAACTCTGTTTTTACGTTGCTGTAGAATGGCGATGTTCAGATTGTCAAGCGTTTGTATAGCTGAATGCTCCAGTAGTGAGTAGGCACTCCATTACCCCATGGATGTGCAGAGTTTCCATGACCCTTTCTATTTTAATTGAGTGGACCATGCTTTTTAAGTCGATAAAAAGGAAATAACTCGGCCTCTTGTGCTCTCGGGGCACTTCGATGGGTTTCATAATCGTGTAGATGTGGAATTTTACTCTCAATAATTTTCAAGACACTACTTCTCATCGTTATCATTCGTCCAATATTCCATCAATCCTATTGAAGGTGTCTTGAGACAGCAGAATTGGAGATGGTTGCTAATATCGAGTCCCTCTTTTTGTGCAACAACAGGTGCCTGTTGGATCTCCACTGATCTGAAATTTTCGTTTATACATGTAGGATGTGAAAAGGCAAAGCCGCTAATACCATCTCGACAGAGTTCTGTGCTTTTATTCATTGAACAGATGGCATCTTCGACTTTGAAGAGCCGTTCAAGGACACTCATCCTACCTGACCGGACATGGAGGGTGGAGATGGATGTAGAAGAGATTGGAGTAGAAATCATGATCTTCTGAAGGCTGTAATTTTTCCGCCTGGGCTCCGGAAGACGATTGTTGTGCTTCGTGGTAATGTAGTTGAAAATGTCTCAGTGGTCATTACGGATACTCCTTACAATTTCCACCTTTTCAGCCATTAATTCTACCTTTTACTCCTCGAGGTTTCATGGCCATTCTCTTAAAAAAACTCCTAACTTCGGAGATATGTTGGTAACATGTGACTTCTTCTACTCCACTTTGCCGTACATTAGCTCCAATGCTTTTAGAGGCAGACTTCAACTTCTCATTGTTTTAAGCACTGTCGTGAAGGTACCATTAGTCAGTTGTATTCAGTGTTGTCGATATCATCTTCCTAAAAGCCGCCTAGTTATCTGAACAAGTCTCAACGTATGGTATTTCAGGATTTGGTTCCATAAATTTTTCTGCTTTCTATTCTTTTCCCTGATAAAGAAAACTTGTGTGAGCAAGACGATGATCTCATCCTGTGAAAAATTTTGGGGAAACGGCGACAACGGTCATACAAAAGCATCTATATAATGTTGCCTGTTTCGTTATAGTATTCTATAGTCTTCCAATTAGGTGATCGAACAGCACTGTTTGAAGGACTGCTCCTGAAAATAAAAGTTACCAATGAGCGGTCTCTGCTATCGTGACAAATTCAAGCGGCAGCTCACATAAAAGGGCAGATGGAAACGCCAAAGCTGTTGACTTCTCTATTGTCGCATCTTCTGACGGAAAGTTCTTCTCCGGTAGCATAGACGATATCGAACTGGCGGCACATTCTCGTTTTGCCCAATGTGATGACGTTGTGCTAAATCTTTTACTTGTATCATCAGATCTTCAATAAAAGATTCTGATTCTACCATAGGTGAGCTATGATTATATATCACCACCGTAACGCTTGCTGTTTTATAAGCTTCAGAATGGCTTCTAGATTTTTGTCACTTCTCTGTCACGCTTCTAAGTCGGTGTTTCCTTCGGTGTTAAGAGAATGAGGCGTAATACTACGCTTTCCTTATTTCAATGTTTTTATCTGAACTGTTCTCGTGTTCCTTTGTCATTTTCCATTTTCTGTATCGTGGTCGTCTAATTGAAAGTAGAAACAAGGACTGGAGATGAACAGAATACTATTTGCATTGGCGAAATGGTTTTCCGTTTCCTTGTGGCTTGATTTCGTTCTTTCTGCAGAAATAAGGTCCAGAGACGGTTCATCCTTCAGTATGGATTTCAATTCCAAGAATTTCAACGTTTTCATCCGAAAAATCAACTAAGAGTATTCCTATATCGTAATGGAGTCTGGTGAACTTCTTGTCTTCATTTTCTCGCCAAAAAGCCATGAAGAGACTTCGCACCAAAATCATTATGGTTTTCGTGTTCATTATGGGAGCCTGGTGCCTGGTGATGAGAAATGAAGTTTATTAATGCCAGTCTGGATTACTTGGTTGGTTGTAAGGTGATATAGGTAATTTTAGGACAAAGCTTTTGTTTCTCTGTTGAGTCGTTGATTGTTTTGTTCTACAGTTTGCAAGGAAAAAGAGTTACACTACGGTAACGCTAAATATGCTTCTTTAACTACGCAAGTCTTCAACATATTTTGTTCTCGGATGACTTCAAAGTTCTTCGTGTTATCATCAATCGCTGTTGCGGATTCTAGAACTTCTAGCATTCTTGAGCAGATCGTGGGAAGAATTAAGTGGTTTCCGTCTGTCGTTTTAGTTACACCATTGGTGAGACCGATCATCGCACTCATGGGAAGAAAATATGTTCAAATTTATGAGAGTCTAGTTCGCCATCTCAGCATCATTGTTGTACTCATTTCTCTATCTCACACATGATCAAGTTTTCGAGTATAATGTGCGATGTAGTCCGCTAGCCTTAATTGATTCCTTATTAATGGTATATGTACGCATGTATGTATCTAATATAAATATATATATATATGTATATACATGTATATATATATATGCGACCGAGTGGAATACAGTGTCCTCCAAGTAGTACCTAAATTTCTTCGGTATTTGAAGTCTTACTGCAGAAACTCCACTAAATTTTAGTGAGTAGATGTTGAAATTCATGCAAGAAAAAACTCTTAAGCTCTGTGGATTCTTCAGAATACCGATTTCACGTAGTCAGTTGTCGCCTTCGTTAGTAATTTCATGCAGTAATTATTCATTTTGCCGATTTTCTAAAATGGTGAATATGATTTTAATCTGTATAGAAACCGACAGTGCTTACTGGAAAACTTCGGTTTTTTGTAAATTCTGGTGTTTATTTCTTTCCCCAAACGTTCTAAAAATGCAGCGAAGCTGGAGAAAGAGCAGTGTAGCTCGATCCTCACCAGGTCGGTGTCGAGCAACAGATCAGCACAATTGCTCATATAGCGCCATCAGAATGCAGTGTGCCACAACAGCATGAAGGATTACTGACTCACTTCCCCATTATCCTCAGAAGTCATTGTGCAAAAAAACTCACGTTCCGACACTTAAACAAGTTTGGCAATGATACCGTAATATGTTGTAGTTCTAATACAAATGATCGATGTCCGAAGTAACCCTTTTTGTAGTCGTCGAAATCATGCTGGAAGACTTGTCTCCTATATTCATCCACTCTTCGCGATTTCTTCGAGCACTAGGCATTCCAAACACATTTTCAGCTCATCCGGGATGTAAAGCGGATCAGTGGCAGTGTGACAACTACGAGTGGCACAGTGTCTCGTGCATTGCTGAGTATCAACGGTGTGATAACATCACTGACTGTGCTGATGGATCAGACGAGAAGGACTGCCGTATGTTGCTTTCTTACCAAAATAGAGGAATGATTACCTCAAACGAGTTTTAAAAAGTTGTTCAATTAATCGTTGAGCGATGATTCTTGAACTGAATATAATCCAATCGTTTTTCAATACCTATCGTCCTGTTAAGCTTCGAATAAGTATTGGGTGAGATTCAAAGTTTCCATTCGTCACCATAGCGCGTCTGTACGGAGAGATCTAATAATCGAAGAGGCACGAAATGAAATCGAATTCATGGGCTTCGAGAGCTTTACTATTTCTGGCACCTATAGAGGTTACGTCGTTTTGAATGTGTTATTACTAAGTATTTTCTGGGGAACAGCTTGATGAACTACTCGTAGCTACACTTTTCGCATGCTGAAAATAAAGAACCATGCACCAAAAGTGTACTTAACACTCTGATGTGACCTCTATAGGCGTCACAAGTAATGAAACTCTCGAAGTTCATAAATTCGACTTTATTAAGCATTGTTAGAGGTAATTGAGTGCATACCTGAGTTTTACAATGATTCGCGGTGGCCTACGGTTGCATCAAGCAAGTGCTGTACGCGTCCCAGACAAGTCTAGTACCAATTTGCCGACTCGGAGAGATGGAAGGCTTGGTAAGCATGGGACGCGAGGACCGATCTCATGTGCATTGCAAGGTGCCTCTGACCACTGCGCTACATGCGCCCACAAAGGACACACGATACGAAAATGATGGCCACTCTCATCATAAATCAGCATAACCCAGTTCCTAGTGAATGTTATTAATTACGACGAACTCTGTTAAAATTCACAAATTTTTTCCCACAATACAGAAGTTCCCTTGTTTTACCACGATGAAACTCCTGCTTTCTGAAAATTCCCAGCACTAAACGATATTCTTTCCCAGTGCGACGTTTGTATTTGCAACTGGCACTCTTCCGTTAGTTCTTTTAAATCTTAGATTTCGGCAGCAATTTTTCAGAGTTTTAATTCCAAGAAAATTTAAATTTTAAGGGAGAGTGCACAAGAATAATTTATGAGATTAATACGGTTAAGCAAAGCCTTTTCCATAGAGTGAAATTCTACTCTCCTAAAATACTCTGGCAATCGAGAAATTATCGTGATTCATCGAAAAAAGGCTTTGTCATGAATGTATTAACCAGCCCTTCATATGAAAACATCTAACTCCACCGTTGGAAGAAATCAATTAGTGCGGACTTTTGAGAAATATTGGGAAAGAGATGTTTTTTCTAAGGCTTTGTGGTCATTGCTATAAGATTTATCAGTTATGAGTCATAAATCCTATTTCATTCTCGTTTCACAAGAAATTCGAAAAGATTTCTCGGCCTAGACCTCATCTAGTGTTCTCAAGTGCTGAGCTTTCAGCTGCGAATCCTGTGGACTGTGACAATCATGACGGCAGCGTGTTTATGTGTGCTGACGGTCGGCAGTGTTTCGATGTTTCAAAAAAATGCGACGGAAAATATGACTGCAGAGATCTGAGTGACGAAAAGGTATTTGCGAACGTATGTTCCATGGGAAACTCTGTGACGTCAGAGCTTGTTTGCAGTAAACTATTAAGCGATGGTGTGCAGTAAAGGCGACCTAAATCCAGGCTATAGTCTTTGATTGCATGCTGATATTTTGTTCTTGTTCTGTGTTCTTCACACTATGATATGTTGACTGGCTCACAATGTTAAATGGTGCATGAGGATTTGTTATCTTTTCTCCTCATTTGCATAATGATCTCTAGTCGAAGCTGATTTCTCCTCAAATTGTGGGACAGACGTTCTATTTTGTTGTCAGGTTTTCACCACAAAAACTCACTGGCTCAGACTGTAAACCACAGTGAGTTTGTCCCGTAACGAACGAGATGCTTCTAGGACGCCAACAAATCCTTCGATTACTCTATACACCGCTCGAGGGAGATATAGCTAGCCAAATCCGTTTTAAAAGTTGAAAAGCGCAGATATTTTTGGTGATCTACGGGTTGAAATCAATTCATGTAGTTCCATAACGTTTTGATAACGAGAATTTAAAGCAGGACCCAGATGCGTTGACTGTGCTATGTCATAAATACTATAGCTGAACTGTCGTAATCCGAAGACGCGCAGTGTTCCATTTTATAGGATTCATGCTCACATAACCATACTGCCTGCTTCCAATATCAGTTTCGATGTGCCGATCAATCTCAATGTGTTCAAAAGTCGTGGGTTTGTGACGGCTCAAAAGATTGCGCTGATGGTTCAGACGAACCAGAAACATGTGGTGAGTTGCTTAAGCGAATGCGATATGGTCTTCTTTTGAATGAAAAGTTTTGAAAGTCAGTTAGTGAGTTTAGAATTCAAGCCATGCTCTGCCAGTGAGTTTCAATGCAAGAACAAACGCTGCCAACCGAGAAAGTTCAAGTGTGACTTCTATGATGACTGTGGTAAGCTATGACTAAAGTGCTTTAAATGTTGAGAATTCTACAGACGTATGCTGTTGAATAAGGAGATTTATACCTACCGTAATACACTGAACACTAGCAATATCAAATGAGGATTTTTATGGAGGATTATTTTGCCAAATAGAATCAAATTAAGGTGCTAATTTGGTAACTCAAATGCAATACAAATTTGCTACGCACCTGCTTATATTCGTAGTGATTTTCGTTTATTAATCTCCTCTTTCAAGGATCTATTGACGTGCCAATTCGTGAGTTAAAAGTCATCCAGCCGTGGCATTGTGCGGGACTCAGCATTCTTTTTCACGCGACTTGTTGTTCTCCTATTCATCATCTATGAAGACATTGGGATTTTCTTCTGGTTTCGGCTGCTACTTTAGAAAAATATCTTTCCATAAATATTGTTGAGTGATGGTCAGAATTATTTCCTCTAGTTTGTTTGGTCGTTTTCAGGCTTTCGCCGCAAGCAGGCTCCAGCTTTTGTGGATAGAAGGAACTCTTTTGCAGATAAGTCTGGTACCAATTTGGGATGTATGAAGGATGGGACTTCTTTGAGGAAGGATGTGATTAATTGAAGAACTATACGCTTAATTGCACGATATGTCTTGACGGCGAATGTTTTTTCTCTATGTGGTCCACCTTTCACACCTACTGTGCGGACTGCGACACGAGGGTCTTCCAGCTTTTTTACGTGTGGCTTCGGCTGTTGCTTAAGGATTTTCCTTTCATCTTGACTGTCCCAGAATGCTGGTTGTGTCAATTTTCGCTGGAATGCTGAGACATGAGCGCTAGTGTGTTCTCAGTTTGATTACAGAGAGTGTTTTTCGGATGAGTCCGGTACTGATCTCCAGACCGCAAACGGATGAAAGGCTTGCTTGGTGAGCTCAGAGCGGGATCGAGCCAGCACCATGCTCGTGATGGTTGGCAAGTTTGCGAAAAGTAGTTGGGAAATCACTCTGATATTTTCAAACTTAGTGATTTATTTTGCATTCACGTGGACCTCTCTCGTATAAATGATCTCCACACGACTCTATTCACAATACGAAGTATCGCCTACCCACTGGCTCATAAGAAGTAAAACACTAACCAATGATGACCGTGTACTTTCCTTAAGGTGTAGACGAATGCATTGGGTGAACTACTTGGACGTGATGCTCCAGATTGAATAGCACTTTCCATATAAATATATTCATGTATATGCTGGTAGATAAATGTTTGTAAGCGTATCGTTTTCTGTACGTGAAATAGAGCAAAATTGCAAATAGATTGCAAGGAAAATACGTAAAAAGTGATTTGGACAACAAATACATGTGAGCTCTAGTGTTGGATTGCCATAAGGCTACCTGTGATAGAATCATGTTCAGCAACAGAGCGCGGAACTCCGTTCTCCTTAAAATGGTGGATCCAAAGGTCTCCAAAATTCCCTGTAGAGCAGATGTTATCCACTAGAAATGTAGGGTGCACTGATATTTTCTGAGAGGTCCAGTAATTAAATGAATTAAAATTGATGCAGATGACGCTCGCTATAATTGAGTCTCTCCTCTTCATAGAGAAGTGAGCTTACTGTTTATTTACTCATACTTTATTTTCCTGGACCAAAACGCTTTTTTCTGAAGACACAACTGAGCCAGTCCAATGCCGTCTGAGCCGTTCACTGAAAGCAGTCCTTGAATACTGAGGGTTGGAAAGTATTGCTTTTCAATAGCTAGGCTTCTTTCAGAACAGTGCCATAGATTTATTCCCAGCTGGACCTCTGGATGGAAGTGCCGAATTCCTCAGAATTCCTCAACTTTCCTTGTTCTTGGGTACCAAGGAACAGATTAACGATTAAAAAACTGCTACCTAAGGAATAATTTATTCCTTGGGTATTATTATTTCAAAACAAAGCATTCTGATAACTCAATCTCTGACCACTTCACTAATGCGTAAGCTTTTAGGGGATAATTCGGATGAGGAAAACTGCGGCGAATATCGGTGCCCACCAGGAAAGTGGCATTGTAAAGACAGCGGTCACTGCATAGAAGAAGTTCGGTTGTGCGATGGTGTGAAGGACTGTGCTGATGGCGCTGACGAGGAGAACTGCTGTAAGCGTTCTTTTTTTCCATTTCCTTGTTTTTTGTGCTATGTTTAGTTCTGCAAAGAACGCCCGTAACACAGTGGTTAGACGCACCCTGCAATACACACGGGTTCGATTCCGTGTTCTAGACTCACCAGGCCTTCCATCGCTCAAAGGCCGAGAAATTGGTACCGGCCCCGTCTGGGAGGATAGGAACACTGATTGATACATTTGTAAGCCACAGCGAGTCATCGTTTTGGCCAGATATGCATTCAGTGACCTCTAAGAATTCTTGATGAAATCGAATACATGGCGATTCCTCAGGATTTGATCAACGCTTTATACTTTTTTCATTCTTCCAAAAACACGGAAAATACGAAGAATGCAATGAGGTTATATCTATAAAAACGTATCTGTAGTTTCAGTATGAAAGAAGGACTTCTGATTATTCTAAGGAGTGGTATGCCATTTAGGACAAGGTCCTCTTCTCATCAAAGTCGGTTTCAAACCTTTAAGTGATGCCTTATGAAGAGAGAGGTTTCGGATGGGAAAACTTCTCTAGTTTTGCGCTTCCTCTTGGGCATTATGATGACAGCGCCTCAAACTGATCAGACGCATATCTAGGATTCCATTCGAATGTTTATTACTGGATATCGTTTTCTTACTTTTCATAACATGTTGACATGGTACTCGTAAAGATATTTTCGGGGCGCTTTCAGTTTTTTACAGAGCTTGTTTAATTTTTAAATGATATCGTCACAACCGTCTCCTTATTTCAGCTCAGAATTTGTGTCCATCTCTTGGCTGTCAGGCAGGATGCCATGCTTCACCTCATGGCGGAGAGTGCACTTGCCCAGATGGATACAGACTGGACGAGAGATTTCACAGAACGTGTTCAGGTTGGAGTGGCAGAATTAAATATTAAATACGTAGATATTAATTAAGATGTTTTGATCTATTGTTGCACATTTTGCGATTTTCGCTATAACTGTCATCAAATTGCTTGAGAAAAATTAGTGAAGAAGATTGAAATCATGGCCACAGAGTTAATGATCTCCCTACGGTTTACCGCCTCATCATGACTGGGAGGTGTTCCTAGGTGCCCGGGCTGCGTTGTACGGATGGATTCATCCACCGACAGGGTCTCCCAAGCTAAGAAGGAGCCTGACGTTTCCATCAGGAAGCCTAGCTAAGACTAAACCAATACCAGGATTCACCACTGTTCTGGTAACAAACTAGTCACATGGTGGCAAATCTCATTCTGATTCGCAAAGGCGGCGACTGCTTATGGTGGTGACGATCTAGGGAAGACTACCCTGGCTAACCTCGGAACTCCAGAGAACCACAATGGCTCAACCAGCAAAACTCTAAAAACTGGAGATTGTTCTGGGATCGGCACAACCAGTGAGGAAGGGCCGTTCAAGTATCCAACTACCAAGCAAGAGTCGATCAAATACCGAGCAATTCCGAGTCTTTAAAAAGCGACAAAAGTGATGGGCAAAAACAACGACAACAAAAAAGCAATCTGCGTGTTGATATGTCGATAAAGTTTTTCTAACTTTGTAAAAGTCTTCCAGAACCAGCGTTTTCTTTTTTCCTTGTTTGTATGATTTCCATGAAAGGAGTTTTTTCTGAAGACATAAACGAGTGTGCGGAGTTCGGCTATTGTGATCAGCTTTGCGCCAACCATCATCCCGGATTTACTTGCTCTTGTCTTGGTAACTGCTACACACTTCAGGTAATGTGTTTATAGATAGGTCTTTGGCTACCACTGAATAGTACCTCTTCGCTGCTTTGATTTTAAATATTGACGGTTTTGTCTATGCCTTTGCTTTCAGTATTCTTTCAGTTCCAAAAAATCATATTTGGCTGTTTATTATTTCCATTTTTTCTATATTTAAGGACGTTTTTACTGTATTATTTAGATGTTTCATGGACCCGGCCAAGATAACCTTACTACTCGCGGTTACTGCATATCTGAAAATGCTGAGAAAATGAAACTCTTCGTCGCCCGTAGAGAAGGACTATACAGGTTTCCTACGTTTCATTAGGTTTGCCATTTCCATTTATGTGCAATTTTTGAGACTGAACGCCTTACAGAATTGATCCAAACGGTCCTAACACCGAGCCCAAACGTCTTGCTTCTGGAGAGTTCATTTACGGAATCGATTTCGATTACGGCGACCGTAAGGTGGAGTTTCTGTAATGGGTTGAAATTCTTTCTTGCTCTCCAACTGATTTGGTAAATTGAAAAATCTGTTTTTTTTTTGGTAATGAAACTGGTCATTGTTATTAGTATGATACGACTTCACACATTTTCCGGATCTGAATATTTCCTTCATTTGTTTCCCTATTTCGCGTTCATCACTCACGATGGTCTTCGAATTTTCGTGTGGCTTCGGCTTTCACTTGAGCATTTTGTCTTGCTCGGAAATGTCGCTGATAAATGCTGAGCAGGGTGATTCTGTTTGAAATCCTGGTTTAGCTCTACGAGGACATTCCCCGATCGTCATCACAGGGAGGCATCGGTATATGCATGCGGCGAGAGCCCTTCCCATTTAGGTCGGGTACAAATTTGCTGATCCCGAAGAGATAAGAGCTTTGATTGGTTATGAGCGTCGGCGAACATGTCACTATGAAGCATTTGTACAGTATCTCTACCACTGCATGATCTGGCCTTAGCTGGACTTCGTTGCTCCAAAATTCTGTTTTCTCAATGATTGTTAGGGACGGATAGCACAGAAGTAATGGTGTCGGTCATCACGAGCATGGTGCTAGTTCGATTCCACTCTGGACCAACCAAACTTCCCATCCCTTCGAATCCCGGAAATTGGTACCGGATTTGTCCGAGAAAACATCACTCTCTGTAATCCAAATGGGAACGCTCCAGCCCAGCTATCTCAGGAATCCAGGGAGAATCGACTCGACCACGATTCTACGACATTCAAGATGAAGTGGAAATCTTCAAACAGTAGCCGAAGTGACACGTAAAAGCTGGAAAATCTTTGTGGATAATGGATGCGAGGAACGAATCGGATGCGAGAAGTGCTCGGATCCGCACAGTAGACGCATAGATGGGTCATATAAAAATGTAAATAAGAAAAAAGATTGTTATATATCGTAGCAAGGTAAATTTCCAAAGCTCAACTTTGTCTCTGTTATGCCTTTGACTTGTGTAACTTGATTTTTTTCGAAGAAACCGGAATCCTTCATGTTTCTAGATCTTTTGGACTGATCGTCTTTCTCATTCTGCATTCAGTGCAGATGTGGATGAAGATGGTGAAATTTCTCAAATCAAGTATGTGAAATTATTTCTCTAGTGCTGTTAAATTTCATACTTCCGAAATGCCTTCGTACCTTGACTACTGGGGCTCATTGTATACTATTTGTTGCACCGATCCTCGTTATCCATAGTTACCGCAAATCAATAGACAAAAAGTAATAATTGGAATCGTCTTAAGGAAATTGGGCCTGAAATCACTAGTTTATCCGCGGTCGCTGGCTGTTGACTGGATCACCAACACTCTCTACATTATCGAATCCGGTGCGTCACCAAAGTTTTATAAGGTCTTTGTACAACATGTTGAGAACACGGGCTTTTCAAAAATATCTTTCTACGACAGGGAGGGGAGAAAAGGGAACAGTATCTGACATTTTTAGAGTCATTAACTCTTTCATTTTAGCAAGTCTCTAATAATATTTTAGGGATAAATTTCGACGTTTCCCTTCTGTTATTGAATGCGATTTATTTGTTTTTTGCTGAATAGCGGAAAGTAAAATGCAAGACAAACTTTGCAGGTTCGCGTCGTATCGATGTCTCCTCTTTCGACGGCGATCGTCGCACAGTTCTGTTAGCTGATGGCCTTACACTTCCACTCGATATTGCGTTGGATCCACTTAGAGGGTCAGGTTTGAGAATCTGCATTATTGCTAGTACTATGTTTATTTTCGGGCTCCAGGGCGTGGTCGTGGGTTCGATGCTGGTTTGTGATTACAAGTCTTTCAAATGTTTCAGCATCATTATGGTTGTATATCACGTAATATCCTGCAATGGCGTAAGATTGTCATTTCGAATGCAGCTTCTGCTTAATTGGGTTCAATGCCGATTTTGGTGGCCAAATATTTCCCTTCGACGGGCGATTGCTGTTGATAGCGATAGGTAGAAAACTAGCTGAGAGAAATGCAAAGCAAGGGTTTCAATAGTGTAGTGGGTAACACGTGAGCCCATGGAAGAGGTAGTCACAGGGTTGTATCGGCCTAGGATACAAATTTTGCAGATATCTCAACATTAGTGCAGTTTACTTTTCTTTTCAGAGATTCAAGAGCTTTCTTATTGTGGAACAGTTACCAATGCGACATTTTGTTTTTTAGAGAAATGTTCTTCACCAATCAATTCAAAGTGGAGGGAGCTGCTATGGATGGGTCTCGGCGCAGAACCTTGATAAACACACACACGCACCAGGTTCGTATTACATTCTGGAATCGTGAAACTTCTTTTGTGTGACAGTAAGCTTTTGGGGAATAGTGGAGTGTTCATCGCTCACGGACGTTCGTGCGCATTCCCGACTAGGAAAGCTTGTAGACCGTCCACATATTGGAAGCATCATTTGGTGCCAGATGTGGCCACGAAATGTGAAGCACCTATTTCTGCGTTGAGTGTTCTCGTGAAAGCACATGTCGGCGCAATTCTACAGGATTTGGTGGACAATGCGAATTTCCTACTTCTCTAATGATAGTTTATAACAAATTCTTCTTATATGAATCATGTCTTTTGGAGCGCGGCACCATTTATAACTATAAATCTATTATTCAGGTTTCTGGAATTGTCGTAGACATTCCGGCAAAGAGAGTGTATTGGGTGGACCCAAAAGTCGATCGAGTTGAAAGCATCGATTATCAGGTAGTTTATAAGTAAACTTTGTTCCTGGTCTGGATTATGTTGAGTGGTTTGGCGCATTAAGATTATGGACATTGATAGGAATAAACGAAGCATTTAGCGGGAGCTAAATATCATGACTTGTTTCCAAGAGTAACTGTGGTTCGACTTGTATTGGCCCCTATATAACAAAAAGAAGTCCAGCACTAAGAAGACCTAAATCCGTTTTTTTAGGGTAACGATCGACGCATTATCGCGCAGACTATGAACAATGTGCCCCATCCGTTCGGCCTGACGCTATTCGATCAGTACTTGTATTGGACTGATTGGACCCGACTTGGAGTAGTGAAGATTGAAAAATTCGGATCACCAACCGAAATTATTTGGTCGGCCAATTTAATACGCGTTTCCGTGTTTTTCCTTTTTTTTTCGAGAACTTTTTTTCGCTATTCTACTTTTTTTTTCTAGGTTACTAAATCTATTGTTTCTATCATTCTGTGAATTATTATACCTTTGTATCCCTTATATACCTTATCTAGTACCAGTTGAATTACCAAACCCATTGAAGTGCTAACAAACCAAGCTATATTTGAGGATCAGAGGTCTGAGTGCCGAGTTAAGATATTATACTTCTCGAATTAAGAACTTGCTTGCCTCCTAGGAATCTGCCAGTATGCGATGGATTCCAGGCCAGAAAAACTAAACGTCGATTATTCACTTTCGTGCACCATTATCAGCCAATGTATAACTTAGTTCGTCGTCTGTGTATTAATTGACCAGAAACTCGACCTCTTATAGATCGGTACCTATAGAACAAACCGGTTTTGGTCTGTACTGCTGCTGGCTGTATGAATTCCAGCTATGCAGTTCTTTACAGTTGAGATCTGTTAATCGCTGATTACTTCCTTTTCTTTCTTCTTTCTTCCCATTCCTCACCAAGAACATTCCTGAGTTGTATGTGGCAGTTCCCCATCTATTGTTTGCTAGCACTGCTATTGCTACTGCTTTTAGATGTCGTTGTTATATAAGGAACTAAGGAAAAAAAAACAGCCGGAAGAAAAACCACTGGGAAGAGGTGGAATCAAATTGGATTAGTTCTTTCGTTCTCCTTGGGGTTCAAAAAGTCCTATCCATTGCTGCTAAAATGGTGTTTCTCTCCAATGCACTCGTACAATTCTCGCGTGTATTGCTTGTAACTTCAGGACTAACAAGGAAAATAATCTCTTTCCTATGGGCATCTCCGCTTATCATCCTATGGCGCAACCGGGTAAAGTCGCCTTCTACTTCTTCTACATTTTTCTCCTTGGTTCTTTGGTAGCGAGATTTCGAATGTAGAAAGCATTTCCATTGCAGGACCTAACCAAAGTGATTGCTTGGTGCAGAAAATTGACAATCCCTGTGCCACAGCCGACTGCGAAGGAATGTGCATCCTGTCTAAGGATGCCGGTGGATTCGGAGTGGGATACCGATGCACTTGTCCAATTGGTCAGGTCCGTCTCACTGTATCATTCTCAAACCACTTTCACCCTTTCCGCAATTTAAACTCATTTGAACATCATGGATAAAAACACTAAATAATTAGGCTACTGTTTAGGGTTTTTTCAGAAACTGGTGGAGGGGAAGAAGTGTATTGATTCGATCGATTACTTACTTTTTTCCAGCAACAAAATCGTTCGAGGAATTTTTCCCGACCAGGTGCTGTTTTTCAAATTTTAACTGGATATTAAAGTTGTTCCAGTTCTTCACATTTCGTTTAAGCCACAACAGTTTGATTTGTGACAACAATACGTATAGTGGCAGTTGTTATGGCACAATGATTTATGACACGGATACACGGAAACGTTAATTTTCATAATTCTTATCCTACATAGGAAGTCAAGTCTATGGTGTTGTCTAAAAAATTGCAAAGGTTATAGATGGGTAAACCTAATATATTTCGTAAGCACAGTTCTGCAAAGCGGGAAGATTATTTCGCTTCTCCGTGCAAAATGTGGGCACGGAATGGCACTCGAATTTGGTGCAATATGTTTTGTAGCGCTTAGGTTTTAGTAGGGGATATATTATATTGGACCATGCACTATTATGTCTCCACAGGTGCAGACTTCGCTATCGGAAGCCATTTTACCTATTTCGCCGATTTCGCAACGAAGAATTGGAATGTACTTCGAAGTGGAATGCGACGTACATGGCAATAGTTTCTTCTATGCTGATATCATGGATAATACCATACACCGGTGAGCGTCTTTTAGCAATTCCTATCACAATTAACCTGGTAACAAACGAAGATCTGTTATAAAATACTTGAAATAGGACTATTTCTATAATTATGTTTACCAATATTTCAAATATCTAATCTTTGATGACCTTTGTGTCGTTCGAATGGAGCTTTTTCTTAAATGGGGCTGAGGAAAGTTTAGTTTCTTCATTTAGTTAACACCTAGACTCCCCATTCGCCGAACTCGTTATGAGCGCATATCAGCTTATTGACCTATTTGCCTGCTTACGGACAACCACGCCCCTGTTTTCCGCCTTATAATTAGATTATCTCTTTTGTTTCCTACTTGTTCTTTTAGCTTTTCTACATGTTTCGCGTTTTTGAATTATTTCAAATTTTTGCTTGTAGTGAAAAGAAGAGCTTGTACGCCATGAAACTAGGTTGCTGTAGGCACTTGGTAGCCGGTATCACAACACATATTAACCATCCATCGGTTTCTCTTACAGTGATTTCATGCGATGACCATGATCCACTAGTGAACGGAAGTGAAGTGAAAATCAATTACCTGTTACGGTTTTTTTCCTTGCACATGTTTGGTATATAATGCAGGTTTCTTGGCAAGGTTTCTCGACAACTCTTTATAATTCCTTCATAACCAAAGTGCTTGAGGGTGTGATAGCATGACGTACTTGTAAAACAGCCTTTCCTCTATCTAAATTTTTTAAAGTGTTGTTTTTTTTCCCAAGTTTTATATGGCACTCACATAATCAGAAAAGAGAAAAACGGTGAAGTTTTAAAGTCTCAAAAGCAAGGGTGGCAGCAACAAATATTGACTGTACATTGTAGAACACTACAGTATTCTCGTACACGACACGTTGTTTTTCTCACCGCTTCGATTCTCGAATAATAGTGCCGATGAAAAATCTGTGGGCTTTGCAAAATTAGAATCTCATCTTACTTGAACAATAAGAATTCGCCTTATTTAAACAGCTTTAGCGATGTTACTAGGTTATATTTTAATAAACAAAGTATATAGACAACTGGGATGTTTTTATTTAAAATTGACAGGTTGAGTTAATGCCGCCAGAGGCACGATGAGTGCTAAACCATGGGATGATGGTAAATTGCATTGGAGAGTGCTAATTATAGAATTTCAAGCTTCCAATGATTGCGGGTGGTAGATAAAAAAGTAAATTGCAAGAATTACAGATTTTGAAACAAATATATTCGAGCACGATGTTTACAACATCAATGGAATGTTATGAAAATAAGAGTTATAAGTGAGACCCTACGTGGAAACACATTGAAGAACGCTTAAACCACCTACTAATAATAATGCCATCATTCACCTATAAAAGTGCCAATGATTTACCGTCTAATCGTGGCGAGAAAATGCCTCTTAGTGTCGTACTTCGGAGTTCAAGTACAACACTGACGTCTTTGGTGGGTGTTCTCTCCACTACCAGCAATCTCTCGGTTCACGAAATAAACTCGTGCGCAAAAGTTCTTCGCTGACTAATAAGTGTAGCGGGTAGCTCTAAGGTCCAGCAGTTATTTCCTTCTAGTAGGCTACCGACTGAGCACATCTGTCTCCCAGCGTTAACTTTGTCGAGAAATCTTGTCTGAGGTCCTCCTGAGGCCATTTATTTCTGTATTAAATAAATTCACGTGTTTCCAATTACTGAAGAACACTTCCTTATGCGTATTTATTTTTATCCATTCTCATTCATGGAGCCAATTTAGCAGCTCTCCAGTATAAATTTTGTTATAAAGAGGTATTTTCGAGTCGACGACGGTACAATGCTTTTCTTCTGCTGTTTAATTGCCTTGCTTTAATTAATTTTACGAAACTTAGGAGAACGAGAAAGCTTCATTGTGCCTTTGTTATTTCAAGTGAAATGCACTCTGCTTAAATACACTAACACCGTCAATTGGCGATACAGTACTCAATGATGCCTCTACTGTTCTACAACTGCTGAGTCCCATAAACGCATTATATTGCGAATCCTCTCCATTGTGGGAATATTTAGATGTTGTCTGTGAAGTCTCCATAAGTGAAGATTTATGGTAATATTTTTCGGGCCTTTCAGAATTCGTCCTGATGGTGAGGGTGCGGCGCCAGTTTTGGTCACACATAACGACGGTCTCGTTTCAATGTCATTTGATTGGATAAGCAAACAGCTGTACTACATCGACAACATCAGAAACAGTTTAGAGGTGATGGTGTTAACATATCTCATCTCCCACATATGACTTGAGCATCCGATTTGGAATTCATTGAAAATCCTGAACTTCATTGTTGATTTGTTTCGTTTTTATAGTACCTTTATCTATGATACGTGGAAATAATAGAGTTTCCTCCACCAGTTAGTTATCAGTAGCATTCATGTCTTAAGTTTTTTTAAATTTCAGGTGGTAAAGATTGCCGACACTGGTCTTGTTCATCCAGACCAGCTCACCCATCGCCAGTTGCTAAAGAATCTTCGCGATCCCGTATCCGTAGTTATTCATCCATGGAAAGGATATCTGTTCTATGCAGAAGCTCAGCGGCCTGCCAAAATGTACAGGTGTGTCTTCTTGATACATCCAATGTCTTTGCGTCGGCAGCTTTGTAAGATTCTACTTGCGATTCCGCATTCATGAATTTTGATAAAACTTGCAAGTTAATCAGTCAATCAAACTTAGTCTTGATTAAGGATGTAAGCTCTCTTCTATTTCCAAAATTTTTCCACATTTTCATTGCAATCAGGAGGAAATGAGTGTATATGAAGGTTTCGTTGTGTGATGGTTCTGCTGCGCTAGTGCTCTTGATTTATAGCAGTGTGTTACGCCTCAAACTTGGATAGCTACACCATATTCAAACTTTTTTTTTTCAAACCAAACCTTTTCAAACCAATTTCTAGACAACATCCACGCAGTTGAGTTAAATATGTATATACAAGTTACAAAACAAGTTGGTTTAATGGGCAGAAATATTATGGGTAACAAACAGTGCTAACAATGTTTTAAAGCATTGTGAAGTAGGTTCATAAGTGCATGAGATGCAATTAGAAATATTGTTTGTGTAACAATATTGGTATAGCTGCAACAGCGTCTTTACGTGACCAGTGAGCAAGAATGTGATCGCGATGACGAGGTTACACTAGCAACAAGGAAGAAGATTCTGGGCAGTGACAATGCATTAAACATGGTAATTCACCCATCACGCAAGTCCATCAAAGGATATCTGTGAATTCGAGCATAGTAGAATTGTAAGTAAAGGTTTTGGTTTGGCAACGGTGACTTTTATGGAGTACTCATAAAAAGTGGAAGTATTTGAGGTAACTGCTAGATTAACAACGCATAGTGATTAAATGAGGATTAATGGTAACTTTACTATGTTGATGAAGTAAGAGTATTAGACTTTATTTAACATTATTCCGACCTAAGAGAGTAGCTTCTCTAATAGATTGGTGAAGTTTAGACAACATGTGGCATATAGAAGTATAGCTCAGAAAAAGTACGGAGCAATGGCTAGCACAAGAAAAAAAATGGACAGAAATCGTTCCACAGTTGAGTAGCAATCATTATGTACTGCTTTCGAATGGATGCTACGGTAGGCGGGATGGACAACTCTAACATATTGGGAAGTCTAATTTACAAGTGAACACGGAGTGCCTATGGCGGATGTGGGGCACTAAAGATGTAGAGTAGACATAGACATGTCATACAATGGTAACCATGAACCCATCGAACTGGAACAAGCAATGCCATTTTTCAATACATGAGAAGTCGTCGTCGCTAATGGAATAGTACCACGTTTCCATAGCGACTACGTTAAAGTAACAGAGGATAGTGGATGTTCTCTGTGCACCACCTCACCTCAACTTAATGTAATTGAGTGATTTTTTTTTCGACTTAGAGGATAAGGTGTTCTAGCATTCAATTATTTTTAGAGGGATGCGAAAACGTACGAACTGCAGATATTTTTTGTATTAGATAGTGAAAATAACGAACATAATGAAAATATGACTGTATGAATATACTTACTTGGATGCTTGAATGGCCCACCTGCACTGGTTGTATGAACCCCAGCACTATCTCTTTTTCTAGGAGTTTTGTAAACTTAGCCATTCCGGTTCCCTGGAGTCCTGGGGTCAGCCTAGCCAAAGCTTGCTCCAGGTCGCCGCCACCATATGCAATCGCCGCCTTTGTGGAGAGGAGGGAGATTTCCACTAAGCAACTAGTCTAATACCAAGACAGTAGTGGATCCTGGTATTGGTTTACTCTTAGCTGAACTCCTTCTCAGCTAGGGTGATCCTGCTGGGAGGTTGAATCCCCGCTGTACATCGCAGCATTGCATCCCCACTCCCAGGAACACCTCCCAGCCACGATGAGCCGGTAAACCACTGGGAGGGTACGAATATAATCTGTTATATCTAGAAGGTGTTAACTAGTCGGTTTATGAAAATAGGATCTAGTATTTTTCGACATTTCTTTGTCGCTCAGTCCAATTAATTTTGCAACTTTTTATTTCAAAGTGATGATTACAAAGGTTTTAATTATTGCCAGTACTGGGGAGATTGACATACATCAAGTCGGTGCTATCCTCTTGAGCAGATCTTCAGAGCTTGTGGAGCTCAAATAAAATTAAATTAAAAATAAAGTTGCGCTTAGTTAGCTAAGTACTCCAAAACCTATAGAACCTAAATTTCATTTCCTCAGAAAATAAAAAAGCTTTTTCGTATACTCACCGCTTTCTACGAGTTTTCCACTATTCCTTGTGAAGACCAAACGTACAGGTTTCATATGGATGGCTAGTGTGCTTCTCTCACGTTAAAGTATGAATCAGTAAAAGTCAGAAGTCAGGTCATACGTCTTCCAACCAATCTCTTTCCACCAACGGAGTTTCAGGTGTCACATGGACGCTACGAACTGTGTGGTTATCCGCAACACGACACTTGGAAGACCGTCTGAGATGGCGATCGATTTCGAAGAGAACCGATTATGCTGGGGAGATACGCTACTAAAACTGATCAGCTGCATGGATTTCGACGGTTCAAATGTACGGTTTCTTCTCCTTGTTTCAAAATTCCCTTCAAGACTAACTTTTGAATCGGCTTTTTGCCTGCATGAGGCAAAACAACACTTTTTTCGTTTATACAGGATAAAAACTTAGGAATACCTTCATAAAACTTTGGTTCAAAAAATCATCTAAGCAGCAATTTTTTGGTTGATCCTTTAATTTATTTTTTCTCTTTTGCTTTAGAATTGCTTGTAACAGCCTGTTCAAAACTAAGCATGCATTGGAACCACTTAATGAGTTCTTAAATAAGTAAAGATAGCAGACATGTCTGTTCATACATCGTTGTATCTGATACATTCCAATGTCCAATGGTATTAAAGAAATACGAAATTTTTTCGTGCTGTTTACAGGCGCTTACACAAGGCTTGTAGTGCTCATAGTATGGTTTAAGTTGCAATACTCTTGCGATGCCTTCGTTTTGAGACACTTGACTACAGGTGGTTGTCTTGCCAGTTGATAATCCGATACCGGTCGCGTTGGCAATCATGGAAGACCATCTATACTACGTACATCAACGGCCCTATTCCATTCGCCAAGTTAGTAAAAGAAACGGCGGCACTGGACGAGTTATTCGTGAATTCTCGGGCGAAGAACGAAGCATATTTAGTTTGAAAGGTGGGCATAGTTTTTCTTTCATTTTTCAAACTGGAGAAGATGGATTTGACTAATATAAGCATATATTATGATTAAGAAGAATTAGTGTAAACGGAAACATATTTGTTTCATGTCATCTCTTGGTTTCTTTTCGCAAGTACTAGTGAATTGAGGTAATAAACGTGCGATCGGTTTAATAACCTCTTTCCGGCAGGTTTGTTTTCAAATAGCTTGCTTTCAGTGGTTGTAGCATCATCCCTGTAGCAATAGATAATGGAGAGAAAAAAATTTTCAAGAACAATATAGCTTTATAGCCTTCAAGTTTATTTCTTTCAGTGCAGGATAAATACGCTTCTGATAGATCACACGAAGAACACGATCGCTTTGAGAATTTACTAGCACTAACTTCAACACTAACCTCAACTGCTGAATATGTCTGAGATTTTAGCATGTAGTCATGCTAACCAGCCGATCCCTGGGGACTCGCAGGACCATCCGTGTCACGCTTCCAACTGTGCCCAGTTCTGCTTCGTCATGCCGAACAACTCCTCGGCGAACGACGCACCACAACTTGTTTCCCAGTGTGCATGTCGGCAAGGTGAGCGAGTCGAACTCTTGTCGAAATCAATAAGAGCCAGGTTTTTGAAGTGCTAGAATGTTGAAGAGAAATAAAGGTGGCAAACACCTATATTACTGCAGTTAGTCTCTTAGTACAGAAGCGACGAAATGAAGGAGTAGTCGCCTTCTATACATTTGAAGGGAAAATTTAACAGAATTCTCTTACATCATCGCTGTTAAAAAACCAATTCATGATATCCCTACTTTATTTCAAAAGAATACCGCAGTGTTTGGTCCTTTTTATTCAACAAATGATTGCATTGGTCAAATGCATTTTCAGTGTGTTTGCGTTTCTTTTAATACTGGCACAATTCATGAATTCTGATTATTCCATAAACTGTTTTTAATTAAGGGTTTAAAATTAATCCTGAAAATGGGTACACATGTCAAAAGGATAACTCTGAACAACCGGAACCTTTATGTACTTCAAATACAACACAGTACCAGGTTAGAATATTTCTTTTCGATTCGTTGTTGATAGGCACAGATTACAAGACCGATTCAACATTTTAAGCATTCATTATTAATAGCTAATATTTCTCAGTGCAAAAATGGTCGTTGCATACCGAAAGAATGGAAGTGCGATGGCGAAGATGACTGCCTAGATGGATCGGATGAGGTGGACGCAGAGGGCAACAAATGTTACCATGAGGTCCTTATATGCATCATTCTTTAAGCTGTCATGCGAAAGCCGAGAATGACGTCGAGAGAAAAGCATAAATGCTTGTGCAGTAATAATCACATATATCACAGATTTTGATATAGTTTGTTCATCAAATCCTTCGAAGGGCATGTGTAGCGCAGCTGGGATCGATCCCCGCGCTGAAGGTGCGCCAAGTCTTCCCTTCCTTCAAGGTCGGCAAATTGGTACTAGCCTTGTCTGGGAGGATATCAGCACTGGCTTGACACATTTATAGGCCTCCGCGAGTGCTTCTAAAGGCCAGATATGCATTCAGTCGTTTCCAATGTTGCTCAATGAAGTCGAATCCATGTTGCATCCCTTAGAGATTGATCAACACCGAGAGATTTATCCTTTTTTATTCTTGGAAACGCTATATGAATTATTTTTTCAATCAAAAGAAAGTGCAAATAAAGAAATATTTTTGAAAATAGGAGAACATAAAATTGTGACTTGAGCTTATGAAGTATAAAATAGAATGCAGATTATCTCCTGTGCTTCCTATTTATTGCAACTTTGTTGAAAAAAGGAAATTTCGAATTTTTGATATTAAGCTGATTTTTTGGCCGATTTGTTTCAATACAAAGCAGCAGGTTTTTTTTATGAAATATATTACGTTGAACTTGGAAATGCTACTTAGAAGGTGCGCTCTAAAAAATTGGAATCGAATTCTGTAAACATGAACTCGAAAATTCTTTTCTAGACAGATTGTCCACAAACCACGATACGCTGCAAAAATACGAAGAAGTGTATTCCGGCTCAGTACGGCTGTGATGGCGATAATGATTGCGGCGACTTCTCGGACGAGGATGCGCAGTATTGCAAGGATGGCCAGAAGCCAGTATGCTCTTTGAAAAAATTCCAGTGTGACAATAACAGGTATGTGACTAAAACTTACCAGCGTCCATTGTATGTTTACCGCACGGCAACGTCTTAGGTGCATTCCGGAGCAGTGGAGATGCGACTCGGACAATGATTGCGGAGACGGCTCCGACGAGAAGCTCGAGTTGTGCGCCAATTCAACGTGCGCCGTCAACCAGGTCTCGTTTCAGTTTTTGTTTTGCGAAAACACTGAATTATTTTCATAAGTTTCGAAATAATATCCTAAAAAAGATGGTCAAAAAAAGATCGGAAATTTTTTTTCTGGTCCTTTCCCTACTTGTTTTCTGGGAAGACGCACTTTTTCACTTGTTTCCCATAGATGTTTATTCATAATAATGCTTTTTTGTTTAAATCCTTTATCTGCTCTCTATTCTATGCTCCGTTCGTGATTTTTCAAAGATCTTTGCAATAGCGAAAGAATCGTACATATTAGTATTTAGTACTTAAGCTACGACGACTAATTTTATGTGGTAAACAAATAGTACGACGTCTTATTTCATTTTGTTACGGTTTCGCTAGTTTTAGACAATAGACAGTAATTTTTTGCCAGAGGACTTGAGAGGTTGAGTACATCGTAGAATTTTATCGGAGAATTTAAGACTTTGCTGTATGGCTCTACGAGTTGGCATTATGTGCTCGCTACATACTACATAGATGTGCATGTTTACCCCAGACCTTAAACTCGGATAATAAAGCCTTTATATAGGACATTTTTAGTATAGCAATAAATATATTAAGAGACATAGGTATACAAAATTGTAAACGGCAACCTGCCTTTTACAAAAGACTGCTTAGGTAATAGAAGGAAAAAAAGTGTAATTACACGTCGTCACCTAAGAGGAATAAGGTCGGATGGAATCGTGACCGGATGCTGGTGTGTATGAGCTGACAAGTTGGTATTGATCCTCAAATAGTACTCATAGAGTGGATGGGGTTAGCGCTGGAGCTTTTTTTTTAAGAAGAACATTATAGTGTGATCGAACATCGTTACACCTTCCGAGTTGTGTCTGTTATGAAAGCCACGCTGTTGTGCTGACCACATGGCGTGGGCAAAAATAATTTCGTTACACAGGCAAGACTGGAAGAAATTTGTTAGGAACAAAACGACAAACAACAGCAAAACAAAACAACTAGTATTTTTCCATTGATTACTTAACAAGAAAGGATAAAAAAGACTTTACTCGGCTAGCCTTTCGGCACTATGGCCTTTTCGAGAGCCGGATTGATATGAGTCGATTGATCACAGTTGATCGCTCTTCCAAGTGATCGCATCATGTCGAATCCAATAAAACACTGCTCGAATAGAGTAACATTACTCTTTCATAGGAGACGGTTATTGACACTGATTGTCCGTTAATAAACATTTTCCTGCTTATAATCCGTCATGCAGTAGTCGGTATCATTGTCAGGTAGTACAGAAAGCACTGGACAATCTACTTGGATCAATCCGGATCTGAGAAGGGCAAAGGCGCCGAAACGTTAGTCGAGTATAATTTTTAGCCAGCCTCGCGTATGTTAATCAATGGAGAAATAAGTGTTCAATAATAATGCTAAGGTTAAATAAAAGCTATAATATTCATTTAATGGTCAAACTACCTGTCAATAATCTCGTCCAGAGAAGATTTTAACTTCTAATTTACTAAATGTATACAATAAGTTTTCATGGGCCACGCATGACATAAAAACCACGTTGTACAAACCATTTACTGATGAGAAGAAAGAGGAGAAAAAAATTTACGCGCCAGAATTAAGCACTAGGAAGGAGATGACTTTTATGGAGATCATAGTGCTACCCTTCGACATACATATGATTCTATTGAGGTAAGGTCGTTGCGTAAATGTTAGCGAAACAGTTAAACCAAAAGGGAACATTTGTTTCATCACTATTCTCTTCTGTTTTAACTTGGGTGAAAGATAAAACAGGCCTTATGATTTTTTGTGGGAGTACCAACAGTTTATAACACTATTTTTTTCCGAATTTCCCATACATGCAAAGTAAGGAGAGAAGGAAAGCACTCTGCCTGTTTAGTTTTCTTGTGCTAACGGACGCTGCATTCCGATATATTGGCTCTGTGATGGTGACAACGACTGTTACGATGGTACCGATGAAGACAAGGAACGTTGTCCGCCGGTGCAGTGTCGTAGTGACCAGTTCAGGTGAGCGGATTTCGTGTTCTTGGCGCTAGCTGGCTGTAGGACATGGAATTACAGGAAGAGGTATAGTCAGAACATGTGGTAGGATTCACTTCATAAATGTAGAACGGCAGTTGTAACCAGCAAAGCTTTTACAACTTTATTCAATAAGTAGTTTAATTAAAACTGCACTACTAGTCAGATGTGCTAGCGGTCGTCAATGTATTTCACTACGCAACCACTGTGATGGACAAAATGACTGCGACGACGAGTCTGATGAGGACAGTTGTGTAGTTCAGGTTGGTTACACAGCATTAATTGTGTTCTTTACCGCTCCTTGTAAGAGGAAAAGTTTGAATTGATTTCTTACTGATCTCCTAAACTTTTTCGAGCACCACAGCTAGTTCACTAAAACGATTATAATGTAATGGCTAGTTCGTGTGAGTGTGCTTTTCTTCGTGTGGGCTTCACTTCCTTTCTTCAGCAACTCGAAATATCTGTATATGTTGTAGTTCAGGCTTCAATTTTGTAAACTCGATTAGAATTACTATGCAACAATTAGTGACCATAGTTCTGGTTTAAACTCGACCCTTGGAAGAGTTTAAGGCTTTCAATTTGAACTTTTCAAGAGCGCATTATTTTAAACAGCATAAAATCATAAACTAACTCTTAGGAAAGTCGTTACAATGTCTTAGCTGTTTATCACTGCAAATCCTTCTTTTTAATGACAAAATATGATGTTAAATGCAGTTGTAGGAAAACGGTATTTCGGGTATCTGTGTACGTATATGTACTGGTATATGGGTAATCGCGGGTTCGAACCCCAGCTAAGGTTCAAAGATTTGCTCGTATATCAACGTGCTTGTGGTTCTATTTCACGAATTCGTTACATTAGCACTGAAAAACAGAAAACGGTTTTGTGGATTACATAGGCCCCCGAAGCAAACGTTAATTTCTTAAAGTATACTCCGTTTCTAGCAAAACACATGCACGTCGGACCAGTTCCAATGTAAGTCGAGCGGTCTTTGCATACCAGCGACGTGGAAGTGCGACGGGCAGCAGGTTTGAGATTTATTTCTTTCGGCTGCAATTATTTCTTTATAAATTGAAACTGACGAATTTCAAAAATTACTGGATCCTTAAAGGATTGCGATGACTCGTCCGATGAGCCAGCTTTTGGTTGTAGCACTAATAGTTGCAAGGAAGACCACTTCAAATGTGCCAATGGACGATGCATACTTAATGTGAGCTTTTTATTTAATTCTAATTTATCGTAATGTTTGCCATCCAATGTTGGACCAACACTTTATGTTTCTCAAAATTTTGTCGATACTGAATACAGCCACAATAGCGCGTTCGATCCCCATTGCAGACACCTGCGGTCCGGTGTTTAGCAAATATCTCAGCACCATTGTGGTTGTATTTCGTATAATATCCTGCATAAAAAATTACAGAAGGCAGGAAAAAAATTAACATACTGAAATCAATGTTTCTACGAATTTTAATATGCGGTTTTCTTAGCGACGCGCGAAGTACTAGTATTTCTTCAGTTGTCTTTGTCCTAAGAACTATATTTTTCAACTCGAGAATGCTTTCACTTTATTGTTGCACAGTGATTTTTTTCAAAGTTGGGCTTATTGGAAATGAAGAACCATCGTAGCTCTTCCTTGCCTCCTGTTACGAACATTTCTATCTTGCACTGAAAAACATTTTGTTCACAGTCATGGTTGTGCGATGGCGAAAATGATTGCGGCGATGGGTCCGATGAGTCGGCTGAGAGCGGTTGCAAGAAATTACAGCCGACGAGGCGTTGTCCTTTCGAACAGGTGATTTTTATAGTTCATAAGGAGGCAATAGTCAGTTTATTCATGATGAAGCTATTTTACAGCTTTTAGGTGATGTGTGATGAAAATTCAGATGTATGCATTCCAATTCATCAGCTGTGTGATGGTAAAGAGCACTGTCCCGGTGGTAGTGACGAAGGTGGCAGGTGATGTTCGAATAGAGATTTTAAAGTCTATCCATGCGTTACAAGTACAAATATTCCGAGTCGTATGGGACGACCCTGAATGGATTGTGGGGAAATGGAGAACTTTAACCTGTAAACTGAATAATCTTTACGAATACTCCTGTGTTTGGAATATTTTGAAAGTAGTTTACATTTAAAAATATAGAAACGTCTTACGACTTTCCTAACGAATGAGGAATAAAATGAAATTTGAGCGGCTGAACAAACCAATCGGTTTCTGAAAATGATTTGTTCATTAGGATCATTAGTGCTAATTCATATTCTTTTATAACATTTCGAGGGAAAACATTAGAAATCGCTTTGTAGAATAGCTATACCTCATGTCTTGTTTTAAATGAAAACTTTATATTAAATGGAAATATGAAGCCACTATTTGTTTCACTTCGTTTTTTCTACAGATGCTCTCGAGATTTGTGCTCCGCCGATCGTGCCGGTTGCTCGTTCAAGTGTCACAATAGCCCGAATGGTCCTCTATGCAGTTGCCCATTCGGAGAACAGGTGCTACCTCCACTCATTCCTGTTGGTATGCACGGATTAATTGTGACTAGTTGCTTTCAGCTGGTTAATAAGACGCGATGCGAACCAGAGAACGAATGCCTCGATGCGAGTTCGTGTTCGCAAAAATGTATTGATGAGAAGCATGGATTCTCATGCAGGTGATTCTGTTTGTTAAATTGTTTTCTTAAGTCTCAAGCATATCAAGAAGAGACATAGGCAATTTAGCGATTAGCATCGAATTTTAACAATCTCCTAAGAGATGAAGTTTACCGTACCATGTTTTTACATGTCCGATGTCACTGAGTAGTAACCAGTTTACCAACATTACAAAAATGCTTGTGCATGGACTCACACGGATAGCGTGCTGACCCCAGTACTGAACTCAAAAGGCTCTCAATGTTTGATGTAGGCATGATTCTAAATGGAATAAACCAAGTTTAATCCAGATTAAGTTTACTTCCACCTCACGCATCTTTATCGCACAAGTGTTTTTTTAGATTTTGTTGCCAGAGAAAGAAATCCTGGTGACTAGAAAAGAAATCCAGAAAATTTAAAGTAAATTTTTTGTTTAGAAGTTCATCTTTTCCAGTTTGTGAAAAGTGCCATGCAATTTCTGTGTAATAGTTAGTGACAAATTTTCTTAAACAATATAAAAACACTCTAATCCTTGAAATGAAATGAACATGCGATTTGTTTTTAATCAGTTTGACGAGAAATCAATAGAGATGCTTCTCGACACTTTTCAGTTGTGAAGAAGGATACACTTTGGATGCAGATAAACGTACTTGCAAAGTAACTGAAGGTGCGGCGGATATGCGTGTCTACATTTCTAATCGCAACAGGTAGGCTTACTCAATCCAACTGACGAAAACTACGTCGTGTTTTTAGTTTCAACTTCAGAAAGCCCTCTTTGAACCAGGGTTTTTGCGTTTTTTTTTTCGAAAATTCGTGCATCGTAGTCAATCCATCACTGAGAATTTCGGTTTTTCGATTCATCAGAGGCGTGGATATCCCAGCTTCACGTTCAAAGAATCGGAATTGTGTGCTCCACACTACCTTCATTATTTTCGATTATGCTCTACGTACTGCAGCCATTCTAGCTTTCATTTAGAACTTAGTATTAACGTACTATTAGTACGCAAGGGGCTCGTGTAGCACAGTGATCGGAGGTACCCCAATACACATGGAGTCAATCTATCTGGTAGGATAGCAGCACTCGCTCAGTTCATCGGTAGGCCGCCAGTCGCGTAAAGGCCAGATATGCATTCATGCACCTCCAACGATGCTTGGTGAAGTCAAAAGCATGGCGCATCCTTCAGGGATTGATCGACGCCGTGAGCTTTATCCGTTCTTTTACTGTGCACAGTGGGTAGTTAGTGCTCCTGAGTCTAACTTTCCCAACAACTCAGGCGTTAGTGCATTCCTTCAGTGGAATTCTATCCATCTAGTATATTCTATCGCAAAACACATTTGGTCGACAATAGTCGATTTCTATGATTTCGAATTCTAAAGTGCTCAAGCAATTCGAGTGCTTCGAAGTTTTGCAAATTAATCAAAGTATTCATTTCAAATGTGCAAAAGTAGAGGGGGAACTATATACTTTTGTGCTTAGTGGCTTTTCCATTGAACTCTTTAGAAAAAAGAGAACAACCTTTCTTTATCGTAAATAATTCGTTGCAGACTGTATTTTCTTCATTTGTTAGTTGGTTAAACCCTTTCTGCCTCTATTTTCAAATGAAGAATTTTAAAGAATCTACTGGAGCGACAGACATTTGGACAACTGGCGAACGTTCGCTGCATCTGTGGAAAACGCCATCGCCATTGCTTGGGACAGCGTAACGGACCGAATATACTGGTGTGTTATGAAGTTTGTAGCCGTATATCGTTTCCAAGAGACTTTATTAGGCTGGGAAATTAAATGGACGTTTTATGGGATTATAAGTTTTGTGGAGAAAACTTCTAAGATAAGTTTTAATGAAATTGTGGACGCCTCTCAGTGGTTGACCGCGACTATCAGATGCTTATAATCAGCTGGTGCTTCAAAAACCAGTTAAGCGTTTGTGGGAGAAAACAGCGCGTGCAATTTAGCAATCGCAAGTGATATGGAATACATTAGGAAAGTGGAAAGGCACTGAATTCATGGAGCATGAAGTGAAGAAATGGCATTGGGATCGCCATTGAGAAATCTGTCCTTTGTCAAACAAAAACGACCAATTTTTTGATCGAATATTGCTTAAAAGCTAGGGTGTCGCAGCGGCAGTGATTCCGTATATTTACGAGAAAGACGCTGGTTCGAGTTCACTGCTATACCCCTGGATTCCTCTTCTTTCCAGGATCGGAGAATTGGTACCAGTTTCCCCATGGAACAACTAACTACTTCCAATCCAAGTGAGAACGCTCTAGCCCGGCTATCTCAGGACTAGGAATAATTCACTCGACTAGCATTCAACGACATTCATGAGCGAAGCGAAAATCCTCAAGTCATAGGAGAAGCCACACACAGAATGTTCGAGGTCTTTCGTGGGTGATAGATGCGAGAAATCCAAGAAATACTGCGATTTGCGCAATATATGAATTCGGCTCATGGGAAAAATTGTTACATATGTTGAGAAGCTGTTTCTACACGAAAATACACGGCGTTCAACAAGGGGGCTGAAATGAGATGAGTATTCTGGACATCTTACAAAACCTAATTTATATAAAAGCGCGACATTTTCATTCTCGAAAGGCATCTTCATGTAAAAGCTTCAATCTTGGTAGGAGGATCGAAACGAAGGAATGATGGCACGAAATCGAATGCAATAAGTGGGGCATATTTAGCTGTAGAAATGATGGTAGTGGATGTCCTGGATGATTCCAAATGTCAAATATATTGATTATTCTGATTATTTATGCTGATAGTTTCTTTTTTGTCTTGTTGATTCACGTGGCATTTTCGGGCATCGCAATCCGCTGAACTGAATCATTCCATTCTCATATAGAAGCCCACTGGCATAAATATAAATACACGCTTGCATTGCTGACCACAACAACCGATATATAGCGCAGGAATTATGAAGAAAAGAGAACTAGTAGTCCTTCTGAGCATTCATTTAAGGGAATGGGACGTAGACTCTTAGGTTCAAGTCCATATGCAAGCTACATTGACACACGCTTGCAAAGTCTTGTTGGTTCTGGTACATTAATGTTCTTCTTTTTCACTGAATTATATAAGTTCGTCATCTGTCCATACTATTCATAATATACAAATCTTTTTCTCATGACAAAGAGCAAGCATCTGTCATGTTTTACGACAAACTTTTCAAGGTCTGATATCCGTGAGAAAAAGATTTTCTCTGCCACTCGAAATGGTACTAATGTGACAACATTTATCTCGGAAGGTCTGGACATCACCGAAGGGATTGCGCTTGACTGGATCGGGAGAAGTCTCTATTGGGTCGATTCAAGTCTCAATACCATTGAAGTTAGCATTCTTTCTCTCTCACTCTTCCTCTCTCTATTTCTCTCTCTCTATATATATACATGCACATATATGTATATTTAATGTTTTAAGGTGGCCCATCTTGATAATCCTTCAGCACGTGCCGTGCTGGTCCACGAGAACATCAGCCAACCTCGAGGAATAGCCGTAGATCCACGGAAAGGACTCATGTTTTGGACCGACTGGGGACAGGTATTTATTTTCTTTAATCGGTTTTGCTGTAATCGAGCGCTTTTCCTGAGCCAGGAAATCCACTCTCCGAAACGTTTGGCGTAGCCATATAACTCATGCGAGGAAGGTGAAAAAACTCGTAAAAAGATGTGAATACTTTCTAATGGATACATTTGAATTCGCGAACCTTTAAATATTTCAGTAGGTCTGTACCATGATAACTTGCTCCGTTAGGGAGAGGTTAGGAAAAGATTCTTTGAAACTCAAAATGGAATCATCGAAGAAATTTTTTGCGTTCATTCGAAACATTTTAGTTTTCTGTTAACGGTGTTTAGAATCCGCATATTGAGCGAGCAAACATGGATGGGACGGATCGCCGGGTTATCGTCAGTACGAAGATATACTGGCCTAACACTATAGCGCTCGATCTAACCACCGAACGAGTGTACTTTGCCGACTCAAAACTCGACTATATCGACTTCGTGAACTACGATGGAACCGGTATATTCAATTCTAGAAAAGCTAGACATTCTTTTTCTGGACAAACTTCGGGGTGTGGCAATTGAGGAAGTCAGAATTTGAATGGGCTGTCGAAGTTCGTAGTTAGAAGCAAGCATCGATGTAGTGCGTACTACGAATTTTCACTTAATTTCATCCTTTCTTTTCCGCTCTCTTCGTTGTTACGTTTTTTCAGTTTTATTTTTTTCGTTAGGATCTGCAGTATCAGGTTAGTCGAGCGTAGTTCTTAATGAAGAAATTCGCAGGACAATGCATAGTCCAGTTCGTAACTAACGAAGGGTTATCAGTAGTTGTCGGCCAAATGAAACTGCGTTACATTGACGCAGCTTTTCTATCGAGCTTTCACTGTCAGCATAGGAGAGGGGTTTGGGAAGGCGACACCACAACGCCCTAACTCATTGCTGAGTTGCAGTAGGTAATACAGGTACCCGATTGAAGCGAGAAATGCACTCACATTAACGACAAATTGATTGCCTGTCAATTTTTCGTTTTGATGATGACATAGTAATCTTTTCCGTGAAGCATAAACGATGCTTAGTAATCTTAACAAAGCAGAAAAAAGTGTTGCACTACGCTAAAATCTGAGGAAGCCTAGGTCTTAAAAATCTTGTGATGTGAGAGGAATGAAATCGAAATGGATAGGTTTCTGGTTATAGAGACCAGGTGCTGTATGTATCTCGGACATGCAGTGGAAAAAGACATATAGGTGGAATTTTACAAAAAAATAAGGGAAGCATATCCCGCATTGGTTCTTCTCTGAAAGGCAATCCATAATCTGAAGGATTCAAAACTTTCCTACCTTTGTCCATTCGATGGTCCTACTAACGCTCTGCTATACAGGAGACACATGGTTTCTCATATGAACCACGTCAAAAATTCTACACGCGCAACAACTGAAGATCCCACGTTGTAGATAGAGCGGACTACATACACAGTGCAATATAAATTAACTGGTCAAATACTTAGACACTTGGACACTCGGATGCTCAGAGAGCCCGTCGCCACTGGTGTTTGGCACCTAGCATAATCTCCATTTTTCGGACTTTTGCTGGTTTGGCCATTGTGGTTTCTTGAAGTCCCGAGGTCAGTCTGGCTAAAGTCTGCCCCAGGTCTTCACCACCACAGGCAGTCGCAGCCTTTGTGGGTCAGAGGGCGATTTGCCACCATGCGAATTTGATACCAGGACGGTGGTGGATCCTGGTATTGGTGTACTCTTAGCTAGGCTTCCTCATGGAAACGCCGGACTCGTTTTCAGCTTTGGACATCCTGCCAGGGAATGAGTTCCACGCTGTACATCGCAATCCGATACCCAAGAACACCTCTCAGCCATTATGAGGCGGTAAACCGTTGGGAGAAGCCGATCAATCAATGAGAAGAACAATTGACAAGTGGACTAAAATGCAAGTGGAATTGTTTCACAAAGATGTATTATTAGCTAGGTGACCACCTATGTGATGGACAGTCGTTTATCTCGTTCAGTTGGAAGTTTGTGGGTTATTAAATGGACCCCTTCGACGTCACCCTCTCTAATCTACATCACCTTCAAGGGCGGCAGTGGCGCAGAAAAGATACGAATAGAAAGTGTGCCGAGCCCCACACTACTATCGAATTATTGTCGGTCATGTATAAGGTGCTGCACCGCTTGCTCGTTTGCTAACAAATTCGATTTTCACAGCTGTGGACCGATTAACGATAAGGATAATGCCTTCGGAGTTGATCAACACATGAGAGATGCGTCATGCATTCTACCTCATTAAGCATAGCTAGAGGTGACATGGATGCTTAAACGGTGGAGATCGATTAGTGGTGTTTCCTACCTAGACATAAAGGCAATGGCAAGGGTTGGTGCCAGTCGCTGTCTCATTCCCAACCCTCTAATTCGTGCGTAATATTTCGCGCACCATCTGAAGATCAGTTTAGGCACTTCTTAAGGAGAGACATGTGCTGCTGAATCGAGAAGCTGTACATGTTTATTACTTCTTCGTGTTGCACAAGAAACTCGCCGACGGCTTGTATTGCGGAGTCATTCTATCCGACAAAGGGCGGTAGCGTTGAATCACTACATAATGTACGCGCTGTTAGGACGCGGATTACGCAGACGATCCAAGAACATTTGGGTATTCGTGAGGTAGGTTTGTATGTACTTCAGCAACCAGATGGGAATTAGGCTTATAAACCAAGCTTTCTATCGGTGGGTTCGTCCACACAAGTGACGATGGATCTAACCTTGAAGCTTGAGGCTTCAGTGGAAGCTTTGACCTTTTCAGGCTCTGAAGAAGGCGAAACGCGTCTCAAAGACAGCTATTGGTAACTTCATGTGTAGAGTACTTCATTTCACGTTGAATATGCTAATAAACTTTATAATACCAACTTCGGGTTTGCTCATTGAAGAAAAACAGCGAGTTGTCGATCAACGCCGAAATTATGAGAAAGTCGGTCCTAGAATTTCCATTCAGTGATTTCAGAGCAGCAATAAAGTTAACAGAAAGCACTTTATTCCATGTAGACTGCTTAAGAACACACCGTGCTACATTGCCATTTGGATATTAGATTAACTTTTAGCTCGAGGTCAACTTGATAGTGACGGCTGCTATGTACACCTGATATATTTGCTCCGCCTTCTCTAGAGACCTTTCATATCTATTCGAAATACGCTGAAAGGCAATGTGACAATTGATTTATAGCAAAACTTCAAACAGAAATCTAATGAGTTGAGTTTAAGGAGAGCGGGAAAATGAAAAAAATATTTCTAAAGTACTACGAAATCGGAAATTCGGTCTAAAGAAACTAAAAATCGTCAGGAATTTGTATGAGGAAAGCGTGAACGTTATTTTTTATCCACATTGGTTCTTCTGCATCGTCTAGGTCGCACACAAGTGCTGTCGTCACCGAAATTTGTGCAGCATCCGCATGCGTTGGCAATTTTTGAGGACTACATGTACTATTCTGATCGTCGCCTTCAACGACTGCAGGTCTACCCCAAATACCCTAACGGTACAACCACTGATTATCCGAATCATACGTTCAGTAAGGTAGATTTTTTTCATGGATTTCTTGGTAATGGAGACTAGTTTTTCGTCAAAAAGTCTGATCGAGGGCAAAAAATTCCTTGTCAGTTGGAAACCTTAGGCCAATTTTTGGCTTATGGCTTGAATTAGTTATATGAACAATGTAAGAAAAAGCCTTTAATACGTTAATAAAGAGCTTTTATTGAAAAACTTATTTAATATCGTTCGTTTGCTCTGTTTTATCCATGGTTTGTGTTTTCCAGGCTCTTGGAGTCGTTGCTGTTCATCCAGTACTTCAGCCGAAGGTCACCACAAATCCTTGTGAACATAGTACCTGCTCACACATTTGCCTTTTGACTTCTAGGGTTTGTTGAAGCTATTATTCCTTTGAATTCTGCGGTTGAGAATCGCTGTAGTTCTTTTTCATAAGTAGTTAAATTCACACAAAAACTTGCTAAGAACATGCACATTGATGTGTTACATAGGAATCATAGGACGTGGAACCATCCGCATGCTCTGCATGAATGGATGTGTCGCATATACCCAATATACAACCTGTCATATATACCTGGAAGGAAAAATACTGTTATTAAATTGTGGGTGGAAATTCTTCAAAAATAAGCTAGACATTCTTATAGTGATCAAAGTAAAAGCACAGCATTTGATGTAACAGTAAACCGAAACCAAGTGGCTCACAGACTGCTTGTGGGGCTGCATAATCATCAATTAGTGCTTGCTCAAATCGCCTATCGAAGGTTATTCGTAAATGTTAAAGACATTTTGAAAACGTTGCAGGGATTCTCATGTGCCTGTCCAATGGGCAAGTCCCTCGACGAATCTAGAACAAATTGTGTCGTCGATCAGAGGCCGTTCTTGTTGCTAATCCAAAAGGCGAACATCTTCGGAGTTGAAATGACCAGCAGGTGTGGTCATAAACTTGTTCAGTAAACAGTTAACAAGTATACATTTGAACTCGTTGTCTTTACCTAGCTTCTTTTTGACAACGGTTTTTTTTAAATTCTATTTTCCAATGTTATATCTTTTTATTTTCTGCCTACTATAATTTCGCGGCAGGGTACTAAGCGAAATACAACCACAACGTTGCTGAGATATTTGCGAAACTCTGGACCGCAGGTGTCTATGGTGGGGAACGAACGCGTTATTGTCCTTGCTGTGGCAAAGATCGATAGAAGTAGTTGAGAGGCAGGCGAAACGAAGGACCCGCATGGTGTAGTGGTGAACGCGTTACTCCCCGGAAAGGACAATAGCGCGTTCGTTCCCCACCATAGACACCTGCGGTCCAGAGTTTTGCAAATGTCTCGACAACGTTGTGGTTCTATTTTCCAAATTGGAGCCTATTTTTTTAGAGGCAGTGGTGGACCTTCACTAGCTGGAATGATTCCACTAGCAGGTTTGGCGAATGCCTTCGACGCGGCATATGACTCCGATTCCGGAGATGTGAGTTGGAGATCCTGCTTAGAGACTGACATTCCTCTTACAAGATATGGTGTAATCGCACTATATTTATTTCACTTTTTGTTGATTTTAGTCCAATTTTGTGTTTTCATTCAATCTTCGTTATCCTTGTCGTTGCAATTTTATGTGGTTCTCATATGTATTGAGAAGCAGAAGCAAATCAGTTGATACATACATCTGTCAGTTGTAGACATGTTAATTCAAACTCATTCAGATCTTCGTGTTGGAGCACAGCAATATTCCTCGTTCACTTACGCAGATCGCGACCAATGCTGTCATTCATCGGTCATCCATGAACGCTTCTAACAAGGTAATTCGCCAACAGCTTCTACCTCCAAAAGGCACAGCGTGCTTTGCGAACTCGTTCTGAGCCGACAAAAAAAGACTGGAACAGATAAGCATTTTGAAATCACCCAAGTTTCTTCGTGTTCTAGAAAAGTGGGAGAAATTGCTATATCTTTTCCCATAAAGAGTTTTCTGCACAATTCTCTGTGGAATCTTAACTCTTATTTACTGCCTTTTTCTTCTTAATGGCAAGGTATGTTGTGAAATATAACTCGTATGAAGTGCTGAGATATTTGCAAAACTCCGGACTACAGCTGTATGCAGTGGGGAACGAACACGCGCTGCTCTCCGGTAAGGACAACAGCGCGTGTTCGTTCCCCACTGCATACACCTGTGGTCCGGAGTTCTGCAAATATCTCAGCACTTCATACGAGTTATATTTCTCTGTGGAATGTAATGGGGCATTGACTTCCACGAGGAAGAACTTTTTATGGGTCCGTTTTTTGTTTTTTCGTCCACTTCCACATTTTAATTTATCGAATGTGCAAAAGAACAGAGCGACTGAAACAAACATGTATCGTGTGAATATTATAAAGAATAAGTGATATTAGGAATTGGGCCCAGTTATTTCAGTAAAAAGTTACTTTGGTGAAATGATTTCCAGAACTATTGCGCACAATCACAATGGTGCAGAGATAACTGCAAAACTCAGATCCGAGGCTAGATTCGAAGACCTCAGTGGTGTAGTAGGTAATGCGTGTTCCTCAGGAGAGGGTAGTCGGGATTCGAATCCGACCTGAGGTCTGAGTTTTGTATTTCACAGGATATCCGGCCATGAAGGAATATTAGCCAGTAAATAAAAATTTGTATTGCGCATAATATTTCTAGAATGTAAATAAAGTGACACAATAGCAAAGAAGCACTGTCTCAGAGATAAAATCCCAACAAAGGCTTTTCGACAGAGTAGTTTTCCTTTAAATCCTTGTCTGGACTGCTTTTGCTGAATATCGAAAGCTTAGAAAGGAAGCGACATATTTTATGAGATCATATTTAATCCGAATCGGACATTTATAGATTCCAACTCTGTTCCTGATATGTAAAATTAACTTAGAAAGTTGTGCATGCGCAGCTGTCTTAAATCGGTTTCCTTCACTTTGTTGCCTGCTTAGTGGACTTCTTCACGTTTTTGTTGTTTGGCTCTAAAAATCGTCTAGTCTAAATTATAGATAGATGACCTCAGATGAGTATCAAAACTGCTTAACTGAATGGTTTTTGTATATCGAGAACCACTTGGGTTACTTCATTTGCAGACACAACTTTACGCTTCTCAAGTACCAGACGATCCGTACTGCTTGGCGTTCGACTGGAATGGTCGTAATCTCTACGTCGGAAACAAAATTTCGCAGACGATCGAAGTGGTTCGTACTGTTGGCACTGAGGTAAGGGCAGCCATATCTCGTTCTTTAAATGTAGGAGTTCGTTATTTTGTATAAAAAATTGAGTTCTAATTAGTTCACTGCATCTGAACAAAACTTGGATTCAAAGAACTTATTTGCTCACAGAAATTGCGTTTCGCTTTCTCTTTCTTTTGTAACGTTTGTTGAAGCCACAGTAGATGTAGTGATTTGTTGACTATTACATGAGAAAGTAAAACATGTGGGTCACATGCAATTTTAATACTGGAGAGTACTCGCTATTAAATTCACTGAAGCAAAAAAAATAAAAGCAACAAAAATAATCATAATGTTGCTGAGATATTTGCAAAACTCCGGACAGATGGTGTCTGCGGTGGGGACCGAACACGCTATTATCCTTCCGGAGACCAACGCGTTCACCACCACACCTTGTAAGTCCTCCGTTTCGCCTGTCCCTCAGCCGTATCATTGACCTATAGGCGCTATCAGCAATCACCTGTGAACGAGATTGATCTGGGAAGTACAAATTGGCGTTGAACCCAGTTAAGCTGAGTCGTGATGAGAGCGCCATATTTGAATAAGTTTTAGAACGAAAAGTAGAGTATTGTATTTTTTGTGGGGCGCTACTAGCACAGTGATTAGTGGTGCTCCGCCGCATATATATAGTCATTTGTTCGATTCCGCATCCCGGGCTCACTTTCGATCTTTCCGGGTTTGGAAGTTTGGTGCCAGTCTTGTGCAATAGAACAGGAGCACAGGCTCGATACGTCGTGAAGGTACCACAAATCATTGTATAGGCCAGATATGCACTTAACCACCTCTAACAATGCTTTATGAAGTCGGCCGCATGTCACCTCGCTCAAGGATTAATCTACGCCGAAATGTTCCCCTTCTGTCTTTATTGTTTTCTATTGATAAAAGCGGGTACAACGTTGTTATAGAGCAAAGAAGGAACGCTTTACTGTAGCCAACGCTTCGGTGCTTTAAAAAAATACAGTTATGTTCAAACATGTAAAATGCTTCCATAAGAGTTAAATATTGTTGTTTCATTCAGTGGTTAAGTAAACATTTAATTTTGGAAAATAAAAGGTTCGTTTACTGTTTTTACTGCTTCCAGTACCGAGCAGTTGTGTTATCCAATGACCAAACACCGACAGCTGCAGTGATGCCGGTCTCCATAGCAGTTGACTCGGATAAAGGTCTATTGTTCTGGCTGGACAGGTGAAATATTAGCATTAAGAAACTTCACTGCCGTTCTTAGTTCTATTTCATGAGGGAAATCCTTTACATTCCGCACTTTGAGAGATATGCATGAATTGCGAGTAATCACTGTGGGAAAACGCGTAGATAGTGTCGATAAGCCAGGTATTGAGACCTTATTGAAAGTTCACGTGCTTAAGTAAATTCTAATTATTGTTCTAAGTCATTTAACTTTATTAGTAAAGTGATCAACATGTTTTAAATTGTGGGAGCTTTACACGAGGCTAAGAAACAACTTTTATTCGGCTAGCATTTCGACGTCTTCGTCTTCATCAAAGCCGATGGTCCGATTCGGTGGTTCACAGTTGTTCTTATAAATTGTTCCGTTCATCGGCTCTTATGAAGGCGAAACGTCGAAACATTAACCGAGTAGAAGTTGTTTATCAACCTCGAGTAAACTCAGCAATTTAAAGCATATTGTTCTAAGTTCTAATCACATTTAGGAATATTCGATTTTATAATCGTGCCATTTGAGAAATACTCAGAAAACGGAGCTACGGAAAGAGATTGCCAGCATAGTGTCGTAGAGTTATTGTTGTTATTATTATCACCATTATTGTTATTATTGTTGTCATTATTATTGGATATTACATGACCAGACGTCGTATTTGCCGCACTATGTTGGTCCCAAGACTTTTTGCTTTGGATTCCTTTCCTCGCATCCATCATCTGCGAAGATCTTCGATTTGTTTTTTGCGCTTTGCTTCGGTTGCTGCTCCAGGATTTTTTCGCCTTCACCACGAATGTCGTTGAACACTAGTGGTGTTGATTCTTTTTCCCTGAAAACCTGGAAAGCCGTAGCTCGGCGTTTTCGGATGAAATATAGGTGCTGATGTTTGCTCCAGAGCTTATAGATAGAAATTTGATTAGCAATTTATTTGGTAACTCTGGTATTTAGACGTTATTTGGAATGCTCTAGCTTGGTGCCAATTTTCCGATGCTGGAGGAATGTGAGAGTTGGTGGACGTAACGTGGGGTTGAGCCAGCGGATGTGTAGGTTGGGCAGTCCGTGCAATGAACGGGATCACTGCCATGCACTACACGCTCCCTCTTCGTCGAGAAGCTTCGAAAATGGGTGTTTCAAATTTAACGGTGCTGAAACCGCCTAGAACTATGTACGATAGAGTCAGAATGTCTAAGACAGTTTCCGCATGTCTTATTAGCGAGCACAAGCATAGACAAAATCAAACGTTACTTTCCATTATACCATGCGCTTCCAAAAATAACCTGTTTTTTTGACATGCTCCTTTCAAGCTGTCTATTTTCGAAGCATATTTTTCATGTTTTAGATTAAAGCTTTTTTTACTACAGTTTCGTTTTGTGCTGTTCATCTATTTGTGCATTGTAGAGGTGGCGGTGCGGCGGATGTGAAGGTAGCTCGAGCAAACCTAGACGGTACGAACGCACTCGTGATCGCCAGCAGTGACCTCAGCGAATTGGACCACATCGCTCTAGATACCACCAACCAAAGAGTGTATTTTAGCGAAGCAAAAGCCGGACGAGTGGGTGATATTAAATTGTGTGCACAGCCGGTTTTTTTTTGCAGACTGAAAGCTGTGTACATCCGTATTTCGGTGTTGGATTTTGCCGGCGGTTTTAATGAATGATTGTTGTAGTCACTAGGTGCAGCGAGGTCCGTTTTATTCCAGATCTCTTCAGTTACTTATGACGGTCAGGATAGACATTATGTGATGAATGATGCGGGCAAACAACCAAACGGGCTTGCATTCTTCAGTGATCGGTTAGTTGGCGACCATTTTAGCTATCAAATGAGGTTGAAAAATCTGTGATATAATGCTGTTCCATCTGTAGGAGTGTAAAAGAACTAACTATCTGATGACTTTATCTCTTTTACCAGTTACAGCTTGTTCTATGCTGATTCTGCTTTCGACTCAATTGATGTCGCGACGGTGATCGGAGACGGGCAACCCCCACAATTCACGCATTTCAAGAAGGACGTCGAGAACCTAGTTAACATCAAAGTACTTCAGCCACGGCCATGTTTGTTATTAATCACAGTAATGTGCTGTTTGAATCAAAAATTTTAAACTTAACTATTAAATTATCCGTTGTGAGCGAAATTGAGAGATCCTATCAGGATAACTCTGACTTAACGATATTCTACAAGGGAAAGACACGAATGGGATAAACGGGAGAGTTTTATGGATAGTGCCATCCACCAATTAACCTTTGTGATATTATTTCTCTCCAAAATACTTTTGCGTAGCAGTTTGATTCTTCTTTCCCTCTTTGTTTTACCTAGAAGTCTTCCTCAATGAAAGTTCGGAAAGAAAGGAGAAGACTAAATGTCGTTTCACTAACATTTTTTTGAAATTGAAGTCGTTTAATTACGCAGAAGTGGAGACTATAACATATCTTAAAATGAGGTGATGTCTTTATTTAGGTACAATTACTAAAAGTAACTTTATTTTGTGCCTCACAACTTGTATTCAGCTTCGGTCAATCATCCCTGTCGAACTGATAATGGGAACTGCAGGCACATCTGTATACCACAACAGTTCAGTCAACACAAATGCATTTGTGCTACTGGTTACACGAATGTCAGTTTATCTTTTATCGACAGTTAACAATTGCTAATCACTTCCGACGTCGATTCGGAAGTAAATTATTCCCTTCGCAATAGATTTCAAAGGTTTTTTCCAAGAATCTCCTCTGCCATGTTGGTTAGGAGGTTCTGTAACAGCTCATGTTTTCTTTTGCTTCCGCTTACTAAATTGCTAAGGCTCATTTGCTATTAGTCGAGCATCCACCATATCTAAATTACTACGAGTTCTCCTTCACTAGGCCCGCAAAGTTTACTTTCAAGAATATACACTTGGTTTTAAATGTGCTATCGTCCACCAGGATAGCGCCCACAGATAGCTCAAACGTTTACAATTAAAAGACACTTCTTTTGAGGATGAACCGTCTTCGAAAAGTGAATTTGGTGACGATATACTGAAAAACAGCCTTCTGAATTTTTAGACAAGTGGTCCGCTAACGTGCCCACTAGAAGCAGATTAGATGGTAATAACTTGACATGGGATAATATGGGAGTGAAAATCGATGGTCGGCAGTTACATCATCCTCGCTTTGCTGATGACATCATCCTTATATTAAAAACATTAGCCAAGCGGAACGTATGCTAGCCGAGTTTGAAAGCCTGTGCAAAGATCGGTCTTCGACTAAATCTCACAAAAACGATGTTCATGAGGAACGGATTGGTTTCACATGCCCCAATCACACTCAACGGAAAGAATATCTCCGAATGCTCCAGTTACGTCTACCTAGGTCGGTAAATCAACAAGATGAACGATTTAACTCCATGGCTGAGCAGAAGGAAACAAACGGCTTGGGGAGCTTTCAAGAGCATCCAGGATGTAGTAAGGAAAACAAAAAACACCCGACTCCGTGCCCACCTTTTCGGCTCAACTGTACTTCCTTCCTTAACGTATGCGTCAGAAATATATTCGCTGCGTAAGCCGGGATGATAGAGTCCCTAGAACGAGCAGAACCCACTAGGCTACTCTTGCACGCGACAAGGAAAAATGGAAGATTTACCGGCCCTACAGGTGATAGAGGTGAATGACTTGACAATAGCTGACCACCAAGTATAACTCGGCTGCTGGAAAGTTCTTTTGAGCTCAATGTAGCGTCTTCTAAATGGCGGCACTAAGAAAGCACATGCTAGTTTTTGCAGTTATGATTGGACTCCACAGAAATCCTTTTTGGGCGAGACTGAACATTAGTTTGAGAGTTTATAATTTATATGAATCACTATGCCATTAACTTCCGACTACTAAATCGATGTATCCAGCGCCGAAACCCGACCACCGTAGGGAGGAGACTCTATCATTTTGTTGGTAGGGTTTGGAAGAAATGTTTTGTTGCGAGTTTCTTCTAACGTATGTGATTGTGTTTGTGATCTTCTTCTAACGGAGGCGATCGTGATTGTGACCACTTAGGTTTGGAAGAATAGTTCGATACACAATGACCACTCGTGAAATTAGCATTCTTTCGCACTGCAGTGTGCTCTTGAAACATCTCAGCCTTCTGGTAATACCTTTTTCGACTCTTATGAAGTTTTTACGAGTGAAACGCTCCGATTTCATCCCATATCAAATACGGTATCGATGAGTGGTTCGCGTCGAAGCGCACAAGTTCTGGTGCGCGATAATCAATCCACACCGTTGGATATCTGTAACTTGGCACTTAGATATTTGGATGGCTCGTCTTCACTGGTTGTGCGAGCCTCGGAATATTTCAATTTTCGAAGTTTTCCTATCTTAGCCATTGTGGCTATCTGGAGTAAAGAACTTAGCGCAGCCAAAGTCTACCGCAGGTCATCATCACCGTAGGCAGTCGCCATCGTTGTGGATCAGAGGGAGATTTGGCACTATGCGATTAGTTTGATACCGGAACGTTGGTGGATCCTGGTATTGGTTTACTCTTAGCTGAACTTTCTGATGGAAAAGCCGGACTCTTTCTCAGCTTGGGAGACCTTGCCATGAGATGAATTCCCCTCACTGTACATCGTAGCCTGACAGCCATGGACACCTCTCAGCCACGATGAGGTGATGAACCGTTGGGAGGATTTGTATATGACAAAGCTTTCGGTTTTCACCAGTCCACCATGTATTCTGCTTTATCAGGCGTTGTTAGAAAGCCTTTAGTGTATATCTTGCCCATACAATAGCTTCAAATGGCCTACCGATGTATCGAACTAGTGCTGCTATCCTCTCGGAAAAGTCCGGTTCTATTTTGCCACGCGGAGCGTGGATTGACCCAACGACCATGTGTGTTTTGCTAGGCACGTCTAGTCACTGCGCAACATTCGTCCTTATTATATGTAGAGGTAAAAATTGCGTCCAAATTTTTTTATTGATATTAGTAGGTGTGCTGGATCTTGAAAAATGTTTATAGTGTCCCAAAACTTTCCAATCAACATTTAATATCCATTCTTTTGGAAACTTGCAACCATTTAAAAGTTATAAGCCTGATTTTTCGAGCTCTTACATTCAGGATGGTCAAACGAACTGCCGAGTTATTGATGACTCCTTCGTTATGGTGGCCACGAAAAATAAAGTCGTCGCTTATCCGTGAGTTACCACCGCATTCACGACATCTGCAGTAAAATACGAACTCAGTTTCGAGCTCAAACTTAAAACTGTTTTAGTTTGGACGAGTTGAATCAGAAAGGCATGGCTATGGAACCAATCGGCGGAATTTCCATTGTATCAATTGATTTCGAATATGAGAGCAGAACAATTTATGTGGCTGAAGCATCTGGCGTCAATAAGGGCATTACAGCGTTAGTTACTTCTCACAACAGATAGTTTATGATCCACGAGTTCAGCCGTATTCTTGGTTTATTGGGACTATTTTTTCGAAATCCTTATTCATTCACGCTGGATAAGTGGTTTTAATGGAAAACGCATAATGAATTTCTACTGTAGGTACACCATTGGTGAAGCGTTACCTCGCCCGATAGTTCGCGATATGTTTGGCTCGATGACCATCCGCAGCATCGCAGTTGACTGGATAAACTTCAATCTGTACTTTATTATACAGGATTCTGAGAGGACCAATATTGAGGCGTGCAAATTGGATGGACAGTACAGGTGAATTGCTATGGATTGCCATACGTGTTTTAGGTAGTAATAGTAAGGTTAAACGTTGCTGCAGTAATACAAATCAAAATTGATTACTATGCAAGTTAGTTGAGTAGGGAATCCTCACTTGGTTTATGAGACCATTGCTTAAACAATACGACACTAACAGCATAACGGGATTAACAAATGATGGTTTACATTACGATAGGAAAAGCAGCGGTGATTGGTAGCCAGTGCGCATAATGTACTTCGTCATTGGTTAATACTTCCTGTACTAGTTTAACAAATTTAACAAGAAGCAGGAAAAATTACCACGTGGAGTAAGTTAACAAGAAGGAGATGTAGATTTTAAGATCATTATTTAAGTGAATAGAAGAAATAAAGAAATAGGACTACTAAAGATGCCGCTTATATTTCCTGTCTTGTTGTAGGGATAACGACGTAGCTCGAGAGTTCCGGAGTTACTGCTATCTTGCAGTCTTGAGTTCTTATGGGCTAATCGAATCCTACTACGATAGACGTGAAAAATTACAGTAAACAAGAATAGAAAGCTTACCAAGGAAAGGATGATCTGAACACACCAAACAAGTGCACTTCAAGTTCAATTCTGCGAATAGACAAGGAACTATCGGTATTTCATGAAGTTATGTCCATGACATGTGCTGTTAACATAGAAGACGTAATACACAGGAGAAGCCAGTATCCTCTACTACGTGGAGAATACTCTCTATGGACAGAAAACTAGTTGGTAGAGCATTGTGAGGCAGCAATGGCAACAAAACGGAATTGGAATTGGTGGGGGAGGGGTTGAGAAAGATGTGTAAAAAGGAAATAATTATCGTTTACACAGTTAGTAACAAGTGCACGGTACGCATGTAGCGAGTACATGAGAAAAGAGTTGCTGAATGCTTGAAGATGAATGCTTTTTGCGTTACAATAAAAACTCAAATGCCTCTATGCCTCATTGTCATTGCCTATTGCTTCACTTGTCGTTTTCTTGAAGGAAAACCATAGAGATTGCGTGCTGTAAGAAGTACAAGTTTTACATGGATATTGCTGAAAGAAGAATTGTGACTTGTATGCAAAGAATACTAACTCCATATATGGTTTTACTCTTCGACTTGACCCGCCATCACATCTACTGTGCGGATCCCACCACTTTTAAATTCGATTCGTTTTCCTCGCATTCATCGTCTACACAGATGTTCCAACATTTTGCGAGTTATCTTAGCCACCGCTTGGGCATCTCGTCTTGTTTACAAATGCCGTAGAATTCTGATCGAATCGATTCTTCTTGCAATCATGGAGATAGTCGGGCTAAGGCACATGAATTGCAGGACAGCGTTTTGGATCGGGTCGAACTAGCGCCTTTGCTTCCTGGTCGACGGCATCATTTACGATTGCGCTGTTTCCGATGACGAGATATCTGGAAGTTCATTGCACACTTTGCGAACAAAGATCTACTCCGAATAAGTCTCTTCAGTGATTGATCGTATCATGGCGAGGATGCGACTCTAAGTGTCGAACATCATGTTCAAACTACATTTATTATTCCATTTATTTCAAGGACACTCAATTAATTGCATACTGTTCACAGGCAAACACTTCATATGATGAATATTTTCTTAAGAACAATCGGCTGTGACCGCAAAATGACTACTCCAAACAACTTTGTTGCAAATTATCAGGTTTAATTAGTGGCTCATGACTAGTTACACCTGGTACAACACCTGCGTTAAATAAGCTGTCGACCGAAAACAAAAAACGCGACAAAATGATCCATGAAAGGCAATGCACTGTATTGAAAGCAATCCTATCTGTGCTCTGCCTACTCCACGCATGCATTGCTCATTATTCATTATGGGCGATGTGAGCTTTAAAAACCTACCGGCTTACTCCGGAACTTCGGTATAACGATATGAAACACCGTGGTTTTCCCTAATAAATCTTGCAAATATTTTATAAAATAATTCAAAAATTACTGTTACTTAGTGGAGACCTCATAGAAAGCGGCTCTGAAGAAGGCGAAATTCGTCGAAACGTCAGCTTAATCGTGAACAAAGAACAATAACACCTCGCGTTTGCTCAAAAAAAATACGAACAAATTCAAAAATATTTTGCAGAAAGACTTTGTTCACAACCAAGACCGAAACTCCAACTTCAATAGCAGTAGATCCAGTCGGTCGGTATCTCTACTGGGCCGACCGAGGACAAAAACCAAGTATTCAGGTTAGCTTTCTATTAGCAAAATCCCCGATAATCTTTAAATAAATAATTTATCATTGATTTGGCCTGCTAGATAATTATTCGGAGTAAGTTGAATTAGGCCTAGCTGAGGTGTTGTGGGATAAAGTTATTACTATCCTGATCAGAAAGGAGCGTTTTTTTTTCAGGTGTTTGCGTTGACTTACTGTAACTTTGTATTACAGAAAGCCAATTTAGTAAGGAGAGGTTGAGGCTTATAAAGCTTGGTAGGTGCTGGGGACATGTATTTCTACTTGGATACATGGATACCTGGATGGGCCGTCCTCACTGGTTGTACGGGCCCAGCATAATCTCCATTTTTTAGTAGATTTGCCGGTTTAGCCATTATAAAATGAAAAAGGATAAAGCTCTAGACGTTGATCGATCTCTTAGGGATGCACCATACATTCGACTTCATAGTTTGGAGGTGACTGAATGTGCATTTGACCTTTACAATGACTCGCGGTGGTCTACCGATGTATTGCGCCAATGGTGCAATTTTCCCAGACAAGTCTGGTACCAATCTGCCGACCCGTGAGGGATGGAAGGCTTGGTGAACCATGGGCGCTGGGATCGATTCCACGTGTGTGTTGCAGGACATCTTCGACAACTGTCAATAATCTTTAAATATACCTATAAGGTCTCTCGAATTCGGAGGTCAGTCTGGTCAAAGTCTGCCTCAGGTCGTCACCACCACAGGCAGTCGCATCACCTGTGGATCAAAGGAGGATTTGGCACCATGCGACTAATTTGAGACCAGGACAGCTGTGATTTCTGCTATCGCTTTACTCTTGTCTAGGCTTCCTGGTGGAAACGCCGGACTGCTTCTCAGCTTGGGAGACTCTGCCAGGGGGATGAATCTTCCTGCTATACATTATAGCCCGACACCCAGGAACACCACCTAGCCACAATGAGGCGCTAAACCATTGGGAGGTATCCTGCCGTGGCACTTCTACTAACACATAGCTTCAGATTTCGGAAATTAATCTACATACCAAACTCTGGCATTATCTTTAGTTCTAATGTTCTTTAGAAAAATTTCTATGCTCTTTGTTCCGCTATCGCTTTTCTTATCATACTTATCTAGTTTAACTTAAAATTTTCTAACCTTTATTAATCTCATAGTATTCCATATTCATTTGGTCGTTCTTTCCAATGTAGAGGACGAATCAATCAAAAAAAAAGCGCTGGAAATATCCTAGTATCAATGAACTGGCGAACTTTAACTTTCTATGAATCCCACTAGCGCAGCTTTCTCAAGATTTCAGTGAAAAATGCGTCGAAAATATTTCTGAGGAGAGAAGACCACATTTTCCCAAGACTCAGACAAACCCACACACGAATTTGCTCTTCACCGTGGTGCGTGGACGAGCGCAATACACCAAAATGGGAGAACCAAGTAGGAGAACAGCTGGCATCCACACATCATCTTAGTACCTAAGGAATATCCATCGTACACTTATCAGTGGATGCATATTTCATCAGGGAAACAAATTAGCACATAATATAATCTTCAAGTGGGAAACGAGTGTAGTTAAACATGTAGAGAAATGAGTTGTTTAACATGAAGAATACCAATTTCTATAAATTAAACAAACGCATATTTTTTGGTCGATGTCCATCAATAGTCCATTTAAAGCCTGAGAATATGGATATTTTCTTTATTTAGCGTGCGTTCCTCGACGGAACTCACCGCGAGCTTGTGGTCGGGGCTGAGTACGTCGCCGAACCTACAGACGTGATCGTTGACCCAGCCAGTCGTATGATCTACTGGTCTGATTCCAAGAAAGATGGAATCTACAGGTGACAAATCTAAATAAAAAATAGTGTGAGACACGTGTTAATATTCATTTTAGAGTACGTCCAAATGGTGGCGTTCCGGAACTGGTGAGATCGGATATTGCTTCTGCCGCCGGAATATCATTATTTGGCCAGCAAATGTTCTGGACAGACAACAGGCTCGAAAAGGTCTTCAGGGCGTCTAGGTATTCCGGAGTATATTATTTTTGCTAATGTGATTGTATTCCGATTCCTTTTTGTGCTCAACAGGTCTCTCATCTCTCCGGAGTCGGGAAATTGGTACCGGACTTGTCCGGATAAAAGTCACTCTCTGCAACCTAGTTGGGAATGCTCTGACATAGCTGTCTCAGGACTCCAGGAAAAATCGACTTGGCCATCATTTCGCAGCGTTCGAGAGGAAATGAAAATTCTCAAGCAGAAGCCGAAGCTATACGTAAAATTTCGAGGATCTTAGTGGGTAATGGATGCGAGGAAACGAATCCAATGCGAGAAGTGCTTGGATCCACACAGTAGATGTTAGGACTGGTCTTGTTTGTAAAAGAGTGGTCTTCATCTTCACCTTTCTATCTTTGATTTAGTTTATTCCAATTGGATACCAGTCACATCTACTAGTCGCAAGCTCGATCACCTCAGTACCGATAGGCTAGTTTAGGATATGACAATACTTTATGCATTAACTGCGTAACAATGCGAAGAGAGCTCGCTAAAATTTCAGGGGTGAATGTTATTTATTTATGAATGAGACGTGAATGTAGCTGAATATTTCAGTGAGATCCTTACCTTTGTGATCTATATCGTTTATTTCATCTTACTTGCTTGGATACTTGGACAGCTCGCCCTCACTGGTTGTGCGGGCCCCAGCACAATCTCCATTTGGAGTTTTGATGGTTTAGCCATTGTGGTTCCCTAGAGTGCTGAGGTCAGCTTGGCCAAAGTTTTTCCCAGGTCATCACCATTGTAGGTAGTCGCCTCCTTGTTGATCAGGAGGTTTGCCCCAATACGACTAGTTTGGTATCCTTGGTGACCGTGGTGAATCCTGGTATCGGTTCACTCTTAGTTGGGCTTCCTGATGGAAACGCTGGACTCCTTCTAAGCTTAAGAGACTTTGCTGAGTAGATGAGTCCTCCCGTTGTACATCGCAACCCGACATCAAAGAACACCTTTTGTTCACGATGAGACGGTAAACCGCTGAGAGGTATTTCACCAGAACGTAAAAAACATTTGTACTTAAGTTTTCGAAAAACAATATCTTACAACTATTTTTGCATTACTTGTCATTATTATTATTGGTTAGGGCGCGGGGTTGAATGAGACGTGAATGTAGCTGAATATGAATGAGGCCACAGCGTTAAAGGATCGTAGTATAACGCCGCAGTAAGAAGTGCCCTGCAATACATACAAGGTCTTTGGATCGTTTTTTCCTCAGGCTTACCAGCTTTCTTCTTCGGCGAATTTTACACATTGGCATCAGACTCGTCTGGAAATATTCTAGCAGTCACTTGATTCATTGTTAGACAAGTGCAAGTCCTGTATAGAGCAGATATGCATTTATTCAACTTAAGCGATGTTTGACGAAGTCGAGTTCACAGCGCATCCCTCAAGAAGTGATCAGTGCAGACCGATTTCAGCTTTTATTATTAGCCATTAGTTGTTTTTATCTTTTTATGCTTTCTAAAAATAATAGAGCAACACCATCTAGAAGATGTCAAGCTCTTAACTCCTCAAGTACTCTAGTTAGCAAGAATTTATATTGTTATCGAAAGGCTGCCATCGTCTATTAGGTGTTGAAAGAACATTTTCTTTTTAGAAAGAAGATAAGAAATACATCTACGTTTTTTTTAACATTTCATATTCAGTAAACCGAACCAAACCTCGTTGCTGCTGTCGCCAACTACAGTGGCCGCAGCGTTAAAGGATCTTGGCGATGTGGTAGTATTCTGCTCGCACAACCAGCCAAAAGCTTCGTCTCCTTGTCAGATCACCGACAACCTTCGCAAGAGCCCTTGCCCACAGTTGTGCTTTTCTGCTCCGGGAACGCAAAGTCCCAGCTGTTCTTGTGCCAGAGGTTCGTCATTTTTTTCCTTCTCACCTTAACGCAAAATTAAAACAAATTTAAATTCAATGGTGCTGAGATATTTGCAAAACTCCGGACCGCAGGTGTCTGCGATGGAGAACGAACGCACTATTGTCCTTTCCGGGGAGTAGTGCGTCTACCACTACACCACGCGGGAAAGGACGTGTATCCAGACCAATGGAGTAGCATTCACGTGATCATCCTACCCAAAAAAACATTAGCACGTTCGTTCCCCACTGTATACACCTGCGGTCAGGAGTTTTGCAAATATCTCAGCATCATTGAAGTTATATTTCACAATGTATACCCTGCTGTTAAAAAGAGTAGGCAGTAAATAATAAGTTAAAACAAATTTGTTACTCTCTGTGAGTAATATTGTAGTGCCGTAAGCGTTAGAAATGCAGTTCACTTTTCCGTTTTGTAAAAAATCATTGCCTGGGCTTGACAAGCTTGACAAAGTCATTGCCACTCCAAAGATGAAATAGTACTTCTTCCGAAAACCACCTGTTATTTCGGAGAAAAGTGCATCAATCTTACAATGTACACGTTTAATGGTTGCTCTTTAGACCAACGATCCATTTAAAACTTTAACTGTAAAATTCTTTTTCAAAGTGACGATGATTTATTAAGGCGTACTAAAAGGACGTTCTTGTGAAGAACCGGACACTTATCTGATGTTCGCTGACGGTGACCGAATCGTCGATGCTTCGATCGAGCCCGATGTGAAAGCCAGTCGCCCACTGAAAGTCAGTTCTCTTTGCTGTCGTTGCGGATAACATCACGATACAGCACTTTGTAGTTTTGCATTCACCATGTTTGCTGCTTCTACCATTCAGTTCTGTAGGAAGAGACTAAGCGTTAAGTTGTCTTCTATTCAGGAGCCATTCCCAGCTATAGATAATTTGCAAGTATTCGACGTTGATGTCAACCTCCGGCGTGTATACTACGTCGTGGAATCTCCAGCAGGTGTGAATATTAGCTGGTTCAGCATGAACAACGCTGCAAATCCGCGATTGATTCTTGGAGCCAGCAAGCAAAAGGTTGTCATTTCGTTCGCTTATTATCAGTTGAAAGCTTTTCACTGGATAGACTAAACTTTGTTTTTCGTCAGACATTTGTTGCTGTCATGGAGCATTCAAATATCAGCTTATATCGATATTGTTTGAGGGACTAAATCCTTTCTAATGTTTCTTGCATCACTTTCTTTAGTTAATTCGTGCAAGAGAAAAGTAAAATGCTTTGCATTTTCTACTGTGCATAGTTTCAACCGTCTTTGGATGTAAAGCTTAAATGCCTGTCCCCTCCTCCTTTTCCGAGCCTACCCAACGACAATCAGAAGCTCTTATGATGCCAAGGTCCAATAGTCTACAAGTATTTTTATAAAGATGTTTGTAACAACACTATTTTTTTCACTATTACTTATGATTTGTCATAGCTTTCGTCGGAATTGACGTCTTGAAACATCTCATGGAAAAGGCTTAGCTTTGTTACTCTGCTTGTGCAATCACTTTGATGACCAAAAGACGAGATTCATTGAGGGTGAGAAATAGTTAGTTGTGTGCCTGAGAAAGTTATATCACAGTAAAATAAGCGAACTTGTATTCTGGTGAAGATCTCCAGTTCCCACTGATTTTTATTCCAATTATTGAACTAATCTATGAAAGGGTTAAGTTGACTAGTAAAGTCTCCCTCTCCGAATTGAGATGTATCCGACTAACGCTGAAAGAGTGAACTAATTTGGATTGAGTGTGAGTCATATTTAACTCGTGTTGTCGAAGTCGTGTTCAGATGGCTTTCTCCACTTGTGCTGGATGATTTTCTATAAGCAGAACACCGTTGCACGTAAAACAGACTTTTTTCTTCCATGATTTTCGCACATATTTGCAATAAGATGCAACTTTACTTGTTTCAGTACTGCAAGATTCTGAAGTTCTGAAAACGGCGAATTCTTCGGATACCTCCAACAGCGGCTCACTTGTTGAGAATTTTGCTTTAGCAGTAGTACTCCAGATCACTGAAAAGTATCCTGGTTATCGCGACATCCGATGAATAGTTTGGCAAGGCAGTAGTGTTTCATTGTCATCATTTCTCCGTTGTGATCTTCCCACCAATACTTAGAATGTACTCTATAGTTTCTCCTACCAAAAGCAAAAAAGTTCTGATCGCCATCTTTAGGTGCAAATTAGGCTCTTAAAGGTGTTTGTCAGTGTCATCAGACACCAATGTTCCTACTAAAAATCGTCTTGTACAGAATCCATTTTCGTCCAATGTCAGAATTCAATCGACAAATGAAATTTTTTTGTCTAAAAGAAGCACAGAACAAACATTTTGATGATAAGCTCACCGACATTTGTTCCATTCATGCCACACGTGCTTATCAGGATTTTCGTCTTTCCATTGTCTTCAGACTATAAGCGATTGCTGGGTTGTGAATGTTGACCTCTTCTGCAATTCCTCAAGCAGTTTTTCCAGAGCTGTTCTCGGTTTTCGTCTTCACACCGTCTTCTTCAACTGCTGATGGGCGTCTACAAACTGCTCCATCATGAAGGCCTGTATCTCCACTACAAAGTCTTAAGAACCATTTCTTTATTATGATTTCGAAAGCTCATCCCTGGTCTACACTTTGATGATATTTCAATTTGCTACAGCCGCTTTACTTCCGAATTGAACCTTAAAAGGCAAAGATACTCGGTTTTCACATTTCGAGAGCATCATTTACTTTATTATCAATTTTATTACATAACCTGGCATCACATTTATTACCCTGCGCTTCCACAGACCTTCTTCTATTCGTTTCGTTCCTCGCATCTACCATCCAGAAAGGTTTTCAAGCATTTTGTGTGGGTTCGGCTGCTGCATGAGGATTTTTTTCGTCCCCATCACGATTGCTATTGAATGCTGGTCATTTCGATTTTTCCTGGAGTCGAGTCTTGAAATAGCCGTGCTAGGTGTACCAACATTGGTTAGATGGAGTAAACTAGTCGCATACTTCTCTGATGCCAATTTCTCGACTACAGAGGGATTAGTGATACTGCGCTACCCACTCCCTCATCATTTAAATCTAAAATTGAGCTAGCTAAGTTTCAGAAACAGCGCTATATGCCAAATTTTTGCGAAAGAGATAAACTTTAAAGCAGTCCGCAGTCTGCAGCAACGGTGTAAGCCGGAAATAATTATGAAAAATTTTTTTATGAACTCCATCAACACCAAATGCCCCATCACTTCTTATACTAACGTAATATAGATCAAATAAAAAATCAGTTTTTCTCTGTAAATTCGTAACATCGCTTTATACAGCATGCCGCTGAGATTCATCACGTCTCTGACATGAAGCTCGACTGGCTCACTCAGAAAGTCTACTTTACCACTGGCCGTGCAGGGAAAATCATGTCGATCGACTCCCAAGGAGAACATCTTAGCACAGTACGTTTCAATTCACTCCATATCAAGTTAGAATTCTTTATTAAACCTCTTTTTTCAAAACTCCATTTTTTTTTGCTTTTTCTTTTTATCACATATCACCACTCGTTTTCTCACATAAATGAGACATAGTGGACGATGGCGCATTCAAAATAAGGCCCAGTTTTTAAGACGAAATGCACCATGTTGCAGATCGCCTCAGGCGATTGGACCTACGCGTTAGCCTTAGATCCATGCAGTGGTTTGATCTTTTGGAGTGACAGTGGCTATAAAGCGTCTGGAGGTTTTGCATTTTCTTTATCTCGAATTTTTCTGGAATTATAATTAATATACATTCAAGGACTGTATGAACCTCGTATTGAACGTTCAAATATGGCCGGAGGTGATAGAAAGGTCATCGTAAGCGAAGGAATCTCGCTACCAGCGGCTATTGCAGTGGATTTTAGGTGTGTTATTTCAATCCCTACAGAGTTCCTAGTTTTCTTGCACTTACAGTGAATTAATATCTACCAGTTGTTTGTTTTTCAGAGATTTGAGGATTTATTGGGCAGACGTAAACCGTCTAAAAATCGAAAGTAGCGACTACGATGGAAACAACAGGAAGGTGACGGTCGCTCATGAAATTTTTCTCAATTTACCTTTTTCCTACTTCCTAAAACACTGTTAGATTATTTTGATATTTTTCTGATATTAGGCGATCGGTTCCGGCTATCGTGCGAAGTCTTTAGATCTCTGGAACAACTGGCTGTATATGAGCGACCCGCTAAGTAATGGCGTATTCCGTTTGAAGAAAGTTGGTTTGGTCTTTCCACCCACCAAGATCATAGAAACGATAACATTAGAGTCAAATTCATACAGTCTTTTAATCAAGTTCCTGGTAAAACTTCTGATTTTGTATTTACTCTTGTTGATGTTTTTTCAACCGTTGTTCATTTTCCCTGTGTACTTCCAGATTTTTATGCATTGAGTATCAATCGTAGGATTCTGGTGGTGTCATCGAGACAGTGGTTGGAGATCGTCGAGTACCAGGAACGGTCAGGGTATTCGCCTCAGAGAACGACATTAAAACAAGGAATCAGATCTGCAATGCAATCACTTTGTCTCTTTGCAAGATAGATAACGGTGGATGTGATCAAGTAAGTGTCTTAACATGTGTCATCGATTTTACAAAAAATGAACGATTTCTTAAAATTACTTCCCCATGGGATTACTTAGTTTGAAAGGACCCATAAGTGACTATTTTACATCTGGGAAGAATCGGCTCCTATATTTTTAGGTATTTTTAACAACGGTAGTAACGTATACTCGTGTCAGAGATCTGCTTGAAGTTAATTTGTAAACCATCCAGGTGCCGTATTCTGGGCAGTTCTCGAAGTCATTTCGGCAGTTGTAAGATAAACTTCAATCTAGTACCTTTTGTGATTTGCGTCGAATTCGTGAATAGAAGTTGAAATTTGAGTGATTTCGTTATTTGCTTCATTGTGTTTCAGTGTGTTTGAAGTTATGTACGGAAGTTTTGTTTGCATTGGGTGGACGGCATTTGGTAAACGAGACTTCAGCTTTCTTCCTATAGAACAATGATGATTGTGCGTATGCTAAGAGTACTTGGTTTAGATCTGCAATGTAGTAGCTGATGATGTTGGTACGGCTGCTACGAGAGTGCAGTGTTCATGCAACGACACATATGAATTGGTGCAGGAACCAGGAAAGGTACTGAGAAATGGAGTGAAGTTGCTGAGTATGCAAAAGATCTACTAGAACCTTAACAGGTTACCCCTTCATCGTGACAAGAGATTGCTCGTCAGTGTGAAATTGTAGATGTGAAATTGTGCAGTAGATGTTATTCTAGCGAGGGCTCTCTTTCTCTCTGTCTCTCTCTCTCTTTCTGTCTCTTTGCATGTCTGTCTTACCCAAGCCAGGAAAGAGTTCAAATCCCATATCGTCCACTTTTAGTTATGCCTCCTGGCAAAAGTGGAAAATGGTAAACGTTACAGCTTGGGAAACCATAGTTGGTCGATGCACCGTCAATGGAAAGGAAATATATAGAAAAAGAGCGCGTGTGGCGCAGTGGTCAGATGCACCATGCAACACACACGTGAAGTCGATCCCAGCGCCCATGGCCCACCAAGTCTTCCATCTCTCCGGGTTCGGCAAATTTGTACCAGACTCGTCTGGGAGGATACCAGCATTGGTTCGATACATCGGTAGGCCACCGCGAATCATTGTACAGGTGGCCAGATACGCATTCAATCACCTTCAACCGTTGTTTAATGAAGTCGAATGCATAGCGCATCCGTCAGGAATTGATCAACGTCGAGAGCTTTATTCTATACTTATATATATATATATATCTTTACATCATCATAGCATCATCTTAGTTGTATTTCACATGCCGCTAAAAATTACAGTAGGCAGTAGATAAAAAAGGTTAAGATTATCTCGGTATTATTGTTGTTTGGTTTCACAGAATATCCTGCCATGGAAAAGAAGTGGTAGGCAGTGAATAAAACGATAAATTTTGGTACTAATTCCCTCACCCATAATTGATGGGAGGCTTGGTTGGTCATATATATATATATATATATATATATGTATATATATGTATATACATATGTATATATATATTTTGTAAGTTTTCGCTTTCTGTTGGAACTGTATTATCCAGACATTTTTTGGAAGCACTTTCTAAAGCGTTGAAGTTTATTGAAGTACACACTTTTCCAATTTTTACTGAAAAGACACACGTTTCCAATCCAACAAGTGCATTCCTCAAATGACGTTACATTAATACTTTTGAAGAATTTAGTAGGACCTAAGAAATCGAATGGTGATTGGCTAGGATTGCAGGATAGTCCGACACAGTGCGTGCTGCGCACAGGCATGCTGTCCAGCACGGCAAAGGACTGTCAGCCGCCGTACAACTTCCAGTGCAGCGATGGTGCTTGCGTCTCGCTTGGTGTCACCTGCAATGGAAAGCCGGACTGCTCCGACACATCCGACGAAAATCCAAACTACTGCAGTCAGTACTACCTTTTAAAGTCCTATTCGAGAGAGTATGACAGCGTAGAGACCACAGGCATTTGTTTTTTTGCCTTATTCAGAAAATTTGAATATTTCTCACGAATACCATCCAGTAATTATCTTTAAGACGCATCATATGCTCGCCATCTAGTGAAGGAGAGGAGTTCTTAACCCAGTAAATCAATATGTCTTTAACTTCTATCTTGCCTTGATGGATGAGGCGATCAGGAGACATTAAGAGGTTTTAGGATTTATGAGTTAAAGCATTAAGCGACCAGAATAAGACATAGCCAGTTGCGTCTTTTATCGTTTTATTTAGTGGTTCTTGGAGTTAATTGCTTGAGGCAAAGCAATAGTGTCATTACTAGTTCTTTTCTGCATTGCATTTAGTAATTAGGGATTCAACACGGTCCTGTGTAACAATGCAATTACGTTGGTCGAACTTCTATGTGGACCAACGACAGGCCAGGCCTTGACTAATACTTGGACTTTTACTTGGACACTTTAATTGCCCGTCCTCACTAATTGTGCGGCCCTAGCATGATCTCCATTTTTTCGAAGACTTGCTGGCTTAGCCATTATGGCTTCCTGGAGCTCCGAGCTCAGCCTGGCCGAAGTCTGCCCCAAGTCGTCACCACCATAGGCAGTTGCCACCCTTGTGGATCAAAAGGAGATTTGCCAACATGCGACTAGTTTGATACCAGGACGGTGACAGATCCTAGCATCGGTTTACTTTCAGCTGGGTTTTCTAATGAGAATGGCGGACTCCTTCTTAGCTTGGAATACCATGCCATGGACCAACCTCTCCCGCCGTACATCGCAGCTCGACACCCGAGAAGACCTTCCAGCCACGATGAGACGGGAAACCGTTGGGAACCCTGACTAATAGAGCTGTGTTAACTTGGAACAGGCGAATTGCTTTGGTTACATCATGGAAACACGTGTTTCTATGCAAACTTTCATCCTTGGTTTCAGTACAGGGCCTTATTGCATGTGTAGATATGAGCCGCTAATCCCTTACGCACTATGCACATCGTTTAATTTGCGATTTGGTTTCATTTTTTAATTATTAAATAACGCCATCCATAAGTGAGTGATCAATTTTTTTGGATAGGTCGTTTTGCGAGTCACGAGACAGTTCTCAATCAAGATGTATAATCTCTTGTGCTTCATGGTTCAACGCCTGGCAATAGTTCATTTTCAGACACCAGATCGTGCCCTGAAAACTACTTTTTGTGCACTAATAGAAGGTGTATCGATGAGGTAAAGCGGTGAGCGGCTATGGTTTATCTATTTTTTACAAAATACATTGTTTTGCTGTCTTTCTCTTGCTTGATTTTTAGATGTCGTTTTTTAGCTGCAATCATATTGATGACTGTGGTGACGCTTCGGACGAGTTAGACTGTGCTGCAGCTGTTACATGTGCTGCCGGATCGTTTGCTTGTGCAAATGGACACTGTGTTAATCAGACTAAAGTGAATTCATTTCACCCTTTTGTGGTTTTCAATCCACTATTTCGACTTTTTCCATGTTGTAATTTCCATCTTTCCTACAATGGCGTTATTTTCGCCTGCTAGTTGTATTAAAATGCATCGTTGGTCACAAGCACAGTGCTGGTTCGATTACGCGCTGGATCACCATGCCTCTCACCTCTGCGGGGTGGAGAAATTGTTAACAGAATGGTCCAGGAACATTTCACTCCCTGTAATCAAAGTGGCAACACCGAATCCCAGCTAATGCACGGCTGTAGAGAAAGTGGACTCGACCCGCAATCAACGGCATTCATAAAGAAGACAACAATCCTCAAACAGCAGTCTGACCTACACACGAAAGGTTCGAAGACCTTTGTAGGTGTTGGATGTCAAGAAACAAATCAAGGACAAGAAGTGATGTGATACTCAGAAAAGACGTGAACACTGGTCGCGTAAAAAAAAATTGACATACATCATTGTACACTTCCTGCGTAATTGTATGTCAGTGTAGTACAGGGAGTGGATGTTATTTTGGGTTGAGATACCCAGTTTGCTAAAACGTATCTTAGCTATTTGTATGTTGAGACTAACTTGAGTTGATGTTAAATTTCGGATGCTTACGAATGAAACTTTCAAAGTCCTTAATCACTATCGCGCTAAAAGATACTGCTCCAACCTCACTGAAATACAAAAACGTGGTATGCGAGAGGTATGAGAGCTGATAAGATCAAAAAACATAAGACTATCGGTTGGTGACAAGGGTGGAGAGTTCGTTGTAATTCCTCATCAGTTAGATGTTGAGATAACGGAAAAGCACCTTAAAAATGCTTCCCTTTATCGTCCGCTGTCTGAGAAGGAATTTAAAAGTCAATACCGAAAGTTAAACAACGAATGGGTTAAAGTGGCAAGAGCGGCCGGGTTAAAACCATCAGTTATTTCTCATCTCGAAATCGACTTACCAACATGTCCCGTCCTGTACTTACTTATCAAAACCCATAAGTTAGTATCCAGCGATGATCTTGTGTCTACCGATCCATCGTTATTTAAGGTTAGACCTATCATTAGCTGCGTGGACGGGCCAACAGATAGAATAACGTGGTTAATAACCCTAATACTTACTCAGTTGTTGAAGTACATTCCAGCTCATCTAACGAACACCCAAATGTTCCTGGATCGTCTACGTAACGCGCGACCCAACAGCGCGTACGTGGTGGAGTCCTTCGACGTCACTGCCCTCTATACGAACGTGTCGAATGACTCCACTATGCAAGCCATAAACGAGCTCCTTATACAACACGATGGAGCAATAAACATGTACGGCTTCTCGATTCAGCAATTGATGACGCTCTTAAAGGAGTGCCTAAACTGCTCAATCTTCAGATGGTCCGGGAGGTATTACGCACAAATGAGAGGGCTGGCAATGGGACAACGACTGGCACCAAGCCTTGCCATTGCATTCATGTCTAAGGTGGAAGCGTTAGTAATCGACCTCGGTCCGCTACTCTACTGTAGATATATAGATGACTGCTTGGTCATTTGTTCAACGCAAGAATAAATCGACAGATGTTTCGAGTTGTTGAACACACAGTCAGAGTATATTAAATTCACCCGAGAGAAACCAAAAGAAGACTGGCTTCCATTTCTGAACGTGCAAATTAGCCTATCAGAAAACGGCTACATTACGAAGTGGTATCGAAAGCCAAGTAGTAAAAACATCCTAGCTCATTACCTCTCATCTCATCCCTCTCACACGGAAAGGGCGCTTATGAGGAACATGTATCGAACAGCTACCAGCGTGTGCACAGGAAGACAACAGAGAGAGGAGTCCCGGAACTTGGCGCGGCAAATAGCCAATTTTAATGGCTACGAAACTGTAGCTCGAGATAGGTGTAGAGGAAACCACAGGTACCCCAACGATAACTCTAGCGACAACAAAGTCTCGTTTATACTGCCCTTCATTTCAAATGAAGTAAGTGCAGCTACAAAACGCTGTTTAAGAAGGGCCACTCTAGAGAATTCGGTAACGATAATCGAAATACCACCGAGTAATCTAAGGCGCCAGCTAGTTCGTAACCGCCTATATGACCGTCTATGTGCAACGCAAAATTGCATAATTTGTCCCAATGGTAGAGACGGTGACTGCGTGAGTTCGGGTACAGTCTATCTGATCTCTTGTAAAGCGTGCTGGGACGAATACGTTGGCGAAACAGGTAGACCACTCTGCGTACGTATAAAAGAACACCTAGTCGGCAAACGTAAGCCAAGTACTCCACTAGGTATGCATAGTACGCAGAAACATAACGGAGAAGATTTTGAAGTAAGGGTTACGATCCTCGCGCAAGAATCGAGAACACAAGCGCGCAAAACTCTAGAGGCATTCTGGATTAATTCCAAGAATCCGAAAATGAACCGCAGAGAGGAATGTCTCGTTATCACGCGTGATATTGGACAGTATATAAACCTGTTATTGTGATGGGAAGGGCACATTACGCTTCCATGTGAATTCTGTGCGGTTGGTCTTGACGCGACATACTCAGTGGAAGACTCATAGAAAGCGGTGAGTGTGCAGAGCTATGCTAAATGTGATTGAAATCTTAGCTTGGAGTTTTCTCTTTTTGGTTATGGAGGTGTTTGGCGGAGTGGGTTGCTGTCAACTTGACCCTTCCAGGCTCTGAGGAAGGCGAAATCCGCCGAAACGTCAGCTTGTGCGTAAATAAAGAAATAAAATAGCACCTCGTGTTTGCTGAACAGAAGTAGAAAGATATACTAACTTGAGTGTTTGGTTACCAGATCTGGTTACCAGTGGTTGACTAGGAAAAACATTAGCAAACAAAAAGTCCAATGTTTATCGAAACTTCGAAATGACGTATCTAAAATTAGCGTTAATCATAGGTTTGTGACGGTCACAATGACTGCCATGATGAAGGTGTTTCTGATGAGTCGAAAGAGACGTGCCCAGGATTGCCAATCGATTGTCGTGGAGTAAAAATACGGTAGCCTTTATCAATTTCGTTATAAAAGGAGCTCTTCACAGCAGCTGTAGTTTCCATACTGCTGAGACCCAATTTGGATTTTTTACAAGCATTCAGTTTCAAGCCCTTTGTTTGTAAGTAAAAAAAACTTTGTACTGCTATTTGGCATATTTTGTTCTTAGTTCCTAGGAGTTCCATTCTTTGCTCCGTCGTGCTCATTGTTTAACAGTTAGTTCAGGTTGCTATTATATAGATGTAGGCATTCTGATGGTGCCCATCATATCAATGTTTTTGCTTTTGAAAAGCGATGGGAAATCTAAGTTTAATTGAAAGCCTTGTTGATCATGAACATGAAGAATGAGCCGTAGAGATAAAAGAATGAATATAGAGAAACAAAGACCGGGCGGGCCTCGACCATGTATGGGTTTTTCATTGTGAAACTCAGCTTATGTGAAATACAACCACAATGATGGAGAACTATTTGCAAAAATCGTAGCCAAGCCTGCCTAGATTCGAACCCTTGGTCACACGTTCCGCGTATACACGTGTTGTCCACTGCACCACCCACCGCATCTCACTTCATATCCTGTCATGAATTATAAGCAGTAAGCAGGTGGTAAATAAAGAGTTAAACATTGTGAAATCCAGCGTGTTCATTCTCGCACCTGTTCAAAATGTGCTCCCCATCGAAAATAAAGCAAAAAACGAACTTTAATAGGCTGTTGGGAGTCACAATTTGATTTTCGTATAAGGAGGTTTGTATCTGTTGGCAGATATCTTCTACTGATTTCCGCTTAAATCATCTAAGTTCATTATAAGCTGAGAGATACGTCTGCTCAAAGTTAGAGGACACAATCATTTTCTAGCGCGCTTGTGTTGATATCAATGAATATAGTCACGGACTTAGTAAACATAGCTCGAGGTAACTTTACTAGCTGAAATTGATCCTGTTGAATCTTGAAATCATTACCAATACGCTGCAAGTTTTAATACACTACCAAGATAAAGCTTCAATTTTTTGGAGCGAAGTGGGCATACTTTTAACTTTCTCACATTTGAATCGAGGCTCGCATTTGAACAACGAAGCAATTCAACGAAGTGGATTTCATCCAGCGAGGTGTGGTAATTTTGCTCAACGTAGGTATTTACCGTTGTCGCGCTTCCGTTAAAAACTTTTAAAATCCCCATTTCTTTCCCATTACTTGGATGTGTTGAGCTCTAAACAAGGTTTAAGTGAAGTTCTCCGCTTCTAAAGTACTCCAGTTACCGGAACACTATCGTTAGTTATGGAAAAGTCATTATTGAGCTCTATGTGATATTACAACAGGACGAGACCGCTGTAACAGTAGGCCTTTGCTGAGCACATGCCTGAGTCTAAATGAACCATAACCTGACTCATTCGTTTGTTTTTTTATTTATTTTGCTGAATTTGCTCATCAATTTCTGAACAAGATATCGTTGTTCTGTGACTTTCCATCATATTCACTAAAACACTTTTGTCAGTTTACCTATTATGTTCTCAATTTGTCATAAACTACTAGAAATTTTTCACAAATTTTTGCCACAAAACTCGTTTATAGCTATCTCGAATGTAAGGAAACTCTGAATTCAGTTGCCCAAATACGAACATTTGCATCCAACCAGCTGACCTCTGCGATGGCTATGACGACTGTGGTGACAAGGCAGACGAGAACAAGCTGTTCTGTATGAATCAACAATGCGCTCAGCATTAGTATGTCTTATTAGTCTTGCTAAACCACTAAAAATAAAGATCAGAGCATGTTTAGCTCAAATGGAAACTGGAGAATATATTTGCAAAAATTCTATACCGCTTCCTTGATCATATATTCTACAAATGATCCCTCACTCTGAGCAGCTCCTATCGTTCGAGCTTTCTTGATGCGAAGGGAAATTACTACAACAGTACTTGACCAACTCACCATTGCAAAGGTTTTTCTAGGGCAAAATGGGAAATGTGGAAGGGACTCTTCTCTACGACGAAGCCATTTAGACAATGACAGTACCAGGTAGAAGACTAGGTAGGAGTAAAAAGTACCGTTGAATGGCAAACCTTTCATAATCCGTAAATGCAGACAACTACTTAGGTGGTTCAGATTGAAAGCCTTCTATTACGTTCTGTAGGCTATGAAAAGAAGTAACTTCCACGAAGGAAAAACTTCATTCAAGTGGAAATTAAGCTGAAGCCAACACGATTCTTCGTATAGACTTGTTACTCACGTATAAAGTGTCAAATACCCACGGATTACCTGACTATATCAGCTATGGGTTTACGGGGCTGTGGATCTCCCTAGTTTTAAAACATAGTCTGTTACGGTGAGTAGGTGGTCACCGCAGATTTGTGTCGGGGTGAGGATGCGTAAGAATACATACGTAAGAATGCTGTGTATAATACGCACAGAAAGAAGTTCATTGCGGTATAAATTTATGCAGATGCGAACTGAATCATTTAAGCCGAACATAGGACGCTAAGCACTGTATTTTTTTGACAGAGATGGTCTATTGAATTGAGAGCGCTCCATATGTTCAGCGTACGCTGCCCGTCCGGGAGATGTATCCCAGAGACATGGCAGTGCGACGGTGACAATGACTGTTCAGACGGCTGGGATGAGACGCACACAAATTGCACGGATGAGAACGGAAGACGGATTTGTGTTGGAGAGTATCTATTTCAGGTATCTACTCGTTTCCTTGTTTATTTATCTTATCTATCAAAGTTAATTTAGTTGCTTACATATTTGAACTTGATACTTGAATGGCCCGTCCTCACTGGTTGTCCGGGCCCCAGCATAACCTCTATTTCTTTGGAGTTTTGTTGGTTTAGCCATTGTGATTCACTGGAGTCCCGAGGTCAGCCTGGTCAAAGTCTGCTTCAGGTCGTCACCACCACAGGCAGTCGCAGCTCTTGTGGATCAGAAGGAGATTTGCCATAATACAACTAGTTTGATACCAAGGCGGTGGTGGATCCTGGTATTGGTTTACTCTTAACTGTGCTTTCTGATGAAAACTCCGGCCTCCTCCTCAGCTTCGGAGACCCTGCCGGAGAGACGACCCTGCTGTAAGCCGCAACCCGACACCCAAGAACACCTCCCAGTTTCCAACAGGAGTCCCAGCTAAAAGTAAACCAATATCAGGACTCACTACCGTTCTGGCTTAAAACTTGTCACATGGTGGAAAATCTTCCTATGATCGACAAAGGCGGCGACTGACTGTGGTGGTGACGAGCTGGGTAGACTTTGGCCACGATGACCTCGGAACTACAGAAAATTACAGTGGCTAGGCGAGCAAAACTTCGAAAAGACGGAAATTATGCTGGAATCAGCGCTACCAGTGAAAATAGGCCATCCAAGTTTCCATGTGTCCAAATAGTCCGTGTAAATCCGCTCCCTTTATAATATGTGAAGTAGTTTCCTCCGTGGAATTAGTACTGTAGTTGTTTATGAAAGGTAAAAGAAGCTATTTAAATGGTTGGTCATCAACATCAAAATTCACCGTTTGGCTTGAATACATAGTTCGAATATGTTTATTAGCTCAGTGATTTCCTAGCTTGAAGAGATATATGGCGTCTCGATTACATTACTTGTTGACCTCCTCATAGGGGAAGAGCGTGATTTAGCTGACGGTTCCTAGTTTCCGAGCTTCCAGATGTGCATATTCCTTTCAGTGCGATAATGGCAAGTGCATCTCACGGGCGTTCATTTGCGATGGTGAAGATGATTGTGGTGACAGTTCTGACGAGCACACCAGACACAGCTGTGGTGAGCTTTTCGCTTTTTTCACACACTCTTCTTCACATCTATTGAGCTGATCTCAGAACCTGTTGTCTACGTTTTTTTTTAAATTTTTCATCGCTTTCATCATCCATGAAGGTCTATGAGCTTTCCGCGTGTACGTTAGGTTGCTGTTTGAATATTTCTTATCATCGTCATGAATGTTGTTGAGTGCTGGTAGAAACGATTCTCCTCGGAGTCTCGGCATAACAGCGCTGGACCGTTTCCATTTGAACTGCTGAGAATGAACTGTTCCCAGACAAGTGTAAGCCCGGTGTGCGATCGACCCAGCTTTGTGGTCATGGTGGACGGTAACACTACCACTGCTCTGTCCGGCTCACTGAGCTCATCCTTATAATATGTGAGCAGTTCTCCGAGTGATGTCAGAGTTCAGCAACACCTATGGTTTTGACAAAGAATAGATGAATCATATAAATTAACGTGCAGCTATGGCATTTACAACTAGCCGCCAAATTTCACGTTTTTGCGAATCGCGTCGTCCGCGTAATACTAAGTGGTGGTGAGAGATTTGTCCAATTTTATTAATAATGTCAGAGGAAAGCCTCGGACGGTATCTGGTCCAGATATTTTCTAGCACTTCTTTTCATTTTTCCTCATGCGGTATGGTTATGTGAAAGTAATAATTTCGTCTACTGTTATGCTGCATAGGTTGTCCTTCGAGTACATTTACAACTAGTTTTAAACGGCATAAGCCACGTTTGTCACCACGATTCAATGATCATGTGATCGTTTTGCGTTTTCAACAGCTCTTTGGTAGCTAAGTCTGCAATCTATAAACCATTTAAGCCTTAATGTAAGCAACAACCTTTAGCAAATCCAAATCTTCTCAGGCAATCGTACATGCAATGAGCAGGAATTCCACTGTGCTTCGAATGCAAGACTCGTCCAACCAAAATACGAGTGTATTCCAAAGGCTTGGCTTTGCGACGGTGATGTGACCTGCGCAGGAGGAGAGGACGAAGCAGCTGATTTATGCAAGGCTGAAAAGAAGGTATCGACACTTCTGAGCAAGTTGGTGATAACAGGAAATTCCACTTCTAAGCTCTAGTTTTCTGTTCACCTACTTCCACTAAAGCAGAGAAAGTAGACTGTTTTGGCCTGGTATCAAACAACGTTTATTTATTACAAATAATAAGTTTCGATATGTTTTCGCCTTAGTTGTTTTATTTGCTTGTCGGAGCGTGGGGGTGTATTTAAGTACAGTAATACAGATTTTGTTTCATAACATCTACTTCTTCTTAATCAAGCCAGCGAACGTTCTTCTTAACTCTACTACTTTAAACGTTTGTAAATGAACAGATGTCTCTGATGTATTGTTACGTTATTTGAATATAAATTACAGGAATGTAACAAAGGCGAGTTTCGTTGCCAGAACCAACACTGCATCCATCAAAGTTGGGAGTGTGATGGTGATAATGACTGTCTGGATGGATCTGATGAACACGCCAATTGCAGTGAGTGGTTGATGAGATTTTAAATGAAAAAACCTTTTTAAAAAAACCTCAAGTCTTTTCTCTTACCGTTTGTTTCTTTTTTCTTGGATGTTTAATAATCTGGAGGAATGGCCATTTCGGAAGGTGTTCTCACTAAATTAGGTGCTTAGCCCATTAGATCTGTTTTTAAACGCCGTGAATGTTCCAGCACTTTTCCGTACTTATCGCTATCTAGCAACCGCCGTGCATTAAGATGGCAGGATTTATATGTTGGATCGGCTACAAGCTCAGGAATACTACTGGTTTTTCCTCATTCAAACATTGAGTTCGTTTAAGGATGCTTTCTTCTAGAATCCCGAGTTAATTGTGCTATAGCGTCCCCATGCCTTCATCACAAGTGCCCTTCCGACCATGCTGACCAGGAGGAGCTTTTCTGATTTGCGACTCGGTTTCTTCCACTGCAGTAGCGATTGCTAACTCGGATTTTTCCAGTGCATCAGTGACTCGATGCCGATGTAACAAGCCGAACCATTCCGCTAACATGCCAAGATCTTGTTTTCCTAAAATTAAAACTAGATAAGAATTTTACATGGAAATTTGATTTGATAATGGATTGAAAGTAGAGTTATCAAATAATGTTTTGCTATTGAAGCTTACTCTTCTTGTCAAGCCGAGTTCTGGCAGTGTGCGAACCACAAGTGTATACCAACTTCATGGCGTTGTGATGGAAACGACGACTGTGATGATGGATCAGACGAAAAGGAATGCGCCCAAAATCAAAAGGTTTTTTGTATTGTTTTTTATCATATAAATGGGATTTAGAATGTTACGAGTAGGTTGTCGATTTTTGTCGATATATTGGGGCCTGTAGCGTAGTAGTCAGAGGCGTCCAGCTGTACAAACGTGGTCACTGTCTGCCAAGCGCCCTAGACTAAGCAACCGCCCCATCCTTCCGTTTTCGACAAATTGCTATTGGGTAGGTTTAGTAGACTGCAAACTGTAATTTAATACATTGGTAGTTCACCTCAATTGAATACATATATATAGGAAATATGTATTCAGTCATCTCTAGATGTAATGAAGTCGAATGCATGACACATCTCCCACGGATTGATCAACGCTGAATCGTTTATTTTTTTAACCCTTCTTATTAATGTGTTATAGAGTGTATAAATGTGCACAACCGTTCGGGTGTGTACGAAAACTGTCCACAAAGTCTTGTTGTTGTTGTTGTTGTTGTTGTTGTTGCCATGGTTCGATGGCTGTTATTTAGGCGACTTCGCCTTCTTCATGTGTAACTATCTTCGTCACCTTCACGTCACTCAGCAAACGCAGTTCACACAGTGTTTGAGAGGTTTTCTCATGTCTAGCCTGCTTATTCACCTCTTGCCGCACTTTGGAGCCAAAACTTCTTCTGTCTGATGCTTTCATGGCCCAGCAGAATAATTCAGAGCGGAGCAACTATGAATCACCTAAATTGCTAAAACGAAGCTGAGAACGTACTGAATTAAAGGGAGACAAAAAGGAACGATTCAATCATATTCAGCTTAGCACACAGATTAATAGATATCTTTGTTTTCAAATTGTTGAGCTTACACGAGGTTGATAAGTATGTTTATTTTGGCTGACGTTTCGACGGTTTCGTCTTTATTAGGTCCGAGTCGATGGTCCACGATTGTTTGTGTTGTCAAAGTTGCATCTTCGTCGTTCACCGAGCTGGTTCTTCTTCAGTGGAGCACCTCTCTTAAATGAGCCATACTCACCCGTTTTTCAACGAATTATCCACCCTGCAGCAGTCGGTATTATTTTGGCTGGCACAAAGCGAATAGCAAAACAATTTTCGAACCAACCGTCTTTTAACCTCGGTAGTAAAATAATCAACATGTGTTTATAATTTTGACTTCGGCTAATGTTTTGACGGTTCCGTCTTCATCAGAGCCGATGACCTGAGTCGATGGTCCACGGTTGTTCGTGTTTTGATTTGTTTACTATCGCACTGTAATTTTTCCACAGATGTATTTTCTTATGATTTATTCGAAGTTTTTGTCCTTTTTCTTACTTCATCACATGAAAGAATATTCTCTGCTTCACTGACAGTCAAAAATGTAATGATGTCTTCAATAAAAAAAATACTTAGTAAGAGCTGGATTACCGAATATGTGGTTTATGACCGAGGCATGCATCATTTTCTTCTCAGTGAATCAATTTCGCCGTTCATTCAAGTACAGCGGTGAAAAGCTTTTGAGAGATTATATTGTGGCACCCTTACAGATCACAATCTCAATGGTGGTGATAAAGCATTGCTGGAAGAGATGCGTTTATTTGTTACAGTCGCATCAGTTAAACATAATTTATGATTTGGATAGACTCTTCTTGGTTGGCAAGCCTTGTTAGAATGCTATTCATATCGACGCCATTAAACGTTCGTGTCAAAATAAAAAGGCTATGAGAAAGGATTAGTTGTGCACTTTACTATCTTCTATGAGCTCAGCTACCGTTTTCATATTATGGAAGCAGTAAAATCTCTTTGCGTGAATATCGCGTTCAAGTCTTTGAGCTCAAGCAGTTGATGACTTAAAGCTCGAAGAAAGTGGGCAGTTACGTTATGTGCTCTTGCAATAATGCCTATCTCAACAGTGTTGATAGCGGTTCGGATTCCATGTGCAGGTGATCAGTGTGGTGCTACTCTGGGGTATTTTTGAGCTCGCTGTGGAGTTTTTGGCGCGCAGAGGATTGAAACAGAATTTTCCGTCGCCAACTACACATGATGGAAATGGGCAACGGTCCTATCTTCCAATATCAGAAATAAAACAAAGGATAAATCTTTCGGAGTTGAGCAATCCCTGAGATATGCGCCATCCATTCGGCTTCACTAAGTATCGTTGGAGGTGATTGAATGCATAGCTGGCCTTTACAATGACCCGCGGTGGTCTACCGATCTAACGAGCCAGTGCTGTTATCCTTCCAAACAAGTGTGGTACCAATTTACCCACCCCGGAAGAATGAAGGGCTTGGTGAGCCATGGGCGCATTGATCGCTTCCACGTGTGTGTCGCAGTGGCGCCTCCAACCATTGAGCCACAAGCCCCCTATACTAGAGATAGCAGCGGAATATTATATTCGCTTGTTTCCTGATCTCATTTATTTGTACTAGGGTTTTCCCGAAGTGTTTCAAATAATTTTTTTCTCGCTGTCTCAATGTTTTTCCTCCTGCATAGATATTCTCCACTTGACATTTTTTACCAACGATATGTGAAGCGGTGTGTTGCGGATCAAACTCTAGTCTTCTTTCCTTATCTAGGAACTTTGGTAGTGGTGATGAAGTAATGCGAATTCGCAGTTAAAGGACTGTGGTTTTTTCTGTATAATTTTAATACAATTCGACGAGAAGTTCGTAGTTCTCGGTTGGTCATCATCACACATCTGCCAGTCGTATTACGGGAGAGCACTGAGGATGTAGTCAGTTTGCGAAATAAGTCTTGCCATTAGGTGTCACCAACATCCAACGACGAATTTCATTCGTTTCAAAAACTAAATCCTGCGGTGTAGGCACGCCATGTGGACAAGAGCACAAGAAAATACCTTCTATTCCTACTTCACCCTTCCATTGCTAATTTTTTTATCCTACATTCACTTTCACCCACCTTTCCTTACATACCTTTGAAACATTATGGCATTTTTTTTCCAACTTGTAGTAGAACTTATTCAATTCGCCCTCGCCAACTATTCAGGGTTGATAAGTAACAGCTAGTGGTATAGGTATCGACGCCATTGCTAAAAACGGAGGATAGCGGGCGATCTGATAGGTTTTCGTATAAACTGATGTTATAGATAACACATGAAGAGAGGGCTAAACATTTGTCACTGGCACTTAGTGACGGGCTTTTTTCAAGAACGACAAGGTCACCGTTATTTACCCAGTTCCAACACCATTCCGTGCAAAGTCAGAAGCAGATTTGCCACGTTGTCACTAGGTTGCTAATAGGATGACAGTGATTTCTGCAATCGCTTTCTTCTAAGCTAGGCTTCGTAGTGGAAATCACGAAATCATCAGCTTGCCTGGTCTTACTGAAGAATGGACATGCGCTCTAGATCGCAGTTTGACATCGAAGAACACCAGGTCGCGATTGTTTGGTTGACCCTTGTGTGGTGGATTTATCTAAACGGGTTATCTAAGATGAAAGATAATTCGGTGTTAAAATATGGTGCACATTTTGCTGTTTGCTGCCGCTGTGAACTATTCTAATAATAAGCGGAATGCGTTCAACGTACAAGATTATTCCAGACATGGAATCGATCTATGAGTGCTACTAAACAGCCAACATTCAATTTATTCAATTTCAGGATATAAATACTCAGCACGCTCTTTGTCAGAAAGGTCAATATCAATGTCTATCTGGAGAATGTATCGACGAAAGAAAGGTAAAAATACATTTTTTTGGCACTGAAATGCGGAGTAGGTGAAGCAATCGCCAATTTCTAGTAAGCGGCCCTCACTTAGAAATGACAGATCTGATGTTAGCATTAATGCTTGAGTCGTTCTAGTGCGAGATTCCGTCAATTGTTCTTTCATTGCAAAACTGTATTCCTGATAGAGGTCTGAATCCGAATAAACAGATTGTTATCCAGATTGTTTAAAGTATTTTGACCTTCACTAAGCTGACGATAAAAGTTACAGTGACTTTCTTAGGTTTGCGACCGCACCTACGATTGCGCAGATCGCAGCGACGAGTCCTCAGAATGCTGTAAGTTTTTTTACCTAGAAGGCAGCACAAATATTTCCCGTTCTTCAACGTTCTATTGAAATCAAGCATGATAAAGATATAGTTGATACTTGATACTTGGACGGTCCGTACTCAGTGGTTGTGCGGTTACCAACATAATTTCTATTTTTTGGAGTTTTGCTTGTTTAACCATGGTATTCCCTAGAGTCGTGGTCAGCCTGGTCAAAGTCTTCACCACCACGGTCAGTCGCATGCCTTGTGGATTAGAGAAAGATTTACCACCATGCGATTAGTTTGATACCAGGACGTGGTGGATTTTAGTATTGATTTACTCTTAGCTGGGCCTCCTGGTGGAAATGCCGGACTCCTTAGCTTGAGAGACCTACCGGGGTATGAATCACCAAGATGGATAAAGGAGTACTTGTGATAAATATCAAGCAAAAATCTTTAAAAAAGTCTTTGAGTTACCATAACTCTAAGATTCCAGTTTTAAAGATTTATTTGCCTTTCCCGAGGCAATGATATTTTTCCAGTCATTGACGAATGTGCAAAAGCAGAGAAACCGCTTTGTGAGCAGAAATGCGTCGATTTGGCGATTGGCTATCGTTGCGACTGTTTTGAAGGATTCGCTATAGATATGGATGATAAGAAGAGCTGTCATAATGTAAATGAGTGCTATGGTCTGTTTTATTATCCTATACCACCTTTCTGTGCTTATTATTTATTCCATTGACCTTGCTAAATTATTTAATCATGTAAAAACCTCTTTTATTTCCACAAGAAAGGCACACCCTTTTACAAATGACAAGAATAATCCATAATTTTGCTGACTTAGGAATGTCCGCCGCGATGCCGCAATGGGTTTTGTACCACCTGCAAGACGTCTTGGATGTCCTTCTTCAATTCCATTCTAAACGTACTAATACATTCAGCACCACAGATTCATTTCCGCTTCAGAAATGTCTTCTAAGAGTGTTTTATACCATTTTACCCTCGTATTCTAATCTGCAAGCCATTTTCATCACCTTGTGCTCTCAATTACTAAGGATATCTTACCATATACGCTTTTAGCGCAGTAGCCACGCAATACACAACTGCTCATTGGTTTAATCCCGAACACTGGGATCATCAATCCTTCATCACCCTATTGGCGGTAAATCCCTGCCAAAGTTATCCGTTGAAATAAAAGTTCTTAACTGGTTCATCGGTAGGACCTCCAAGTCACTACATGAGGCAAATATGATTTCGATCATCTCTGCAGTGCTTTATGGAGTCGAGTGTGTAGCGCGCCCCTCAGCGATGAATCAACCCAAAGCGCTCTGTCCTTTACACTCTATCTTACTGTAGCTGTTCACTAATATTGAGACTTGGTTATCAAACCAGCGCTTTTAAGGGAAATAAACTCTCCAAAAAAGGCTGTTTCATAATGATCAACTTCTTGGAATGCAAATTCAGGCCAAGTAAATTAGATTTTAACATTTTAGAAGGCATTTCTGGATGTAGCCAGACATGTGAAGATAAAATCGGTACGTATAAATGTGGTTGCGTGGACGGATACCAACTTGGAAAAGATGACCACAGCTGCAAAAGGACGCAGCCAGTAAGAATATATGTTTTTAATGGTTTAATTCCGCCTGTGTCTATGGAGATATTTTGTTTCGTTGGCCAAGGACGCTTTAAACTCAGTATCTTCTCTCATAGCATGCTTTCCTTCACACTAAATTATTGCCTAAAAATTTTATTATTGTATTTTTCCACAATCAGTATTCTTCTTTTATGACAACACGAGTTCAGGAACCAGTACCATGGCTTATGCTAGCAAATAAGCATTACATCCGTAAGATATCCATTGATGGTAATTATTATGAAATGGCAGCGCAAGGATTCGAAAATGTGGTGTCGTTAGATGTTGATATGACGGAAAAGAAGGTGTGTCACTGCTTGATAAGAATGTTGGTGATCAAAATTGATTAATTTATTGAAGGTCACATATTCCACTAGATTTAGCCCAAGAAATATCTCTTACTTTGACCTATCCGAATTCCTAGACTTTCCGGCAAGTTTAGGTCTACCTGGTGGACCAAGGGAAGCTACGCTTATTGCGTGTTGACTTGGACGAAATGCAAAATCCGGTAACGAGCTACGAGACCGTACTTCGACACAACATATTCGGAATTGAAGGTATAATTATCGTCTGGCTTGTCTGTGGTTCTTTAGCAATTCGTGGTTAGGGGATAAGGTTCCGTCGACCCGACGCTGATACTTCAAATCTCTCGTATTTTTGAATCTATAACGTGAAAATAACGTAGTTTAGCTTATTTATTACGTATAGAGAGGTGCTTAATTTTCTAGTGACAATTTATAATCGAAATCAACTTGGTTACTTACACATAATAGAGAGTTAAAGACTTTCAGTAGGCGTTTTCATCGTTTAATTCTTGGTTTGCCGTCAAGATGAGGTGTACTTTATAGGATTCGCTATTGACTGGGTTGGTCGAAAGATCTACACACTAAATCGACAGGAAAAATCGATCCGAGTTTGTGAACTTGATGGCCGGTTCTGCAAAACCTTAATCAGGGATCGTATTGCTCAGCCGAAGGTTGGTGATTTTCGTTGGCCATCTGTAAACCATGGATTCCAGATCGGGATAGTGGCACAAAAGTAGCTGTGCAAATTGCTTCTACATGCTTAACAGTCTTAACAAATGATACTTGATTCTTGAACGGCTCGTCCTCACTGGTCTCACTACTTGTGCGGGACCCAGCATAATCACCATTTTTCGGAGATTTGCTGGTTAAGCCATTGTGGTTTCCTGGAATCAGCCTGGCCAAAGTCTGCCCCAGCTCGTCATCACCACAGGCAGTCGCAGCCTTTGTGGGTCAGAGGGCGATTTGCCACCATGCGACTTTGATACCAGGACGGTGGTGAATCCTGGTATTGGTTTACTCTTAGTTAGGCTTCCTGCTGTAAACGACGGACTCCTTCTCAGTTTAGGAGACCCTATCGGGGAGACGAATCCACCCGCTGTACATCGTAGCCCAACACCCAGAAACACCTCCCAGCCACGATAAGGCGGTAAACCGTTGGGAAGTTAACAAATAATACAATCTAAAATCTTAAATAGTGACTTATACAAGAGTTTCTGATACCTACGAGTAATCTGTGTAATGCGTTATGTTTTAGGCAATTGCAATCCATCCAGGGAAAGGATATCTTTTCTTCACCGAATGGAGTCTCCAGCCGTACATCGGTCGTATGGCACTTGACGGGTCACCGGAGCTCGCAGATCCGATTGTGAAGTTGGCCGAGAACGATCTTGGTTGGCCGAATGCTCTTACCATTGACTACTATTCAAATCGGTATCGTTTTACTTTTCGCTTTTATTGCGTTGCTTCAGTAGAGGACTAGAATTTGTAAGAATCCTATGGTAACTCCGTGAAAATGATAGTGTTTTGTGAAAGAGTAAGGATCTCAGTTCACTATTCGTTATTGACGACCAAAGTTATATTGCGCATCTCCGTACGCATCATATTACTAATTAAATCAGATAGATTTGGCAGTGTTCTGGCAGACTATGACGACTAGTACGACGGCAAACTATCAATTACAAGGATAACGACTAGTTTTCAGTTTATTAATTGTGACAAAAAATATTATGATGTCACCTATATCACCTGTGGTTCCGTTGAACGTCGAGTGACTCGACTGGGCGCCAATAAATCGCCCATTTTCCCCTGTCGCGTGCAAGAGAAGCCCAATGGGTTCTGCTCACTCTAAGGACTCGTTGAGTATCATATCTTTTTCTAGGCTTTTAGTGAAGAACTCTGACCATCGGGTCGGTGGTCTTCCTGCAGTGCGTTTGACATCCCGAGGAGTCCAGTCACTAACGGCTGTTGTCCATCGGCTGTCGTTCATACGCGTTACGTGTCCGCCCCACCTTATCTTCGACTGTTTGGCGTACAGAACAGCTTCTTTGATTTTTCATCGTTGACGCAGGTCGAAGCTTGGACCCTTTCTCCTACTTGCGTGACACGGGCGTTGTCCTTCCTACTGCGCGTTCAATAACGCTGAGTGATCTTTCATTCTGCTTACGCAGCGACTAGGTTTCTGACGCATATATTAAACCAAGAAGTACCGTTGAGTCGAAAAGGTGGCGCGGAGTCGAGTGTTCTTTGTGCTCTTCACTACACTCTCGATGCTCTTAAAAACTCCCCAAGCTTCTCGTTTCCTTCTGCTCAATTCTGGAACTAAGTCGTTCATCACGTTGTTTTTCCGACCTAGATAGATGTAATTGGAGAATTCTGAGATATTTGTTCCACTGAGCGTGAATTGGGCGTACAAAACCTACCTGTTCCTCATGAACATCTTTTTTGTGAGATTTAGTCGAAGAGCAATCTTGATATGATGGAGATCCATGGATTATAGTACCATAACAAAGAATTCGTTTGATCCATATTTTCACTAAGAATTTAGGTTGTTTTGGGGAGATGCCCATTTGAATGAGATTGGATTCATGGATCTTGACGGTAGTGGGCGACGACATATTCCCGCACGACGCACCAGCCATGTGTCCAGTATGGTCGGTTATAGAATGATGCAGTTAGAAATCTCAAAGCTAAACAAATATTCTGCCTGCTGCTATGAAAAATAATTTTGCAGGTTGTCTTCGATGATTACCTTTACTGGTCAGATTGGAATCTTCGTGAGGTGGTCCGTTGCGATAAATGGACCGGCAAGAATGAGACTGTGCTCAAGAAAACTGTTCAGCTCCCCAATGATCTCAGGGTAACGTTGCTGTTGTTGAATAATAGTCTTAGTTTTTTTGCGATTGCTTAACTTTTTATCTCTTTTTTAGCATCAGTTGAGTTTTCCAAGTTTGATGAGAAGAGAAATCAAAGATTTCTGTGTCTGTTTTCCTTATTATTCAAAAAGCGCATAACCTTTGAGCAGAATACTACCTATCTCGGGCTTCTCACTTTACTATTTACTGGGCTGGCATATCTTCTATTTTGTTGGTCCTATTTCTTTAAACTAGTTTATGTAACGATATATGTTCTAAAACAACGTCTAAAAGTAGGCTTATCGTCGCTGTATTATGGACGATTTATTGGGAGCATCATATTTGTGAAATTTAGCATTGTGCTGTCATTTCTAAGAATGGTTCTATACAAAGCTGCTAACCTGATTTTGCTGTGATTCGCTGTAATTATTACAATTCTTGAAGATAATCCATCCTCTTCGCCAACCAACCTATCCGAATCCTTGCGGCACGAATAACGGTGGTTGTTCTCATCTATGTTTGATCGGTGCTGGTGGTAATGGATACACTTGTTCTTGTCCTGACCAATTCGTACTGCTCAGTGATAACAAGGTACGATTACCAAGACCTAATTCGTTATGTTCAAGGGACGTCTGCGTACTAATTTCAACTTATTTTGGAAAGCGAACATTTTTCTTTGAGCAAAGTAACGGCAAATTTTTAAACTACTCTAAGAAATCTCTTTCTGACTTGAAAATGCTGTTTCTAGACATGTCAACCCAACTGCACGGACCGACAATTCGCATGTGGTGGCGAAGATGCGAAGTGCATTCCGAAGCTGTGGTACTGTGACGGTGAGCCAGACTGCCGCGATGGCAGTGATGAGCCGGGAAGAGACGTCTGCGGTGAGATGTCATTATCCAAGATTTTCTGTAGAAATGGTTGACTGAACTCACCAGTTCACGAAGCGTACGACGCGGAGGAACATTTAAGCGTACACATTGATTCTAAGTTGATAAACGTATGTATGTTGTACTGCGTTATGTCATGAATTGTGAGCTTGACGTCCTTCATATTTATGGTTAGAGGACGTTATACCTCGTAGGATTAAATTCATCAGATTTTACGCTTATTTTTTTAGAGCACTCAGATTTCTGTTTTGCATCTTGTTTCTTTTTCTAGGCATACGCATTTGCCCAGTTGGCGAATTCCAGTGCGCGAATCACAACTGTACGAGACCGTTTCAGCTTTGTGACGGTGACTATTCGTCTCTGTAACGATTTTTAAAATCCAATCATTATGAGACGAGTCCATCAATCTCTGTGAATGTAGGTAATGATGATTGTGGAGATGGTTCCGACGAGCAGGACTGTGACAAGCCTTGTGATCCTTGGATGTTCAAAGTGGGTTATGTACACCGTTCCACATCAAATTACTTTTAAGAAAAGGAGATTACCGCTGAAATCTTTGATGTTTTTATATCATCTGCACGTTGTCTTTTAGCTCTGGTATTTTTCACTATTTTTTTAAATTGCATTTTCACTTTTCTTGTTGTACTCTTGCTTCTGTTATAGCAGGCTTAGTCTGTGTTGGATCAAAACAAAAATCTACAGGTCTCAGATGACGTTAATTAAAAAGTTATTTCGTTTATGAATATTTGCCGGTTTAGTGCACCGCTACTGGGAAATGCATTCCGAGGCGATTTACATGCGATGGCGACGACGATTGCGGTGACAGATCCGACGAAGCTGACAGCCTTTGCAGTAAGTTTTTAGTTAATTGATGGGCTAGGAAAGCGATGATCAACATGAGATGCAAATTGAAGAAAAATGGATTAATGTGAGCAGTTTTATACGGTCAGTTATTCGTTCGTTAACAGTTAAAAGGGGAAAATCGTAATGTCATAAGAAACGGAAGGTCGATGTAATATCTTAGGTGTTGACCGCCCTTTTGTAAGATTCGCTTTTTTTACGCAGTGCACGCAGAACCAAACTAATAACTTCTAAATGAAACATAAGTACGACGCATGAACTGACTCAAGTAGCATACTGTCCTCGTTCAGTGAGTCCTGATCGCAACTGCACTGCTGAGGAGTTTCGCTGCTCGAACCACAAGTGCATCGCGAAGGCGTGGCGTTGCGACAACGACGACGACTGCGGCGACGGCTCGGACGAGACGTCCGAATGCACGCAGATGGATTGCCGGCGTGGATGGACGAGATGCGCCAGCTCATATAGGTACCCCATACGGCAAACGATCTGTTGCTCCTGATTTTCTTGTTACGTATTGATTAAGCTTGTTCTATGTCGCACATGAAAGGTTTTCAAGAAATCCGCTGGAATGAATAGTCAACGTGCACATTAGAGGATAACCTGTAAAATTACATAATTTATGGACATATTTCCAATTTTTTGAGAAAGACTGAGAGAAAGGCGAAGCGAAGGACTCGCATGGTATAATGGTGAACGCAGCGTTAGCCCCGCAAAGAGCAATTCGTAGACACCTGTGGTCCGGAGCTTTGCAAATGTCTCAGCATCATTGTGGTTCTAAATATTTGTTTTCGTTGTTTTCGATCCAATTAACATTTACCTATGCAGGTGTATACCGAACTGGGCGTTTTGTAACGGGCAAGACGACTGCCGTGACAACTCGGATGAGAACAAGGAACGTTGTCCAACATGTGATGATATTGGTACGGTTCATGTCTATGCATAAATTCTAAGATATCTATCTAAAAAACTCAAGAAAAACAATTCTCAGTAAACAATAGGGACAGTGACCAGAGCATGAGGAGAGCTAATATGATGTTACAAAATAGAAAATCTACCAATGAAAATTAGGAGAGTGTTTTATTATTCCTAGAACAATATGGTAATTGGCGGGAAGCTTCCTTTAGAGCTTGGTTTAGCTTAATCTCTTGCTAGGATTACTTCCGAAAGAGTCGATTTTATGAGAAGCTTTTCAGGAGTTGTTAAATTTCTGAAATTACCTTCAAAGTTTTACGAGGTTATTTCGTATCCTTCATTTGGAACAAAAATTTTATAACGAAGAGTTGTTTTAGGTGAATTCCGCTGTGCTACCAGCGGTAAATGTATTCCACGACGATGGATGTGTGATAGCGAGAACGACTGTGGCGACAACTCGGACGAGACAGATGTCAGCTGCGGTGGCACAACCAGACCATGCTCCGAGAGCGAGTTCAGATGCAGTGACGGCAAATGTATTGCTGGCAGTAAGGTCTGGTGTTTAAATTTAGCTATTAAGAGACGGCTGTTTGCAAATAAAATGGATCTATGTGTCTATTTACCACCATTCATCGAAGTATTTCAATTTTTCTACCCTATTCTTTACTTAATTTGCAAACTTTAATTGATAGATTATTTCTCTGTGCTCAGTGTTTGTGAGGAGCGGACACGAGTCGAATCATGGAAACACTTCTGTGCTAACGAATAAAAGAAGAAGTGCATTTCCATTACCCTCCTTCAGTTACGGGCGCACGCAGCGAAATGCTTATGGGGCCTTCCAATATAAACATGACTATTGATTTCATCCAAGGCCGGAGAGCACCATTCCTTATTTGCTTGAGAGCGTAGAAGCACTGACACAATACTTCGACAGGCCAACAAAAGTCATTGCATAGGCGTTCATTCGCTTCTAACGGCTCTTAGTAAAGTCGAATGCATGGCACATCCCTCAGCGACTGATCAACGCCGAAGGTTTTGCCTTTTTATTCTTCACCTTTCAAATCAAAATTGTCACAACTTTATGGAAATATTGCATGCAAAGATTATGAAGATCCGGTGTTCAAGGTCTGCGATGGAACTGTGCAGTGCAGCGACGGCTTGGACGAGTTGCAGTGTTTGTCGCGGAACTGTTCCGCTGGTCACCGGCAATGCGACGACGGTACCTGCATTGTGGAGCATAAATGGTGTGATCGACGAAAAGATTGCGCGAATGCCGCTGATGAAACGAATTGCTCACATGTGGTTAGTTTATCACACTCAAACCAGCGCAGCCTTAATTTCTGTGCAAAATATAGAGGCAAAATTCTTTGTAAATCTCCCTTACATTTTTGCCATTGTTCTCGATGAAATAGAATTTGACTTAAGCCTGATAAAAGAGTTCTATCAATAACGTTTTAAGAAGCAATTATATCGTTCTATCTGTTCAAGGTTTTTGTTAGGTCTCGTTAACGGTTACACCGAAAAAAACTCGAAGGTTTTCTCTTTCCAGAACCGTCGTCCGTGTTCACCGTTCGAATTCGAGTGTTCGAATTCGGTGTGCATTTCACGAAAATTCATGTGTGACGGCGACAACGACTGTGGTGATAACTCGGACGAGACGTCCAGCGACTGTCGCTCCGCCCAGTGCGACCCGCCCCTGCGATTCCGATGTGCTCATTCACGTCTTTGTCTCAACATTCTGCAGGTTGGTTTTAGGCTTGCCGATGTTACGCAGTGAATTTTCAAGAATCGGTTTGTGTTAATTTTATAATTTCCTTTTTTCATTTAGTATGCATAACTTTTTCTGTGTCGATCGACTTGGTATGCTTTTTCTTCATCTATGTAATTATTGATTTATTTGTTTTCTTATTGTTTTCTCTCTTGATCCTTATTTATGTCCAACATACTTGTAACGGCATGGGTTAATGTTAGTACTAATATTAGGATTTACTTAATGGGAATTTGGGAGACAGATTAACCGGTGTGACCTAAGTTCCACGAACATTCTTTCCATCGTTCTATGTTCCCGTACAATTTGGTGGCACTTGTATAGTAGTCTTTTCACCAAGAGTTGTAAATTGGTGCACATTTTATAGTATACCAAAAACAAAAGAAAATACATAAAATGCGATGCTAATTACTGGGGAACATGAGAATAGTACTGTGAATTTTTTTAGGAATTGAACCATGCGGTGTGCAAATATTCCTATAAAGAACAGCAATGAAGCAGCAATTAGTCAGAGTATTCGGGATCTTCAACAGATAGCCCATAGATTTTGTTTTAGCTCTGCAATAGTTTCAACGATTGTGGCCCGAATGACTACTCGGACGAGCATCTTTCGATGTGTTCGAGCTTCTCCGAATATGGCGACTGCACACTAAACCAATTCAAGGTACTTATTTAGGCAGTTGCGATTTTCAGCTTTATGCTTCTGGTTTTAGTCTTTGATTACTACTGCTACTTATCTGAAATTTCTAGCAAAGCGAAGAAGAACGACTTTAGAGACATATACAAGTGTAGTGAACCTTCATTCTTTAACTAGCTGCTAAATGTTTTCCTGTTCTGCAACCCATTAAATTATGTAGCTATCCATATATGCAAATATTCAATACTTAACTCATATAAGGCTGTACAAATAATCTGTGAGTAAAGAGTATGGAGAAATTTTGTAAAGACCTAATTCCATGGAAGACCATTCCGTCGACTCCGTTGTATTCCTTAGCCAAGCGATTACGTTAGAGACACCTGACCATATCTAGTCACAAGCATTTCAACACGTAAACTATCTAACTTGCAAACAACCAGCTGTTTTCGCCAGATTGGCATTTGTTACCTTCACGGTATTTGTTTAGTGTGCTAATGGAAACTGCGTTAATGTGTCGTTTGCCTGCGATCGCAATGATGATTGTGGTGATGCATCTGATGAGATTGGTTGCGGTATGTTCTTCGAGCTTTAGCCTCAGCCACTTATTCATGGACGAGAGTAGGATGCTGTAGGAGAACAAAGTCTTTTTGTTTCAAAAAATCTCTTAATTTCAGCGAAGAAAAGTGGCAAGACTTGCGAATCGCATAATGATAATGGTGGATGCAAACATCTTTGCACAGGTTGGTTTTTTCAGCATTCGCTGAAACCAGAAAGGGTGTGGTGAAAAGATGGCATTGTTTATACGTATATATACGTGCATATATGTGTATACATATGTATATATGTTCTATACATATGTGTATACATATATATGAATATATTGGTGTAAATAGCCATAACTTCGGAACTCGTTGAAACGTGGCATAGGACGAATGGTTTCTAAAACTTTTTTTTACCCTAAAAGTAAGTACGTGACTTTAAATATGGTTCCATGTTTTGTGATATATTACGTATCGTGCTGGGTCTATTGTTTTGCTCTTTATCCACCATCAATCTGTTTTCATTTTTCATTAAGGTTAAGATTGACATGTGTTTTATGATTACGTTTTCCTATAGATGTAGCCGATGGCTATTACTGTCACTGTCGAGACGGTTTCCGTCCTGATCCGTCGAATCCGTTCGACTGCATCGATGTCGACGAATGTGTCGGTAACAACACATGCACACAAATGTGCTTGAACACTAAAGGATCATATCTGTGCCGATGCCATGAGGACTACGAGAACAACGTAGTCGTTGGAGCTATGACTGGGAAGGACTGCAGAGCAAAGGTGAACTGGCATCCCTTGTTCTATTCTTGTACTGTCCACTGATTCCCTAACGGAGTGCTACAACTATAGGATAAAGGAAAAACGATTGTGATAATGTATTTTAAACTCCCATGAAATACTTCAAGAAATTTGAATTTTATTTTTTTGCATTTCATTATTTGTGAGTTTGTTCAGTAGAGAATGCTCGCCTTCTTGCGATTTAATGCGCGAGTCTTTATTGTGGATGCTACAGTTCATGCCTCAAACTTGAGTAATTATCTTTTCATATTTACTATACAACAATCGAAATTAGCAAATGCAGGCTTAAATGAAGAGAAGAATAGTTTCGGTACACAAATCATTAGAGCAGTGTGTGCGACCTACGATAGATGTTAATGACGCTATGTGAATGAACAGGGTGCTTGTGGCGCATTGGTTGGAGGCACCACTGCGACGCACACGTGGAATCGATTCCCGCGCCCATCGCCCACCAAGTCTTCCATCCTTCTGTGGTCGGCAAATTGGTAACAGATTTGTCCGCGAGGATAGCAGCACTGGCTCATACATCAATGGGCCACCACGAGTCATTGTAACGGTCACATATGCATTCAGTCACCTCCAACGACGTTTAATGAAGTCGAATGTATGGCACATCCTTCAGGGATTGATCAACGCCGAGAGCTTTATCCTTTTAGTTGTATGTGGGTGAAGAGCTCAGGAGTTGGTTTCTGTTACATGAACTAGAGAGGAAGAATATGAAGGTTGCAGAAAAGGTGAATTTAAGGATTACTACAGGGTTCTACCTTTTTCTTTGTTTTGCTTGCTGCCTTGTTATTGTGGGTGGAGTTAGTGCTATGAAGCCTCGAGTTTTTCATATAATGCGTTATGACAGGGCTATTTCAGTGGCCTATAGGTATATCAAACCAGTACGAAGTAGTTTTTCCAAGTGAGTTAGTTCAGGCGTAATACGATGAACGTGGAACAGTATATTAGGTAATAACAACAAGCGTAAACGTGAAAACATGGTCTGATCTGCATTCTACCAATAAAACTCAGGTTCAGGTGTTTAAATATAATAGATAGCGAATATTGGCTATTTTACTGAGAATGTACTCTGTAGCGCAGAGAAAACTGCGTATAGAAATGAAGTGGATTCTCTAAAATATGGAGAATGGTATCTATGGCGATCTCTTGGCTTTTTAAATAGTAGCAATTTATTTCAGGTATTACGCGAAGTTCTGTGTTAGATTTAACTCCAATCCTCACCCTAAAGCTTTGCTTTTGGTGTCTCATGGAATCGGTTGACTAGTATTTATTGCACCATTTTTGCTAAATATTGAAAATTTTTGTTTTCTTTTTGCGTTGAATAAGACATATTTTGTTGTGGGTCCGGTGCATTTTTCTAGAAAGCCATATTAATGAGAGGCATCAATAGATAGTTGCCGTTGTAAAAGTGTTGTGAGTTGCTAAGTGCCAACAAAGGTAGAATAACCACAATGATCATGATATATTTGCAAAACTCAGAAACCAGGTCAGATTCGAGCCCCGAAAAATCAAGCTCAAATCTGGCTTAAGATCCAAATTTTGCAAATATCATAGCATCATTATAGTTGTAGTCCACATAATACCCTGCCATGAAAAATGAATAGGTAGTAAATAGAATGTAAAAATATTGCGATTTCGATTGCAGCTTTAGCTTAATTAGGTTCAATGCTGCTTTATGCTCCCCAGATCATTCCTGCTGACGGGTGATTGCTGACCTTTAACTTTAGGCTGAATAACTGGCCGAGAGAAGGTAGTTCCAGGGTCCCAGTGGTGCAATGGGTAGCACATTAGTCCCTCAAAGGATGATCGACGTTTCGATTCTGGTTTTCGATCTGGATTTTGCAAATATCTCATCTTTATTATAGTTCTGTTTTACACAATACCGTTCCATGAAGAAATAATAGGCAGTAAATAGAAAGATATACAAAGATCGAACACTTAGAACGGATGACATAGTATCAGTTTAAGTAGAGTGATGAAATGTCCTGTACCAATATAGTTCAACATATAGTTGGATACTTGGAAAGCGCAGCTTCACAAGTTGTGCGGACGTCAGCACAATCTCCATTCTCTTTCTTTTCGGAGGCTTGCCGGTTGAGCCATTGTAGTTTCCTGGTATCCCGCGGTCGGCCTGGCTAAGATCTGCCGCAGTTTAACATATAGCTTCATAGAAACCTCCAGAGATTAATGCTATAAGAACTGTCCAAAATAATTTCTTTCACTGTGCAGTCTGTGTTATAGCATTGAAATAAATATATTTACCGAAGAAAGTGTTACTTTGTTGGCTTAGACTTGGAACTATCTGGATATAAATCCCATTTCGATATATTTTGGTTTCCACATTTATTATTTGCATGAGATCTGCTTAGAACACATGAATTTTGGATCGTCTTACTAGTAAGGACACACTGCTGAATGTATTTTCATTACTTTGGTGGTTCAGGGTGATCCTGCCAACATAATCGTAGCTGCTGACGATCAACTTGTCCAGGTTGCCTTGCACGGAGCCGGTGTAAATCGACGTGCAGCTGCTCAGGTACGTTAGATTACCATTTTCGTCCATTTGTGATTTCCCAAAATTACACGTCGAACTCATACTACTATAAATCGTGATTTTTCTTTGTCTTGACTAATTAGCACATCGTTTTTGTTGATTTCATTAATGGAGTCGAGTCGAATTTATGGTCTCTTCGTTCGTTCTCATTTCTCATTGCTGCATAGAATAACTAGAACAGTAGTAGAAAGGTGGAGAGCATTCGCAGTAAAGCGAAGGCATAGATCGGGGTGAAAGCAGGTTACATGCAGTTGTTTGGATTTTAGGCCGAGAACGGCAACGACATCGTTGCAATAGCCTTTGATGCACGACGGGAACTGCAGTACTGGATCGACGGCAGCAATCATGAGATCTACAGGGCGTCGGAACCTCGCGGCAATCAGTCACACGTCGGACAGCGCCTGGATCTCGACTTCGCCTCGTTGCGCGTGACGCCGACCGATATCGCTGTCGACTATCTCACAGGGTACGGAAACTAGTTTACTATTACCGAAAATATTGAGTAGGAGTTGAATTTCATGGATTTAGAGAGATTTGAAATTTAAACTCTGGAATTTGAAAACAGGGATACGTGATGAAAGACGCTAAACTTTCTTAACGTGACAAAGCATTCACCCTTTCTACCTCTCTACCTCTCTACAAGATATCATATTTTGATCATCGAGCTGTCCATGCTGCAATTTCTCGACTCTTCTTCTGAACATCCGCTTCTATTATAAATGCTTTTCTACCCTTAGTTTCTTTCATAGGATGGGGCCTTCATGGTCATTGTAAGTCCCAAAGAATTCTTGTGGTTTGCCTTCCTCCGTTGTGTTGGTGAAATCATTACGGGCATGTGAATTTTTAACGCCATTCGTTAAGTAGAACTATAAATATTCTCCACATTATTTATTCGAATTTACATATTGTTCAAAATTCGCGAACCTTTGACTATCTCTACACGGTGTTTTTTTTAAGCTCCTTTACCTCTCTTGAATTTTTGCCGGTTTTCACTATTGTGCTTCGTTTACATACTTCATGAACTCTCTTATATTTCTTTTAAAATGAATTTACAATTAGTTTTACCCCCTATAACTTAGTAACTTTATGATTAAACTGGTTTTTTAAACTGCCCCACCCACGATTTTTTTTCTGGTAGTACTACTGGTAGTTTCTGGTTTCTGGTAGTTTACTGGAGTCTATCCCGCATTCACCTTTGGTAACTGCTATTGCATTTACCTACGCAGTAGTAATCTTGCACTTACTCGTTGCCCTTTAGTCCACAAGCTGCTTTCTAGTTAATACGTTAGCACTATGTATTGTTTAGCTTGGATTGAACCCCACAACGAGTTAGCTCCTTTCGGGTACTTTATTCCTTAGTTACTTGTCTTAAAACAATGACACAACATTTGGATTTTTGCCTATTGTAGCAGTTTGTATAATTATGACTTTGCCCTCCGTCCTTGTGCTTCCATAACTAATACCTGAAACCGCAGCTGTCTTATAGAAGGAGAGGTTTAGTGTAGCTGAGTGAAATGAAAGAGGCATTGAAATAAAAACAACCTGGAACCGCAGCTGACTCATTGAAGGAGAGGTTTAGTGTAGCTGAGCGAAATGAAAGAGGCATTGAAATAATAACAACCTGGAACCGCAGCTGACTCATTGAAGGAGAGGTTTAGTGTAGCTGAGTGAAATGAAAGAGGCATTGAAATAATGACACTTGGAAGAGATATAGAGGTAGCTTTAGTGTATTGGTAACGCTCAAAGGTCAACATCAAACCGTTTTTTTTTGAACCCAGAAGCTTTTAAGTTGTTTATTGAATTCTTAACGAATTCGCGCATACCGTTTTTTTATGGAGATTCATGCGCTGAGGTTGGTGAAATAATGATTTCAGCAATATTTTCATCACCACGGTTTCCAACGACGAGGTCGAAATATCGTCTGCCGGAAGAGTGCGGCGAATGAGCGAGCCGATCCAGAACACCGACACTGGTGCTGTGTATGTAGCCTTGTCAGATGGACGCTATTTGAAGAAGATCATTGATGGTATGTCAGAATTCCTAACGATTTCGAGAAAGTTGGGCAAACGGCAGGAAACATATTGGACGTTCTTCAGCCTCATTCTTTCTTTTATGTTTGATATATATATATATATATTTGTACATTTACATAGAAGAGTGACATTTTCTAAGTTACTACTAGACTCTTCGTGCTCCTTATGGAGGCGAAAAGTTGCCTGATCACGTAAGTGTAACTGTTGTGCTTATTTTGCTATATCTGAATCCCATTAATGTTTTGAGTCGTTTGCCTGCACACGTCTAAGTGTGGATCCATAAAAGTAGACTTTTCTGAATTCACCTTTCGACAGTAAAGCATTGAGAAGAACTGCTGATAAAAAAGGAAAATGAAATCGTAAATCGAACAATAATTTCAGAAGACCTAGTAGTAGATTGGTTGACCAGAACATTCCTTTGCACATTCCCTGAGTTATTATACAATCACATAGTTAACTTTTTATGTACTGCCTACCAAAATTTTACACGACAGGGTGCTATGTGAAATTCAACCAAAATGATGCTAAAATCTTTGCAAAACTTTGGGCCCAGGTCTCTGCGGTGGGGATCGAACCCAATACTACCTTTTCGAGAAAACCAGCTTAGACAAAGGTGAAACGAAGGAATCGCATAGTGTGGTGGTGACCGTGGTAGCCCCGGGAAGAGACAATAACGGGTTCGATCCCCACCGCGAGCACATGCGGTCCGGAGTTTTGCAAATATCTTAGCATCGTTATGATAGGATCGAACCATTAAAGTTTTCTTAAATGGTGAGTCTTGAAAATGTTCAGTGATTCTTCTATTTCCTCATGCATTACCCCTTCTCGTGTTGTTAGGTAGATTGCAGATTTTCCTATTATCCACTATGGCTGGCTATTTTGCGGCGTTGTTCACTATTTCACTATTGGTGCTATTTATTGGCGCTACACACTGTGCTTCTCAATTTCGTTTTTGCTTTTTTATTTGTTAAATTTATTTTTACCGTTATCTGTAGAAAATATGAGAAGAAAATTCTACAAACTATTACTTCCAATGCCTCAGGCACAAGATATTTAATAACTGAAGTGATTGGAATTACAACGAGTGAAAGAATTTGTAGGTAATTTGCAAATGCCTACTGCTATCGTCAGTCTGCCGTCGCTAGGTCGGATTTGCTATGCTGATGCTGGACTACACGCGAAGATCGAGTGCGCCGACATGGATGGAACACACAGGGAGGTTCGTCACAGGTTGAAAGTTGTCTCGAAACTCGCCCGGAATTTGTGCCTCAGCAGAAGTTCTCGTATAGCGAGTATAATCAAATTTATGTAGAGTGATATTTCTTTTTATGTGGAACACACGAACTGGAATATTGATGGAGATGTTCATGCTCTTCATGCACGCGTGTTGTTTCTGATCTCATATTTTTTTTATTTTATACGTCCCATCTTTCACAGCTACTTTGCGGATCCCACCACTTTTCACATTCGATTCGTTTCCTTGCGTCCACCATCCAAGAAGGTCTTCTAACTTTTACGTGTGGATTTGGCGGCCGCTTGAGGGTTTTCATTTCATCCTTCGTGCCATGGAATGCTGGTCTGTCGATTATCCCTAGAATCATGAGATAGCCGGGCCAGCACTTTCCTGCTTCGATCGTAGAAAGTGGTTTTTTTTATTGACAACTCCGATACCAATTTCACCACTCCCAGAGATGAGAGCTTTGGTGAGCCCGCGCAGCGGGATCGAACCAGCACCGTGTTGGTGATGATCGGCATCACCACCACTATGCTGTCAGTTCCCTACATCACATGAGGTAGTGAGAATTCATATTTACATCAGGAATTTAAACAACTCAATATTGATTGATGCTCTAAGCACAATCATTATTTTGTTACCAAGGGGGCGGTTTATTAAGAATAGGCTGTTGTTAGCTACTGAAAGCGCGAAGTTTTTCACCTTTGTGTGAAAATCAGCAGTTCTTCACAAGCATAATAGAAACGTCATTTTATGGTATTTTGTTTATTTTAGATTATCGTAAAAGACCTTGTTTTTTCGCCGACGTCAATGGCTGTAGACGAGGGCAAAGGCAATCGTATCTACTGGGCAGACCCGAAATATAGAAAAGTGGACTCTGTGAATCCCGACGGTAAATTCTATATAATATTTGGAGTTCATTCCACTAAAACGTAATTTAATCTCGAAGCTTTCATAAGTGCTATCGTTTCTATTTGAAGGTTTTTCATTAATGTAAATCTAATTCGTTTCTTTTTCAACTGGTGAAACAGTCCAAATGTTGGTGAAGGTTAACCCTTAGGAGAAATGCTGAGAAAGAAATAAAATTCGACTTTTCTACCGGGGATTCACGTGCTATCAACCACACCACCCGAAGCTCTTGCCTTGCCTTTCTGTCAGCTGTGGATGTACTCTTCCCGTTGACGGATGTTTGCTGATAGCACCGATAAAGTTGAAAGATCGCTGAGAGGAAAGTAAAGCAAAAACGCGCTGTTGTGGTTGGAGGCCCTGTGAGACCCTAGTAAGTCTACTCCCAGACTCGAAGCCCACCTGAGGTTCTATGTTTTGTCCATATCTCAGCATCTCTATGGTTGTATCTCATATCGTACGCTCTATCAAAGAGACGAAATAGAGAATAAGAGTTGAAAAATTGTAAATCGCTTGAAATTTTTCTTCAGGCTCTTACCGAGTGACCGTTGTTCACAGTACAAACTCACCATGGGCTATTGATGTGTTCGAGAATTATCTGTACTGGGTGTCACGCGAGACAAATACACTCTACGTCCAGGACAAGTTCGGCCGCGGACGAGTTTCAGTGCTGGCGTCAAATTTAGAAGATGTACATGCCGTACGGGTTAGTCAAAGGTATGTCCGAACCAGCTTTAGCACTGAACAACAGACTTTAAATATGCTGGAGATTACGTCAATCATGCAAATCTTCTTTGAAGGCTTATTAAAACATTGTTTACTAAGTCAAACTGAATTATGAAATATCTCCTTTATCACCTGTCACCCCTTGTCCTGTTAGTAGTCGAGTAAATCGAGCGGATGCCACCAAATCATCCGCTTTTTCCAATCGCGCGTAGAAATAGCCCAGTGGGTTCTGCTCACTCTAGAGACTCACTGAGCATCACATCTTTCATCTCCCCAGATCAACCCCGCTGACGGGTGATTGCTGTGGCAAAAAGATCGATAGAAATAGCTGAGAGACGTGCGAAACAAAGGACCCGCATGGTGTGGTGGTGAACGCGTTACTCCCCGGAAAGGATAATAGCGCGTTCGTTCCCCACCATAGACACCTGCGGTCCAGAGTTTTGCAAATATCTCAGCAACGTTGTGGTTGTATTTCGCTTAGTAACCTGCCATGAAAATTATAGAAGGCAGAAAACAAAACGTTAAACATTGTGATTTCAACTACAGCCATAGCTTAACTGGGTTCTATGCCGATTTGCGCTCCCCAGATCAACCCCGCTGACGGGTGATTGCTGTGGCAAAAAGATCGATAGAAATAGCTGAGAGACGTGCGAAACAAAGGACCCGCATGGTGTGGTGGTGAACGCGTTACTCCCCGGAAAGGATAATAGCGCGTTCGTTCCCCACCATAGACACCTGCGGTCCACAGTTTTGCAAATATCTCAGCAACGTTGTGGTTATCACATCTTTCTTCCAAGGTTTTCGAGAAGAGCTCTGACCATCGGATCAGTGGTCTTCCTGCAGTACGTTTGACATCATCGACAGGTTAACGTGTAGAACAGTGTCTTCGACTTTTGATTTCCGACGTATGGTGGAACGGAATTTCTAATTCCCTCTCTTTCACGCGTGATACAGGAGACTTCTATCATCGTCCTTTCAATTGCGCATTCGATAAAATTGAATGATTTTTCATCTTGCTTACCAGCTACCAGATTTCCAACGCAAACATCGGAAACCAAAAAAAGGCAAGAAAAATTGCCTAGTCGAAAAGGTGGGCACGAAGGCGGGTGTTCCTTGTTTTGTTCAATATATATCCAATGCTTTTGAAAACTCCTTAAGCCGTGCTCAGCTCTAGAACTAAGTCGTCCATCATTTTGACTTCCCGACCTAAATAGACGTGCTTAAAGCATTGGTATATTCATTCAGTTGAGCGTGAACTGAGTGTATCGAAGAATTACTTTTCCACGGACATAATTTCTGTGAAATTTAGGCGAAAACCAGTCTCTCCACAACCATCTTCAAACTCGGCAAGCACTCGTTCTGCCTGGCTAACGCTTGATGTTTTAAAAACAATGTCTTCAACAAAGCGAAGATAGTACAATCACCTACCATCTAATTTCACCACAATGTTGTCTCATTCCAATAGTCGTATGATATTCTCGAGGGTGGCGGTAGACAATTTTGGTGAGGCGATATGGTCTCGCCTTACCCTCTTTTCACGTTGATGCTAATATCATTGTGAAATGGTGATATTTCAGTTTGAAACTTTTATATAGCTCACGAAGAATCTTTTTCACTGAGTGGAGACCCCCGGCTTTCCATAGCTTCTATGACTGCTTCTCTCTCATATGAGTCAAAAGCTTTCTTCAAATCGATGAGAAAGAAACAGTGGCCTCTTGCACTCTTTCGATAGTTCAATGAGTCTCGTTGTCGCGTTTATATAGTCCATCGTACTGAATCCATTTCTAGATTCTAGTTGCTCATATGGCTGTCTCTCGTCCCGTGTTCCGTAAAGCCCGTTAGTATGACTCGAGTGAATTGTTTATAAACGGCAGACAACAAACAATTTGGGTAACAGTTGATGATATTGTAAAGTTCACCCACCTCGAACATTAGCACGGTCTTGGTGGTCTTACACTGAGTGAGAACCTTGCATTTAAAGAGCTAACGTGTGAAAAGCCGAGCCAGTGTGTTTATGACGACTGCCAGACTGTGCTTTAGGTGTTCAAATCTTTTCCTGTCCGGAATTGTGTTGCTCAATACCAACGAAATATCATCTCGGATTCCCGAAGTGAGAACTGGTGAGACGACTTATCCATCCTCCTCTATTTCGTATGAGGCCAAGAGAACTTGGCTATTAAAGAGACCTGAGTAGTAATCTTGAATGATTTTTTCCATTGCTTTTTTGGAAGCTGTAACTGTTCTATCTAGGCGTCGGAGTGCAATCATCTTAGTTTTACAACTGGCGAAGCTTCGATGGGCTTTGCGAATGCCTTTCACAGCCTTTTCAGCTTTGAATGTACGTGCGGTCTTCCCTTTTTAAGATCTTTTTACATCGCCTTTCTGCATTGTTTTGCAACTTCGGACGTGATTTTGCTGTTTTCTAGGGCTTGTGCATTGCACATTGGCGTATTAGCTCGAGTTTTCCAGGAGGCAGCGTCTCTTTATGATTTTCGAATTCTCAGCTTTGATCGCGATAAAGTGGAGATGTTGAATGACCCAGCTTTCTCTCCTTTTCACGAGAAATGAAATCTTTTACGAAGAAGACTATGGTCTGATTCCGTGTAGAGTTTTGGGATAACAGCGACATCGATTAGACAAAACCTTTGATTTGCTATGATGTGGTTTATTTCGTTATGATACACTCCATTGGGAGACTCCGATACGCAGCGTTAAGAATGTGGCTCCTGGAATTGGGAGTCCATGAGTAGTCTTGGTCGTAGTGATAAACTCAGACAGCCCCTCAACCCTCTCGTTCGCTTCTTATCCGTGAGTCCCAATCCAATGTGACGTTCTTCTGGGTCTAGTGCTAACGTTGAACTCTCCAATGACGACGTTAAAGAACGTACGGTCTTCTCTGTAGAACTCTTCCTAATCTATATAGAACGCTTCAACTTCGTCTTCTTCATAGATTGATATCGGTGCCAGAGAACAAAGATTGTCAAAACCGGCATTGATTCGCATCTGTTCCACCGTAAACGTTACCTTCTGGTTGTAAGTTGTTTGAATGAATCGATGTTCATGGCCAAGCTCGTGTAGACGAGGGGGCGGACGCAATTCGCTTTATATAATATGATAACAATAATCCCCGTATTAGTTAATAAAATTCACGTTTCCTTTATTTTATCGTCTTGTGACTGGATTTGACAAATCACCCTTATAATAATGTTCCTGATAGCTCGTTCGACAATATTGGCCATATATTACCTACTTACACAGACTTCATGGTTGCAATGAGTACGTTAAGGCGTGTGCCAAGGAAACGTGGCAGGGTTGAAAAGCTCTGTATTGAAATGGTTGTGCTTTGTGGTCAACCTTTTTTCAACTCAATTAAATTATCACAAGTTGCCATGTATTACTCTGGTAACACCTCAGCGACTTTTACCTTGTGGATGTTATCCAACATACTGAAACAATGTCGAAATCCTGTTTATATTTGTTCTCTGTCCTTATTTCGTTAACGCTATTGGAAATGAAGAGAGCGGAGAGTTTGCACTCCAGTTGTCGATCTCCCGAAGGTCTTTTTTGCGAAAGAATACCGCCGGATTTCCAATATTTTGGAACCTTGAATTATACTAAGTAGCGTATGAAAATCCGAAGCAGTGTGTCTATTCGAATTTGCAGTAGGTTCTTCGGTGACGTGGGTCTAATCCGATATCGCCCAAATGGTGTACGATTTCCCATCGAAAAAATAACATGCTGGATTTTTTTAGGGGAAAACTGCTGTGATGACACATCTGTGTGCCGTGACCTGATTTGAAGGCAGACAGAAGCGTCTGTTGAGTACATCGTTCAGGAAAGCATAGTTGATCTTCCTCATCACCTCTATGGAAGGGGTAGCCGTTCGGTTAGAGCGCAAAAAGGCGGTCATGGTGGTGTTGTAAAAGGCGGGGTCTCGATCTATGTTGTGATCTTGCAAGTAACTCTTGCAGCATCAGGCCTTCCCATTGCTTTTTTTGCGTTTTCTGGTGTTTTTATCGACCTTCTATAGAGTTTGCAAGTTTAGACATGGTTTATTGATTAGCTACGGCTCACGCAATTCCAAATTCGCGTATTAGGTCGAATTACTTTAAGCAGAGGTCGCTTGTTGACTTGTGGACTCTTGGTTTTCTAAACATCAAGGTCGAGATATTGAATGAGTTTGTCGTATTGCTTATTGATATTATTGATAACTGCATCTTCCCAAAAAAAAGCCACTATTGATACAAATAATTCGCATGCCTTTGGGCAGGGGTATAGGGGTGTTTTGTCGGCCATTCGCGTAGTCAAAAAGCTTATTTGTTGCAAACGACTCTTAACAGCCTTCCGCATATGATACATATCGTTCATTTGATGCATACTTTCGAGGAATTTTACCTAAAGTGTGTAAGGGCGAGCATATTCCGGTATTCGTCCGTGGACTTAGTGATTCCATACAGAACACACATTTTGTTACGGCACAATAGGGACGAAGAGTCTGTCCTCTTTATTCACCTGCGTCTTACGCCAAGTGCGATTTCGCTCTTTGTTCGTTATGAGCTCGCCGCGCTCTCGAAGACCGTTTCGAGTGTATTTTCGACAAATCGAAAATCCCTTCGGTTTTTTTTGTTCTCCGTTCATTATTATTGTTTGATATGAATAAATTTTGAGAAATACCATAACCGTGCTTTTTAGGTACGCCCGTGACACCATCCGAGCGAAAAGCTCTTGCTCAGACGCAACATGTAGTCACATTTGTGTTGAGCTGCCGAATTCCGGATTCTCTTGTCTCTGTCCCGATAACGGCTTCCCAGCTACGGTTGGAACTTAGTCTTTTTTCAATTTTCATCACAATTTCTGAATTCTAAGCGTTCAGAGAGGGAGTTTTTATGAAAATCTCGCATCTTATTCGCATGCGTTGTGTTGCCGCCTTACATCAGCAAAATATTCGCTGACTTTGGAGTGTTGCAGGATGGATCGTGCTCGATGGCACGCGTGGACGCGCTGG